ACGGAGTATAGCTTACCACTAAGGAGGCTAGCGTCGCGTAGCTTGTACGGACAAAGGTCTCCGCGGTTTTCTTGCCGATCTCAGATCGTGAGGCATTTTCTTTCTACTCCGTAGCTCCTTTATTCACACCGACAAGGCTTGTTACTCTCATCCTTGGGACTAGTCACTCCGGAGAACGGGATTCAATGCCTGTGCGCGAGGTCCGTCCTTTGACAGCACAGCGCTCCGTATTCTCGTAATGAATTGCTGATGTTGCATAAGGACCAAGACCAAAAGTACTACCCTAACTGTTCGCCAAGCTATCCCAGATTTGCTCACCCCAGAAATCGGCTACCCATGGAGAAAACAAAGGCCGAAATGAAAAAAACACGGAAAATGAAATGAAACGAAAAAAACACTCCCCCAATACGCCCAAGACCGAACCTCGGGAGTACCGTGCACGTACCTCACCCCGATTCCCGTTCTGGTCTAGCGTGATATGGTTCCCGCACCTGCAGGAGAGCTCCAAGCAATTTGAAACGAGAAATGCGCTGTTGCTGCTCGGAAATTAGACAGCCTAGACGCAATCGCAATATAAAAATGTCGGCGTGGGATATTGGCCTAATCTCAGACTCGGCGGCTAATCGTGTATGACGTATGACGTTATGTCTTTCCTTTTCCCAGGGCGTAGGATGGTCAGAGCTTGGAAAACGACTATCACCGCTGCTTCTTTTGCTACGGGGGTAGGTGATGTATACTCCGTCCTGGACTCCATATTATTCAACCCCATGGAATTAATACCTGTCCTCCGTGCGTACAATAGAGCACATACTATGTGTACTCCGTACTCCGTACAATGTACATTATTCCCTCAGCCCCGCGTGTCTGTGCCCGGCGTTGTCCATTTGCCTTACCTCATGCAGACAATCCCCCGAATATTGAGGTTTCTCGTTCCCGCCCCACGATTGGACCATCGCCTTCCCATTATGTCGGTCCCCTCTCGGTCTTGGCTATGATCGTTTGTAAGGTGTAGACTCGGCCAGTCGGGCATCCCGTGTCGAAACTCCGACGCGGCACGCGGGAACTCGGCACGTCTGATTTCGGTTTGGGAAGAGCGTTGTGTGGGCGTGAGGCGTCGTCGACTATGGTTACATATCGGATTTTAATTGCTCATTGCCAACTTTGAACGCTTGCTTCATCTGGTTCGCAGTTCCAGGGTCTTTGTGCAGTTCTTGGCAGGGCTGTAATTTCTTCTGTTACTTCGGATGGATGAATCCATTACGCGCCACCAGGTAATAGTGGGAGAATTATCCAGTCAGCCTCATGTGAATTGTGTACACAGTTCATTTCTAGATCGTGTGCATCGGATAATATGGTGTATTATATTGAGATCTAATGCTACATTTCTCTTGGCTGCATACAACCCTGCGTCGATCAGATCCTAGTAGTCAGGTACCGACACGCCCCCTACGCACCGATGAGAAAGCAAAATCCAACAGTGGTCAGTATCCTGGCCAGACAGCTCTTCGTCGGAATCCCACGTCGGAAAAACCGCAAGTCCGGCCCTGGACTGTGGAGATCGCACACAGAAACATACGATACCGGGTGATAGTGTGATCACGGAGTCACCTCCCCTAAGCCTTTCACGAATCCGACAGCTATGATGACATACCCTCTCCGTCCTCGTCGCTATCGCACGATACCCAAACAAGCAATAAATAAACACACAGGCCATCCATCCACGGCATAAGACGACTCACGCCACGTCGAGCAAACATAATCACCATAGTCTAGATCCCCATAATCGACCAAATCATTCCCCTCCAAGCCAGACCGCAAGCTAAGAGAGTCCCCTCCGTCCTCCCCATCCGGCAGCGATCGACAGGAGAACAAAACACCCCACACTCCCTCGACGCGAACCTCACAACTGGCAAGTCGCCTTTCGGAGATCATGCAAAGTGATATATTTTCCGCGCTTGCTACTGGTCGCAAGGGAACTTTGCATATCACTATTTACTACTCCGGAGTATTGCTGGCCATTAGCGCGACGCGCCCTGAGTCCGGTGTCGGGGAGGTGTGTGTTGTCTTTCCGGATTAGGAAAAAACTAATCAGTGAAAGACAGTCGCTTTGTTTTTCCCTTTCCCCTGTGACGCAAGGAAAGTATGCATGTTACTACGACATAGGTATGACTCTAACAGACCTAATTATTGCCTTCTTTAGTATAGCTCCGGGGTAATACACCCAGTTCGTAGATTTGCTCTCCCTGCGTTTTGGTAGGTGGCCCGAACTACCCTGCGGGAAAACAGTCGAGTCCACAATAATAATGCACACGCTCCTCTCCCCGTGCTGTAGCGATGTATATGGTCAATAATTGTATGTGACGTATTGATATTCTTGGCTGTGTTGTATAATGTTGAAACACAGACTGCTACAGAAAGATTAACGTTACAGTATTGCGTCTCGGGCTGGCTGTCACTGTCACTGTCACTGTCACTGTCTCTCGGGCGAGTGATCGGCGGTGTTCACGATACCTGGTTGATCCCAATTTTCTCCAGATCGGAGGCTATGAGACGAATTGGATGGTGTCGCCATTGCCGCCTGCTTTGCTTCTCTGTTACTATTCATAGAAGGACGGTGTGAGACTGCCTGCTAGGCTACGGAATATCTCTCTTTGCAGGACACCTCCGTCGGCATCTGCATAGCCACCGTTAAACTCCCCGGCCATCCATTGCCGATTATCAGTATCAGCCAGTAACTGTAACTACCTTTAAATCCAGGGGGCGCAGTCAAGCACAAAATAGCCCAGACACCGTTTCAGTATCCTTTGTTATCCTTTTCCCCGTCTTACAGGTACCGTATACCCTCTGCGTACTGCGAGCTTGTCCCGGGATACCTTGTCTAGGCATGCCAAGCAAGACAGGGATAGATTCGTGGGGGATGCGAGGGGATCGACATGCTGCCTGCGTGCAGCGTTACTGTTCAATAGCATTCGTCGCGATTAGGATGGCTAATGTGGGATTAAACTTCATGATCGACGATAGACAGGCACAAGCCAAGATCCGATAACAGAAGGAGAGGCGCGATTATGTTCGAGTTTCACGGCTCTGTTTCACTAGGGTTTCTTGGCTAGGTAGTATGGACGCTGGGCATTGCCTATTTATGAGAGTCTGAGGTCAGAACGGGGTGGGGGATCGACTTGCGTCCTGTTCTCATTGTCTTGGATATCGATAGTTCGCTATGAATCGGAGTCTTGGTGACCTACCCAAGGAAGTATACGGATCCTGTATAGTATAGATCACACCTGGGCATGTATTCAGATACCCCAAAGAGAAGATAAACCAGCGACCGAAGCCATCAACCCACAATTATCCTGAGTATTGCGTCCTATCCCTGTCTCCCCCACACTCGATCTCGGAGAACAAAGACCGACGATATCCAAATATACTCTTGGCACGTATCTACACTACCGACTATACTCCGCACACAACGCGATAAAGTCATTCAATGATGTCAAGTATCTTCCCCCGGCTCATCAAAGACAATCTACATAGAAAATTCCCTCCCTTGATCTGCTGATCGCCCTAATCTCGTACCTGTCCACCGACGCCAAGCCAGGCCGTGCATCCCTTCCTCCCGCATTATCGCCTTGGCAGGCATTCGGCCTCTGACCAGCCCCCTTTTTTCTATCGGCGTGAGGTCATGATTCGGGCGACCGTGATCGGATTCGTGGGGCGGGGTGGAGAGGAGAGGGGAGTCGACGAGCGCAAGGGTGGTTGTTGGTAATGCTTGTTGTGGTTGCGTCTTGGCGGGGGCAGTGTGCATGCTTGTACTTGTATGTACTTCGTACGGGGTGCTCCGTACTCCGTGCTAGGTACGAACGGAGCAATGCACGTGAGTATGTAGGTAGCAGTAGGTAGCAATGTGAGATATACAGCTTAGGACGTGCTCTTATCGGAGGTGTTGTCTGTGAGGGGCGTGGCGTGGCATGGCATGGCGCTGTCAGGGGCGCATTTAGATTTGTTCATGTTGATCGATAACTATACTAGTTACTACTTACTCTGCCGCTGAGGGATTTTCGTCGGCCAAGACGGAAACTGACTGTTTTGCTGATATTTGGATGCTGTATCTCACGGATTCGGTAGATATTTACTACCAAGGGATCTTGGCTGTAGAACAATGCACGACGGAGCGGTGGAGGATTAGTCCAGCTGACGTCGGGTGGTCTTGGTGTCGTTGCTGGTGGTTACACTGTATCCTGTCCGTATGCTGTGGATGGGTAGTGAGGTACTTTTTGGCTTATCTGACGTGGGCGTAGAACTAACGTGCATGGAATAGTTGATGTTTGATGATCTGATCTCTTGGAGACTTGATAACGTAGTGGATGGAAGTTACATCTACCCTGCCTTGTTTAATTGTAGAACATATATATTGAAAGTTCTTCAGTAGATGCAAGATATTATAGATCATTAGAGCAAGGTTAAACATCCGCGTCTCATAAACTTAGAGGAAATAGATGTTGCTAGCATACAATTGTCGTTGGATACATGGAAATATATATCAGGTTCGATTCAACTACAAATCTTATGCAGCTCCGAACTTCTCAATGTTTTATGTGATGGAGAATCTCCAGAGTGAATTGATCATTTCCGACGTATATTATTCAACTATCATAAACCGCCGCTACAAATCAGCCAGAAGTATCAATGCCTTCACTGTATGCCTAACATGTCACGCTTACTACTCCGTAATCAAAGTCTAGAAACAGTCAACTACATCCATCCGCATTCTTCCGATCGCAAGGAAATGCAGCAAGGGAATAGAGTTATGTCAGTAATCGGAATCCGTCAACAGAACAAATTATGCCGAGCTGAGACCGAGATAACCCCTTGACGAAACTCGTTGCTCGAGCAACCCATGCCATGCAGTTTCGCATCAAGACCCTGCGTCCACGTGGAAAACGAGCCTACAGGAACCGGTTGAATGGGTATTAGAGTTTCAGATGAAACCGTCTCAAGGGGAATCAGAATGTGATTCTCGAGCCGACAGTGCAGGGCACCAATGACCCGGGCATGTGTTTCTCGATAGCAAACTTCGCCCGCCAGCCCGAACAATGACCGGGCATCAGCACGGCGGGATCGAGCCGTTTGAGATCGGCTACTGTGTTTTGGATTTGATCCGCGTCGCTTGTGGCGAGATGAAACCCACCGACAACGGCATGGACAGGTACCGTTCCACCGGTGAGTTCGACGGCGTGTTTGGTCGTGTTGACTACGCCAGCGTGGCTACACCCAGTAAAAACAACAAGTCCTTTTCCTAAGAAAATTTTAGCCCAATAAGCCTGTGAGGGTTTAGGCTGCATATACCCTTGAGATTGCAGATGAGAGACCGCTCATCGATGATGACTTCGTCAGAGAACCAGTCATTCTCATCAGGGTCATATCGCACTGCATTCTTCAGACCTGTCTCGTACGGCGTCACTCGTGGAATCTCCCCAGAGACCAGAAAGAAGTCATCAAGGACGGTGTGTGGCTCGCTCCGCTTGTCGACCACCCCTCCTGCACTTCCAATCTGTTCAAAGGTAGGGTCAGCCTCGAGGGAAATGATATGCTCGGGCAGAGCAAGGCCTCTGTAGACTGGTCGGTCTGGGTGCAAGTCCACGACTAGGTGCTCTGAGCGGCTCTCGGCTTGTTTGGCATTGTTTATCATGCGGATTGCTCGCAGAAGACCACCTAGCGAATGTCAGAACAACCGAGGAGTATGTGTGAATGTGCTTCTTTTCATTCAATAACGAACCGGAGTGGTCTCGATGCCAATGTGATAGCTGAATCACTTCCACAGAGGAGAGATTTGGTCCCAGGCGTTTCACATTTCTCTCCCAAGCCTCCTCTTCGGGACCAGCATCGAAGAGAATAGCGTGCTTCTTCTTTCCTTTTGTGGCAGTCTATAAGATAGGATTAATGAGAACGCATTCAAGAGTCCAATGCAGAACATCTTACCACCATAATCGACAAGCCATGTGCTGCGCAGCAGACATCTTCCAGCCTCAATTCCTTGCAGGCTTCTCCTCGGTCTGTCAGTGTATGCTTTGAGCCCATGGCAATTGCCCCCAGATTCCCCGAGACTTGGACGGTATTCGGAGCTGCGGGCGACAGCGGATCTAGCTCATTGTCGATGATAACAATGGCTTCGAGAGAGTCCACCTCTTGTAGATGTATGGGCATCTCGATAGAGTCACTAGATTTAGAATCAGCGGTTTTCATGGCTTGAGCAAGGGATATGAGAGATACCTGAAAGGATCATGGCTAACATGCAAGTCCATTTGCTGATATATGCAATAAACACCTGTGAACATCAAATGACGAAGTTCCGAGTTCTCCACAAATGCGGGGGAATCAGATCTCACGTCTTCTCTTCTCTTCACCAAAACTGCAATTGGAAGACCTCAGAAGAACTCGGTCTTCTCTTCCTTAGCCTCTCGTCCTCTGTATCTCACACAATGCGGCTTTTCCTCGATCGCCTCTTCCTCGTGATCGTGCTGCTCTTCTCTCCCGTTACAGCCCTCGGCACATCATGCTTCAAAGTCGTCTCCGCGCTGGTTAGCCGACCAGCCCACCTCTTCGGTAAATTCCAGAGTGAAATCTGCGACGTTGGATGCCAGCCGACCGTCCCCCACTGGGATCTATGGACGCGCAACAACACCTTTGTCCCCGCCGTTCGCAGCCTGATGCAGCGCATGAATGTACCCCACAAGGAAGAAGCTCTCCTGAAGATGGGCGACGACGTTGCGCTCAAGATCAAGGAAAGCTGTGGACCAATGCTGGGCGGCGGAGTACATATCTGTTCTGATCCAGAGACGCTGGCTGGGTTTGGCAACTGCTTCAAGCGCAATTTCCTCAAGGCCTCGATCAAACATCTTCCTACTTTGATTCCAATGGCTTCGGAGGAATCGTGTAAGGAGCAGCTTCGGTTCTTGGAGAGTGACGAGCTGTGGGATACCACGATTCCTCAGAATATGAGAGATTATGCGAAAGTGTGTGATACTTTGGGGGTTTATGACCATGATGAATTATGAATTATACCCTGATTCAACTTAAATAGTGCTGTAAATGCAATTAATATCAGTTATATCCGATTCACCTCAATTAATAATGTGCCTGTAGCTGAATAAGACATCGCTGAATTCCTCCGACTCCGACTCCATGCGGAGCTACCGATGACGACAGTCCGACCTCTAGGGCTTACTGGCTTACTTGATAAATCGACACTTGACCTTCTCATTCCTTTGCCTTCACCTCAGATCAGACTGGATTTGATCGCCAACACCATGCAGTGATTGGGCATCCGCCTCCCCACAATTTCATATGGCGTACGCGACCTTCCTCCGCTCTGTGCGGCCCACCGTCATCCGTCCCTCACTCCGGCGCCCGCACCGATATGCTCACTCAAGCCAATTCCAACCCTTCGTGCCGCCGTCACCGAGCTCCCTAGGGAAACCCAGAGAAGCAAAGACCTACAAACGAACTATTAAATGGTTACGCCGGATCATCTATGTCTCACTAGCAACAGGCGTCGCCTGGGGCATCGATCGCCAGTTCTACGCCTCATCGCTGACTCGAACAGCCCGGACCTTTTCTCTCGGTATCTTCGTCGCCCTCGACTACAAAATTAACTTCCGAGCACACCCACCACTGGCTAGCTCTGTTACTGCCGTCCACGCCCGCACCGCAGAGCGGTTGTCGCATCTGTTGAGGCATAATGGCGGTCTCTACCTGAAGATGGGTCAGGCGATTGCGATGCAATCTGCTATCCTGCCCCCTGAGTTCCAGCAGATGTTCTCGCGCATGTTCGATGATGCGCCGCAGAACGACTGGAAGGATGTCGAGAAGGTCATCCGTGAGGATTTTGGGAAGTCGCCGGAGGAGGTATTCGGTGTTTCATTTACAGGAGACCCTGATAAGGGCGTGATGGAGCGCAGAGCCAGAGCCAGTGCCAGTGTTGCTCAGGTCCACTGGGCTCGTCTGCAGGATGGCACGGAGATTGCGATCAAGGTCCAAAAGCGGGAGATCGTACAGCAATTGGCATGGGATCTCTGGGCCTTTAAGTGAGTCCGAATTGCAGCTGCGAGAGAATGTTGTGCTAACATTGAAAAAGAGTTGTGACCTTTGTCTACAGCAAAATGTTCGACATCCCTTTCAACAGTCTTGTTCCCTATATCAGTGAGAGACTATCGCTCGAAACAGACTTCGTAAATGAAGCAGATAACTCGGAAAACATGGCCAGGCTAGTGGCCGCTGAACCCCGTCTGCGCGACCGCGTGTATATCCCTCGAGTATTCCGCGAACTGAGCTCGAGGCGCGTCATGACTGCTGAATGGGTGGAAGGCGTACGACTCTGGGATAAAGACTCCATCACGCGGCCCTGGCGCGGCGGCTGGCACCAGGGAAGTCCAGGCTGTCACGGTACACCGCTTGACCGACCGCAGGAGGGTTCTGCGAATCGACCGAGTACCAAGCCAAAACGTGACTACTGGCGAGGCCCTAACCACAACGGCGGGCTAGGACTGTCAGTCAAGGACGTCATGACGACCATGGTAGATCTGTTCTCTGCCCAGATGTTCATGTGGGGATACGTCCATTGCGACCCGCACCCAGGCAACATCTTCATCCGCCGTAAGCCGTCCGGAAAGGCAGAGCTGGTTCTGATCGACCACGGCCTGTACATCCACATGGATCCCAAGTTCCGACACCAATACGCGCGGTTCTGGAAAGCCCTCCTTACCTTCGACAATCGCACGCTGGGCGAGATTGCCAAGGACTGGGGCGTGAACAACGCTGACATCTTCGCATCAGCAACGTTGATGCGTCCCTACAGCGGCGGAGACAAGTCCACGCAGCGCGGTCTCCAGGGACTGAGCAAGTCGGAGCGTGCAGAGCGGCACTACGAGATGCAACAGGGGATGCGCAAGGCGGTCCGTGATATGCTCGGCGATGAAACCAAGTGGCCGCAGGAGCTGATCTTCATCGGTCGCAATCTGCGCATCGTCCAAGGTAATAACCAGTTCCTGGGCTCGCCGGTGAACCGTGTTAAGATCACTGGTATCTGGGCTTCGCGGGCGCTTATCGAGTCGCCGGATCTGCCGCTGGCCGAGAAGATCCGCAACATCGGGCGCCATTTTATCTTCCGCGTGGTGCTGTTTAGCACTGATATCTTCTTCTATTTCACCAAGGTGCGCCAGTTCTTGCATCTGGGTGGTGGTATGGAGGATGACATAGAGGCCCAGATGCAGAATATGGCCAAGGATATGGGTGTTGAGCTGAACCACAGCGTCTTCGAGGGATAGACTGCCCCAGCCCTATAGAATAATCCGAGGAGAACGGCAAAGAGTGTAGAATACATGTATACCACCCGGACCTACCTAGAAAAATCTCTCAAATAATGACACTCTCTCCTTATGATTGGCACAATCACCAGTGCTATATCTTTGCTGTTGGCTGATATATATATCTCTCCCTATTCTATATCCTCCCCGTTCATATCGTAATCTAGATGAATCCCCTCACCATCACTCGCAGAACCCACTAAATCCCCCAACCTTTCACACCTAGCAAGATACGCAGCGCCCGTATCCGCCCAAACGTGATACTCACAAACCGCCAACCTTCCCCCTTCCCTTGACCCATCAACAGCAAGCTTAATGCGGTACATGAACGTCTCATCCCATGCCTGCCGCGTCTCCTTCCAGACGAACGTCGCCGTTCCGCGCAGCGAAACTGCCATGCAGCTCGTGTCAACTACCCAGCTCTCCTCGGGCTCGAAGGCCATGTTCTTGATTCCCAGCAGGGAGGAGATGAGCTCGAAGTACGTTGCCACCCCATCTTGGCCGTTGAAGGGCCGGCCTAGGAAGGGGGCTAGTTGTGGGAGACCGTGTTCGTAGGCTAGAGGTTTTGGGAGGGTTGTGAAGGTTGAGAGGAGTTGGTTGGGGTTTGTTGGGTTTGGGTTCGTTAGGGCTTCTATGAGGGCCTGGACTGGTTTCAGGAGGTCTGAGCGTGTTGTCATGTTGGGGATCTTTGTTGGCCTTGGAGTGTAGATATAGTATGGGATTAATGGGAGAGTGATTGAAGCTATGGTTCGAGATCCTTAGGCGGTGGAGTGCATACTGACATCATATGACGTTGCTGTGTTTATATAGTAGAACACCTATACGGAGTACTTGAATAAGAGTTGAGATCAATCATTCGGATATCTGCATTTTGGTAGATAGTTCACGACTGTTTCCCATCCATTTGCCCAGACGAGCTTCGAGATGTAGAAGAAGACATAAATCAAAGGCCCACAGTAGAACTCCAGCTTCGGCCTTCATAACCTTCGCTTGATAGAAAAAACCGAGAAAGAGAAAAGGGAAATAGAAAGAAAGAAACACCGAGTCCCCCAAAATAATACATTTCCGCTCCCCCACCCCGAGCTCACTGCCGCCAGGACTTGCCGCAGTGCAGACATGTACAGAACAGGGTCATCGGTTCATCAGCCGCACGAGTCTGAGCTTCGGTGTAGGTAACCTTGCGCTGGCCACACTTGCCGCACTGCAAGCTCTTACTGATACTGCGTTCCTGCTGCGCAACCATAGCCTTGTCCATATTCTCCTTCTGAATCTTAGCGTCCGCCTCACGCTGCTCAACAGAGCGCAGCTCATCGTGGCTCATGCGCACGAATTGCTCAGCAGTAATCTCTCCCTCGACAACGCGCACACGCAGCTTCGGGTTGGACTTGTTCTTCAGATTCTGGAAAAGACTACGGATCTTCGTACGGTATTCCTCCTTCGTCTCCGGCCCCAGGTACTTGTAGGCAGAAATCTCCACCGCAATAGCGCGTGCTAGAACGACCTTGGGAGACTCGGTCGACCCCACACACAGTCCATCGTACATCAGCCCCGTGCAGCTGTCACGCACTCGGTTCCCGGTATGATTGATATCCGCCCCGTCTGCCTTCCATGTTCGCTTATCCGGAGGCACAGACAGCTTCGACGCCTTGTCTGAGGGTGTCGCAGTGGCTGGAGTGGACGCTCCTGTACCGTTGTGCGCTGGCCGCGGAGAGCCGCTCGAACCACGACCGGCTGCCGAACCAGCCTGCTTCTGCTTGTTCACCTCCGTCCGCCACTTGGAAACAATCTCGCTGGAGAGCCGCGCGACTTCTGGGGTCTTGCTCTGCTTGAACTTGTTGACGATGATTCCGATGCGCGTCTGTCGGAGGAGGTCTTCGGTTGCCCGCACGCCGCTTTGGATGTCCTTCAGGAGGCCGATAATCACAGCTGGCGACTCGTTCGAAGTCGCGGCCTTGCCCAAGGCTTTGGCCTTAGCTTCGATCTCTTTAGCGTCCATCGCCATGTTGTGCGGGGTAGAGGGATGACGCGATTAGAGTGCTTGACGGGGTCAATGGAGGACCGAGTGAGGATTTTCCAGGCGATCTATGAGTCCTATCTGTCAGCATGTCATCGCAAACATATAGAGCACAGGGTCTCTAGAAGCCCCGGATGTTGGCGCATTCTCCAGAACCACAGCAGGCACATTTGTCTCCCTGTTGGGATCACAGATCATAGAGCACACGTGCTTTCAACAAAGGTAACACAAAACATGGCTCTTAAAATACCCCACCATAGAGACAATGCGGGAGAAGGTGGTACTGTCAACTGCACGTGTCCGCTCTCTCTCCCATTTGGCCTCGGAAACTCGATGAAAACAAACAAAGAAGATTGGAAACAACGGCATGCAGCAGCATATGTGGCTGTTATAGCTTGCACCGGGAAGAACAACGGGTGATTGCGCAAAGCAAGATGTAGTGAGGGGTGTTTTGCGGAACTCACCTGGGGATATTTCACGGTCGCGTCCACGGTACAGTGTTGCGAGATGAGACCTGTAAAGAAATGAAAGAGCGGAAAGGCGACGGCAATGGAAGCGCCAATAGTGACAGGTATGGTAGAGGGAATATGTCAAAGGCGACGAGGTAAAAGGAATTTGATGAGCTGCGATGTCCGAGGTCTGCGCCAAGCCTTGGGTTCCATTTTCGGAAATTATTTTTGTTCCATTTATATGCAACTTTGTATACACACTACTTGTTTATTTATTGAGATATATGAGTATTTGAATGTTCCTGCTTGTCCGGATATGTATTCCATCTATATGGTTGTGTATCCTCCGAAGCAAACACGGGGGTCCATGGCTATGCAAACAGAATATGGATCAAAGCAAAGGGAATTATGTGCAAGCTAGGGTTCCATTTTGGAGATTGGGGGTATAAAAATCGGGGTCTTTTGAAGGCAAAGCGTAAGCGTCGTCGGCGAGATCCTCATACCCGAAGCTTGTGTGGCCGTGGACACAGAAAGGGACCATGGATGGCCAGGAGGACACCAATTAAGCCGAGGGCGCGGGTTTCTCAGCCATTGATGATATCAACGTGGTATTGGATCCATGATCCGTCCGTGATGGAAGGCAGGTACTGATAGAAGTGACAATTATCCAACAGCTCCAGAGGTTTAGATACCTGTCTTGCCCAGAACATCGGCCAGGTCATCGACGTCCTTATCCTCTCTCTCAGCGACCTTCTCTTCCTCGGCAAGGTCCGCATCCTTTAGGTCCTTGTCAGCCTTGGCCTCTTCCTCGTCCTCCTCTTCCTCTTCCTCTTCCTCTTCTTCCGAATCCTCCTCCTCGAGTTCATCCAAATCATCAACACCCCAAGTATCCTCGGGGTCATCGTCGGTACCGTGCTCTCCCTGTCGAGCCTCCAAAAGCTCACGCAGGTCGACGATGTGAGGATCCTCCTCGGAGAAGATATTTCCGTTGAGCTCGACACGACGGAGACTGGGAAGCGCAGTCTTGGCTGCATGGGTGAAGCTCTTGACAGCCTCCGCCTTCATCTCGTTGTACTGCAGACGCAAAGTCTGGAGTTTCGGGTTCTTGTTCTGCGCCAAAGCCTGGGCCACCTTCACACCACCACGGGCAGAGAGCAAGCAGTCGCCGACACCAAGCTCGCGAAGAGACGGCCAGCCGGACAAGGCGTTTGACAGAGCGGTGGAGCCCACATGGGTGAAAGTGTTGTCCTGCAGATCCAGAACCTCCAGGGAATGCGCGTGGTAGAGACCCTCGGACAACAAGTGGGAGATACCCTCCGATCGGATGCCGTTCTGTGTCATCTTAACCGATTTCAGGCCGGCCGCGTGGGCCTTGTAGGCACGAGCCCATGCCTCCATACTGCCGTTCTCCAAGCGGTTTCGTCCGCAGACAACACTCTCTAGCAGCGCGACCTCCTCGCCACAGTTGCGAGCTTCCTCCTTACGCTCAGCCAGCTTTGACAGCGCATCGGCGACCTGAGATCCGGCGGCAGGGCCGAGTCCGTTGTTGTTCAGAATAAGGTGGCGGAGGGGTACGTGGCGCGAGAGGAATTCGATAAGCGGGGCCTGGGTTCTTAGACCGAAAGCATTGTCGTTAAGATTTACGGTGTGGACGGTCGAGATCTTGAGGATAGCATTCAGGAGTGAGTTCAGAGCAGTGGGAATTTCCGTCAGGAGACGACCGGTGAAGATGTCGTCAAAGTAGGCAGCTTCGAGGCACTTTTGGTTCTGCAGAACCTCGGCCAGGCGCTTGGAGGCGTCAATGCCAAGAGTGTTTCCACCGAGACGGATTTCAGTGTAGTCGGTGTTGTCAATCAAGGGCTGAATGTGTGCATTCATGTCCTCTGCGGTGTCGAGCTTGAGGACTTTGCCCTCGAGGGAGAAGACCTTGTGAGGGGCCATGGCGGGGTAGTTGTTGAAGTGGGAGAATGAGATAAGAAATAGAAATAGAATAGGGTAAGCGTGAGGTCAATGGCAGACAATATCCTAGAAACGAGGAGACCCAAGACCTAAGGATAGACAGAAAAGAACCGAAACAGTCTGTAGTGTAGGAGGCGACCCCGGAGAGGCGACTTTGTTGACAACAGAAAAAAAGAATAAATACGGCGGGGCATGGCGACCAGTTGCGCAGCACTTGCCATTAATAATGTCCGATGGTGTCAGCCCTGGAGTCGTGTAACGACTTTCACAACTTCATACTTGACACTCTCTTTCTGTCTTTCGTTTACTGGAAATATTTACCAAGCACATTTACATATCCATCACAATGTCCTGGCTATTCGGTTCCTCAAAAGGTAAATCAAGGTTTCTTTCCACCTAGTCGGGCCGAATACATGCGCAATGCGCCAGTCCTACATATCAGTGTCAGAAAAATATTTTGACCCTCGCTTATACAATGCTTTCTAGAGAAAAGTGCCACTGCCCCTGAGCAAGCACCCGCTCAGCCCGCCCAGTCCGAAAAGCCCAAGGTATGACCCGATACTGCCGACCCAGCAGTCGCAAGCGACTGATCCTGCCTTCATTCTAGCCCTGCTGCGTCTGCAAACCCGAGAAGACCGCTCGCGATGACTGCATGCTCTTCTCCAAGTCCGAAAACCCCGAGCAGGAGTGCAAGTCCACGATCGAGCAGTACAAGACTTGCATGGCTGGATTTGGCTTCAAGGTCTAGACTTGATCTCTGACCGAATGCCCTCGGCTGTACTATCACTATACAACATTGTACTATAGCATTCATTGGCGGGAGTTTTTGTTTTCTCCGGATGTCGTCTGTTTGAGGACATGTTTGGTTATTTGTGACATGTTGGAATATAAAGTTTGGCACTAGTTTCCCAATACAACGTCTCACCTCTTAAAGAAATATCAAACTCAATCATATTAATGAAACAATTTGCAGATTTACTGCTCCATTTTGGATAATCTCACAATATAGGGTATCACTGAAAATCATACAGCCTCCACCTGGGCTAACAATCACTGCTTCTTTTTCTGGCTTTCCTCCTCGGTCGCCTGCCGACTGATCTCGCGACATTGGGTAAATAGTTTCCACATACACCACAAATAGGCAATTCCGAACCCACCAGCTCCGATCAAGGCATTCAAGACAACCCAAAGATCTGGCTTTCCAGGCGGCGGGGCCACAAATGCCTCCAGGATATGCCAGGCAATCATGGCCAAATAGAAAGAGAAGTGTAGAAGAGTTGTGAGAATGCTAGGTTCGAATTGGGCATTGGAATCTTCCTGGGATGGCCGACTTCGATAGGTTTCGAAAGAAGTAGGAGGCAAGCCAAGAAGATAGGCCCAGAGCAGAGTCATGACTATGTAAGGAACGCGGAGCTCATCCCGCTTAAGGAGGGGGTACATGGTCCATGAGCCAAGCACGTTGGCCCAGCCCACCCAGGCGCGTGTTTCTTTGCTCAGTCCACCGTTACCAGCAAGCAGCAGGGTCATCGGTAGCAGAGGCAGCAGCACACTCTTCTCATGGACCTGGAAAGAGAACAAGAAAAATCCCCAGGAGACGGCAGATAGAGCTGGAAGGAGAAGCGAGGCCCGAGGGTGGCGGAAGATGATAGCACATGGAACGATGATTGACGCCAATGTGGCACCGAGCGATGCTCGCTGCAACAATGTAGTGTCAAAGCGGGTGAGCTTGTAAAAAGTGTGAATGGCGCACCAAGCGTTGGCAACTTTGTCTTCGAAGAGCCCACGCGCAAAGGGGAACACCCGGTGAATGATCTGCGTTAGTTGGAACAATAGCCCATATGCAACAGCATTCTTGTCCATGTGGATAGGAAGTGCCTGCAACATCGGCGGCACCGGAGAAGATGCAAATGCCTTTCGAGCTTCGGCATTGGAGGCACCAACCAAAAGAGGCGCCAACAGCAAAGCAAAACTAGCCAATGTTATGAGGGCTATGCTCACAAGACGGGGAATATTAATCCGAGGGAATGTGCAGACACCAAGAAGATAGGCAAACATGACTGGTGCATAGTACAACGCCATCTGCTTGAATCCCAGTGCACCAACGAAGAAAATGCAAGCCCAGAGCATACGCCCCGCCAAGATAGCGTCCAAGCTTGCAACCACCAATCCCAGCATAACTGTGTTATATTGGAAATGGCCATGGTCGATGAGGATGTTCGCTGGCTGAAGGAGGACTGCTACGAGAGCAATTGAGGCGGACCAAGCATGAACACCCTGCATCCGAGTGTAGCGGCGAAGGAAATTAACCACGGCCGGGATGAACACCAAGTATTCAGACACCACGACGGTGGCGCGCATGTAAACTTTCAAACGGGGGTCCTCGAAACCTCGCGAGGCGTCCAGGGCGAACCAGGCTGGATCGAAGGCAGAGCCACTAGAGAGGTCGACGGGTCAGCAGGAGGCCTGGAAATTCCACAATGCATGGCAGGTAGGGAAATGTACATCTTTCCGAGTAGCCAGCTGTGATATGCGGTCAATGGTGGATAATCGAGACCCCAGTATTGCAGATCGTATGTGTACCACTTTGCCAAAGGCAGATGTGTGGTAATTTCCATCCAGTGCCGTTGCGCCTCGAAATCACCGTGCATCGGGGGAACTTGGAACCCTAGAAGATATTAAAATATGTACCGACCTCCGAAGAGACAATGTCGCATACCAGAGTAACCCCATAAGCTCACAGCCCATCGGAACAGGCCAACGGCCATGAGGACAAGTGGGAGAATCAGCCATTGAGACACACCGGCCCGAGCAGCCCACAAAAATGAGACTAGTGGAAATGCTGGAGATTGCTTCCCATCGCCTAGATCCAAGATCAGGTTATTGTTTGAGCCGGGGGAGATCGCAACCTTTCTCTTCTTGCGAGGGCGGTGCGAGGAGGGTGTCGGAGGGGCCATCACGTTAAAGGCCAATGGAAACTTATCGTCCCATTGACTATCGAGCTAAAAAAAAGTCGAACGGTGCCTGGACGAGTATAGTGATAGCAGAAGAATTGACGTAGCAGGTACACGACGTAGACAAAAGCAAAAGGCACCGCCAAGTGAACACGCGATTGTGAGTCGTCGACAGCCACTGGCAAGGTACCCACATAGTGTTGGGACCGAGTGCCTGCGCTAGCCTCTTTAGGCAGGCGGAGTGGTTCTGCCAGCCTCCGAATTTTTTTTTCAAAAATTTTTCCTTATCAGAGCTGATGGTCCCCAGCTCTTCACACTTTTTTCTCTTCCTCTTTCCATCCTCCCTACTTCTTTTCTCATCCCCCGTTCAATAAGCAGTCCGTCTCAGGTCGCTTTACTTATCCCATCTCTTGACTACCCAAGAGACCTCTACACACTAACTAACGCAGTCGCGTGGGTTCTATCTCGTAAGTTCGTTTGGATACTCTGAGGGCTTCTTATCACTCTGAGGGCTGTGGGCTTGACATACATCTATTCTGTGGGCTCTGTGGGACATCTTCCTCGTGGGTTACATATTCTAGACAGTATCAGCTGTCGGTTGCTTGTGGGCTTGAAAACTTGTCCGTCCGTGGGTAGTGGGTTAACGTCCAGCTGTGATTTAGTTCACTTCTGGCAGTTCTTCTGAGGGCTGTTGTTCCATTTTACACATCCAAAACACGGGTGCTTTGAGGGATCGTGGGCTTTGCCGCACATACTACAAGAATTTCACTTGTCACTAAAGTATGTGCCACCCTACCCAAGCTACAAGCCAGCCTCCAAGCCCTCTTCCTGAGTCCCCTCCATTTGATCGAAGAGCATTGGCTAACATTGATTTTTCCTCTAGTTCAATATGTCCAAGACATCTACCAAGGGTGCCGATAAGGCCGGCAAGGCCGGTAAGGCCAGCAAGGCCTTGAACAAGGTCAAGGATGCCGGTGTCACCAAGGCTTCCCAGTCCCCCGCCGCCAAGAGCAAGGCCGTTGCCAGCAAGGTCATCTCCAAGGAGAAGTCCAAGAAGACCAACAAGAAGAAGGAGCCTACTCCCAGCTCCTCCGAGTCTGAGTCCGAGTCCGAGTCTGATGAGGATATGAAGGATGCTTCCTCCAGCTCCAGCTCCGAGTCCGAGTCTGAGGAGGAGAAGCCCGCTCCCAAGAAGACTGAGAAGAAGGTTGAGAAGAAGGTCGCTGCTAAGGCTGAGTCTTCTGACTCTTCCGACTCTGACTCTGACTCTTCCGAGTCCGAAGAGGAGAAACCTGCCCCCAAGAAGGTCGAGAAGAAGGTTGCTGCTAAGGCTGAGTCTTCTGACTCTTCCGACTCTGACTCTGACTCTTCCGAGTCCGAGGATGAGAAGCCCGCCCCCAAGAAGGCTGAGAAGAAGGCTGAGTCTTCTGACTCTTCCGACTCTGAATCTGAGTCTGAGTCTGAGGCCAAGAAGGCCTCTTCTGACTCCGAGTCTGGTTCCGACTCTGACAGCTCTGATTCTGACTCCGAGGAGACCCCTGTCTCCAAGAAGCGCAAGGCTGATGCCGAGCCTGACGCCACTGCCAAGAAGTCCAAGACCGAGGATGTCCCCGAGGGTGCCGTCGCCAACCTGTTCATTGGTAACCTGTCCTGGAACGTCGACGAGGAGTGGCTCCAGCGTGAGTTCTCCGAGTTCGGTGAGCTTTCCGGTGTCCGCATTGTTACCGACCGTGAGACTGGCCGCTCGCGTGGCTTCGGCTACGTTGAGTACACCAACGCCGCCGATGCTGCTAAGGCCATGGAGGCCAAGAAGGGTACCGATCTTGATGGTCGTACCATCAACCTCGACTACGCCGCTCCCCGCCAGGCCAACCCCCAGCAGGGTGCCGACCGTTCCCAGGATCGTGCTCGCTCATACGGTGACACCACCAGCCCCGAGAGCGACACTCTTTTCGTTGGTAACCTTCCTTTCAGCGCTACTGAGGATGCTCTCCACGAGGTCTTCGGCGCCCAGGGCTCCGTTCTCGGAATCCGTCTCCCCACTGAGCAGGAGACTGGACGCCCCAAGGGCTTCGGTTACGTTCAGTTCGCTTCCATTGATGAGGCCAAGGCTGCCCACGCTGCTCTCAACGGCCACGAGCTCGAGGGCCGTGCTATCCGTCTTGACTTCTCTACTCCCCGTCCTGCCGGTGGTGACCGTGGTGGCTTCGGCGGCCGTGGTGGTGGTCGTGGTGGTGGCCGTGGTGGCTTCGGTGGCCGCGGCGGCGGCGGTGGTTTCGGTGGACGTGGTGGTGGTGGTCGCGGCGGTGGCCGTGGTGGCTTCGGCGACCGTGGCGGCCGTGGTGGCCTCAACAAGGGCAAGGGCAGCATCCCTGAGTTCAAGGGTACCAAGGTCACTTTCTGAACTTGAGGTGCCTTCCTTTAAACGTTTGATTTCCGCATCATATCGGTGTCCCATGGGTCTCAGGTCTTCTTTGAGAGAAAAAAGTTCGTGCTTAATTATGTGTAATATGACCTTAGCTCAGGTATCTTTAATTTGATACATCATTTCATTTTCATTTTGATCAACTTTGCTCCTTTTCATTCTTCGTGTTGTAAGTATATTGCCACTAGTAACCGCCTTGCCGCCTTGCCCAGACTATTCTTTGTGTTGCCTACAACTCATTCCAAGGCTCCAAGGTTCTTTGATCGGATTATTGATGAAAGAAGGTCTGATCTCAAAATCTACAATAAGAACCGCAACACCCGCCCTTTACCTCTGACAACCCCTCGCATCGTCTTTCGCCCCTTGTCACGAGCTGCAAATCACCTGTTCGGTCCGCTGATCACCTCATCAGTTCGATTCTTTCCACCTGGGTCTCTTCATCTTTCTTTTGTCTCTTTTCATTCTGTCCTACAGAGAAACATAATCATCTTGATCCCTTTCAACCCCTTTCATCTCCTGCTTTTTGTTAGCAGAAAGGAGTATACATTGTGTCGGGCATCGATCGATCGACTCCACATTTGATAAGATAATCTCTCCCGCCCCACGTTGACCGCTCTCTTGTGCTCCATTCCAGGGTGGCCTGACCCCCTCTTTTCTATATTTTTGTTCGTCTCCGCCCATATCCTCCCATATTCCTCCAACCCTCAATATGCAACCAAATCACTGCGACCTACTAGGTCAGGCGCGTGAGTCTAGAGCCGCAAGTCGGATGACGCGCGATGGCCATCAGCCGCTTCGAGATAACGGTCAGCCTCAGCCATCGGGTGCGGCGCCCATGAGATCAGAGGGTATGTAGTTATAATGCGACCGGTACCCCCTTTCCGGTGAAATTTCAATATGCATACAAAATCGCTCCCAGATCTCCATAATGTACTCACTACGATACTACATAGATTCTTGGATCGACGTGTCCTCCCAACCCTCCTCTTCCTCCATTTCCTCTGCTGCCACAAATGAAGATATAATTACAACCGGATTACGGGTCGAGCAAAGAGGCGCGGGCGCATATCAGCGCCGCAGTCGCCGACGCCATCTGCAACATCTTGCCGCTATTACCACTGCCCAGGCGGCCTATGCGTCGCAGGATGCCAGCCAAACCAGTAGCAGTCAAGAGGAATATGAGGAGAGCGAAAGCGAGTCTGATCATGTTCTCAGCAGCTCAAATGAAGATATGACCCGCCCAAGGCTGCGAACTGCATTATCCGCGCACTCTGTACCCCTTTTCTCAGGTTCAGATGCTGCCTCCAGCGATGATGAAGATGATAGTTCTACTGCCCTAGGGATGGGAATCAACACATCACCTTTCGTACCTCAACCAAACATATTCACACACCCGCCAGCGACGTCGGAGCCTGGATGGTCTGCACGGCGTCCACAATCTAGTGTCCCGTCTGCCTCTACTCGCCGTACCGTTCCTCGAAGAGAATCCTACCCCAACCCACGGTCATCGCGGAGATCTCCATATCAGCACAGCCCTTACAACATGATCTCCCCTTCCCATCATGCCGACCACGATGCCGCCCTTCGTGCCAGTCTATCCACACTTCTTTCGTGTGCGGCTGCCGCCAGAGGCCTTCCGAAGAATGATAGTCGACCATCAGATACCCCGGCGGCTCCCCCTGGAAGCGGACAACCTGCTTCATTCCGACTAGTCGGCCCATCAGTTGCCATGGGAGATGATAGCAGCGACGAAGAGAGCCCATCCTCGCCGCGCTATCCAGAATCAAGCCCGTCTATAGGAGTACCACAGAGACGCGTAAGAGCACCGGCGGTATCAGCTGACTCTGCCTCCAAAGCAAAGCGTCGTTCAAGTTCTCCCAAAGACCGCGGTGTTGCCTCGAAAAAGAGTCGTCGCGTGAGTATGACGGATCCAACAACGGCCATGAGCCCCACGGTCATGACATGGGTCATCAGCGCGGGTGTTGTCGTTCTATTCTCCGCAATCAGTTTTTCCGCGGGGTATATGATTGGCCGTGAGGTTGGGCGAGCCGAGCTCGGAATGGTGGGAGATGGTGTTTCTACCCCTCGCCCCTCAGTGGGGTGTGGCCAGGAAGCGGTCCGCGGCGGGCTGCGAAAACTGCGCTGGGGATCTGCGGCTGCAGGCTCAGCCAGTCTCGCAATGTAATGTTCCATGAGGAATGACGAAGATTATGTCAACACATTACGATGCAATATCGAGCTGCGTTGGTTTTCTGAACGATGACCCGCATGCCAGACTATCCTCATCTTTCTCTGTTTGATTGATATTCTACTCTGATCTCATTGACAGATAGTCATTGGGATTCGATTGTTATATGCGGGGTCTTGTGACCTGCTGGTACTCAAAAATCGGCGTATCTTGAGGGTTTACGCAGGTGGCTTTTGTTTTGGAGCGATGGAGTCTTGGTTCTAGTTCCCCTTGTGTGGCTTCCATGCTGGTTTTTTCACGGTTTATTGCGTTCAACCTATACCCTCTTTCTATCCCCCTATCTTATATATCGAATGGATGGTTTTATTATAAACTCGCGCCCCGTTTATACCGGGGTCTGGTGGTAGTGTCTCAAGCCGTATATCAAGTTGTGTGTGGATTTGTGTCGTAGACAAAAGTGGATCCTACTGGAGACGACCAATGGCAGCCCTTCATATTTCTGCTAGATTGCGCTATACCCAATCTGGTGTATATGAACGATGATAGACTGCTACCATCCCCCAGGACAACACTGCTTTTCTTTGGAGCGCAATATAAATCTCAAGTCTGACCTTGTCAATGATGGATTCCAACTTTTATGTGATCTCCTCGCCTTGTCTCGGGAATTCGATAATCCGGTGGGGAAATGCCAAAGTCCCTGCGCCTTCCCGCCCCGCTGGGTCTCTGCAGCCGGTTGCACATGCCTTTAGTGGACGAATCCTTGGCCATTGATAACAAATCAACGATCCGACAATGTGACATTTTGGGGGTCTTTTGTCCCTACACAATTGTCTTCACGCCTCTTTGTCTTCCAACCCCATCCTCTGAACCTCCCAGCTACTATTCAACATGTTCTTCCAAAGCGCCCACGAGGAGAAGGACAAAGAGGCCTTGCTCCATTTCATCCGGCATAACCCACTCGGGGTCTTGATCACCGGCATGAACTCCTCCCAGCAAGACTTCCTACAGTGCACCCATGCCCCATTCGTGGTGGATTTCCCCGAGGAAACAGGCAAGACAGACGCCTATCTCCGCGCCCACATCGCCAAGCAGAATCCACAAGTCAAGTCAATGATGGAGGCCGTGGATGACAAGCCACCGAACGTTCTCGAACTCGACGACGACGTCCTAGTGCTCTTCAATGGCAAATACGAGCACTACGTGACTCCGAAATTCTACGTCGAGACAAAGCCAGATACCGGGAGGGTTGTGCCTACATGGAATTACTCCGCCGTCCAGGCGTACGGCAAGATGTCGCTATACTATGATTCCAAAACACCCGAGACTGGCGCATTTCTCGCCAAGCAGCTGCATGATCTGTCGCAGCATTCGGAGAGGTCGATGGGGTATACTGGTGGTGATAAACCGGAGCCGTGGGAGGTATCTGATGCGCCTACGTCGTACACTGATCTCCTGAAGAAAAACATTGTTGGAATTGAGATTCGGATCACCAAGCTTCAGGGGAAGTTCAAGATGAGCCAGGAAATGCGTCCTGGGGATCGTGAGGGTGTGATTCAGGGATTCGCGAAGTTGGGGGATGATGCCAGCGTTGCGATTTCGAATCTAGTGAAAGAGCGAGGTGAATTGCATGATGCAAAGAAGTAAGACTCTTGATGCTGGATGAAGATTCAACGTGGCATTATCCGAAGGAAAACGTACATTGTGTCTGCTGGCCCTCGGAAGCAATTTACTTTTCTCCAATGACGATGTTATACGAATACGACCAAATTCCTCTTGAAAACAGAGAAAAACAACGAGAAAGACTACTATTCAATGAAGACAAAACATGTCCAGTGTTTGGCATCACCCGTATTAATCATGTTAGAAGAGAATTCAGCGCATGTATATCAATTCAAGTTCTCAACCTCCGCCCGATTTTTGATCCTTCTCCAGACCTTTAACTAAATCCTCCCATCAACAGTTCCCACCCATGAACCCTCTAGTCCCCCATTGCATTCACCCGCCAGCGATCCTGAGTCCCCTTTCTCTTCTGGCAACATCTCGGCACTGCCAGTACCCTCTTCCCAATAAACTCAGTCGGATCTACCGCAAACGAAAGCCATGTATTCGCATAAACACCACCATCATCCTCAATCTCAATAATGTTAATCTGTAACACCTCAGGGTTGATATCCCCAGCCGGGACGAGATGGTCAAATGTGGCACCATAATAGTCAATCAGCCTAGTCGGATCAGCAGGAGGGAATATCAGAGCCGGTTACTTCCACTAGGACCTAGAGATTGATAGAGACTTACTCTTCCGGGCGCTTTTTTGGCATCCAGCCCAGGTACTCACCCTGCACCACTAGATCACCAGGGACTTCTGGATGAATATCCCGTCCGTATATGGTTTGATAGGTTAACCGTGCTAGCTCTGGGCCTGCTGACTGTGGGAATACTCGATCTCGAGAATCTAGACGCCATGGGATATCTGGCAGCAGCCTTTCTATGGCGATCAGAGGTCCTTTGATTTAAATTCTGAGGGGTTGGTCGGCGATGGGAGGTGATATCGGCCGGCGGGAGTGTGGATGCAAGGTGAGATGTAAAGTGGGAGCACCACAGATGAAGCCGCTTGATTGCCTCTGCTGGAGTGTATCAAACCCGAAGAGCCTGTTTTTATTATTTAAGAAGGATAATTGCAAAATTCCAATGTATGAGATGTCTCCTACCTCAACTAGGTAGGTTAGTGGGGTAATCCGGTATATGCACATTGTAACACGAGGGGAGACTTCTGTTGTGCTTGTTGACTTGGTATATGTTATCTGTTAAGCTTCTCTCTTTTACAATAACAATGAACGAATATTTGGCAAACTGCCTGTAGGTGATACGAAGTATTTCCGGCTACATTATCTATGGACTCGAGATAAACAGGTAGTATGCCGGCCTAGCTGCAGCGTAGAACTAGAGAATGGCTGCCCAAGCATATGTCGGGTTTGATAACATTTGACCCAATAATCAACAATAGTGTCAAGTCTCCCGGCTTGTAGTACGGATTGTAGTACTATGTTGGCGGGTTGGCGGGTTGGCGGGTTCGATGTCTGTTCTTGGAAGATCAACCCGCCTCGCGACGGGTTGTCCTACCAAATTGGAACCAGATCGTTCATATGATCGCTGTATAGACGTGGCTATCAGTCTAACATCAAATTGTTCTGGAGCGTATAAAGGGATCGATATGATTACCATTAAAGCAAAAAAGACTGGAAGACACTCTCCACTGTACCTTCTTATTACTTAATCATGGCTTCAATGTTCAACTATTTCGGCTTCAATGCCACTGCCCCCAAGGAAGAAACAAAAGCTTCAGCCGTTCGTGCCTTGCCTGCATCATGGTACACTTCACCAGAGATGTACGAACTAGAGCGCCGAGCCATATTCTCGAAGAGATGGCTCTTCATCACCCACAGCATGCGGTTGAAGAACACCGGAGACTGGCTCCGCTACGAGCTTGCAGGCTTCGACTTCATCATCACTCGCGACCGACAGGGTAACATCAACGCATTCCACAACGTGTGCAGACACCGTGCGTACCCGGTCGTTGAGAAAGAGGGATCTGGGAACTCGCAAATCCTCGCTTGCCGATACCACGGCTGGTCCTACGGACTGAATGGCAAACTCGCCAAGGCTACGAAATACCAAGAGCTGAGCAACTTCGATAAGGAGCAGAACGGTCTCTTCAGAATCCATCTGAAGGTCGACGTCAACGGCTTCATCTGGGTCAACATGGATGCGAATGAAGTCCCGGAAGTGTCATGGGAAGACCATTTCCGAGACGTCGACAAGCAAGAACGCTACAAAGCCTATAACTTCGATGACTACGATCTCGATCACACTTATGCGCTCGAGGGCGACTATAACTGGAAGATTCTGGCGGATAACTTCAACGAATGTTACCACTGCCCTACAACACACGCCGATATTCCTGAGTTCCTTAACCTGGAATCTTTCGACAGTGATCTCAAAGATGGACATATCCAACACCACTGCGAATCTACACCAGAGCAAATCGAGAAGGGCCTTTACACGGCCAGTACTTACTACTTCCCCATGTCTGCCATGGTTGTCTCGTAAGTGTTTCCAGTTTGTGCTTTCTCCAATAGTACATCGTCTAACATGTACATACAGGCCGCACTTCATCATGATACAGAAATTCCTCCCCTCAAGCCCGAAAAACTCCAAGATGGACTACGAGATCTACCGGAACCGGAACTCCTCTGAGACAGACTTCAAGCTTATCAGTGAGATGTACGCGCGCGTCATGGGAGAAGACAAAGTCCTCTGCAACAACGCACAGAAGAACCTCGACCGGAATGTCTTTACGAGCGGCGAGCTTCACCCTAAGTACGAGAAGGCCCCGCTGTTCTTCCAGAGCACAGTCCGCGATGTCATCACGGAGCACTTTGAGCGTGAGAAATCCGCGGGCCGGGAGATCTGGCCGGCGAAACCGAAAGTGTCATGCAATGCAGATGTCAGCGAGAAGGATGAGCAGATCTGTGCGGCCCTGGCCTGTGGAGCTCAGAAAGAGGTTTTAGCTTGGTGATTATTGCATTGGTTTCTTGTGGATAGCCTATGATCTTTGAACATGAACTGGAAATACTTTAATGAATTTAGCCTTATCATTTGCCAAACGTACGGATCATGGCTGTGCTGATATCTTCGTCAGGAAGAGTACAGTAATCCTATGAACTCGCAGTAGTATGAGTATCGCGTTACGGAGAAAGTTGCCCAGGTGACCTCGGGAGCTAACCCGTGTAGATAAGATAAAAACTTTTAGGTGTTGTGCGGAGTTTCACGAAGATTGAAAGAATAAAAAGGACAAAGAGCGATCAGTAGCTAGATCGGGATTTTCCGTCGACACAAGCTAACCGCCACCCTTCTGTCTAAGTATGCCTAGAAAACAGCGCCAAGAAAGTCACATTGGGTCTAGCATATCGGACCAGATGTTCTATAAGAAGGTCTGATACCTCCTTTTCTGATCGGTAATCATATCTTCCACTGCAAGAATATGGCCTTATTAGCCCTTCCCTCAGAGCTACTTGCGATCATCACGTCTCTGTCGGACACGGAAACGCTCAAGGCCCTGAGGCTGGCAAACCACATGTTACGCGCCTCTGCAACGAAGAATCTGTTCTCCACAGCCTCACTGTTTACGGAGGATATAAGTTGTGAGGCTTTCGAGTCCATCATAACACATCCGCAGTTGAAAGAATACGTGCACAAGATCCGCCTCAATACTGTGGAGTTTATATCCGTGCGTGAGATATGCACTGTCATGCAGTCAATGGGTAGCTAATACGCAACAAATTAGGACCCCGACACAGATAACGATGAGCTTGAACTACCTGTCAAATGGAAGGAGCTCCTACTTATGCTTCCAAATATTCCGAATCTCAAAAGCGTTGTTCTGCGCTTCGACAAATAAACCGCGATGGGCGAGGCGGTTGGTTTTATCCACCCCAGTCACTTGAATACCGCGAAACCATCTTAGAATGGCTGGGTACGGGGCTAGTGTCTTTAAAGCGACCGTTGAAAGAACTGGGGATTCAGCATCAGCAGAACGTGACACCACTGAGCGAAGATTTACAGCAAGTACTGAGTACGCTGAGTTCGTTGAGACTGAATGTTGTGCATGAATGCGACCCTGCGTGTACTGAAGCAGAACTCGAGGTACGTAGTAACACAAGCCAGTCTACATCTTCAACATATGCTGAGTATAATATTTTATACTAATTCGGCGAGATAACGGAAACAGGAAGTGCGTGAGTTCTACGCACATACATTGTCATTAGTCTGGCTGAAACCCACGATGGGATCACTCCGGAAGCTGTCTCTATACTCCGACCTTTAATGGGGATTTTATCCTAAATTCAGCCTCGAAGGGGTTCACTTTCCCAATTTGCAATCGCTCACTCTGGGAAACTTCTCCTTTTTCGAAGACCAGCAGGTTGATTGGATTCTCTCGCACTCGTCAACACTCCATGAACTCTACCTTGACAATTGTACGATTTTATTCCAAGTGAGATTATCGAACGTCGAATACTACATTGACGATTGCCCAGTACCGATATCCAAAATGAAATGGCAAACTAGCAAGCACAGGAGGGGCGAGGACTGGTACTATCATTATCCACGCCGGTGGAATGAATATTTTGCCTCATTTGAAACAGGTCTTCCATATCTCTGTCGCTTTGCAATTGGTCACAATGAAGCATGGGATTCAGCGTACAATGAGTTGCCTTTTGAGAAAGAACTGGACCTTAGGCCGGCATTGATGTGTGACCGGTACATGAAGTTTGATAGCGGTACAGGTCCTTCTCAGTTTCTTGACCCAAGGCGAGGGGGGGGAAGATAGGGAGGATTGGCCACAATGTGACGACGAAGACCGCGAGGGTTTGAAGGCATTATTAAGGAAGATCAATCAGCAGGTAGACTGTGGGGATTTTGATGTAGGACATTACGAGGTGAGCGATTTGGTAGAATTCAGTATTAATGAAGATTTGACCCATAGCTGAATTAGATCTATACCAATAGAATCTGTATTATTGCCCTCTCATTGCATATCAACTCCGTAAACTCCAGACATCGGCAAGTCGGCACGTGAGGAAGACCAAAAGCCGAACCAATCAAAAGGCGGTGAAAGCAGGTGCCGGGGCTTACCCGCGGATAAGAGCTACCCCGGCCACCCCGCGCTGATATAATAGGAGACCAGCCGCCCCTCGGCTGTTGAGGACTGACCGATGCCAGAACGGAACCATCGTGGATGAACGCGATCGCGACATTCGGCAGGTGACAACGGGATTTTTGCGGGTTTGGAACCGTTGTGACTTCCCCACATCCACGACCAGCCGAACAATATGCCGTCGCCTATCGTGTATATAGACCTGGAAAGGCCGCCCTGACTTCCTTGACTTTTACAGCTCTCTCCAATAATATAAAATGTCTTCCACACGCCAGTTCGACCCCAACTTCACCCCCTCTGTCATCAATGGCATGGGCCCCAATACCCCCGAGCGTGCTCGCGTGGTCTTGGGTTCTCTTATCAAGCACATCCACGACTTTGCTCGTGAGGTTGAGTTGACCTCCGCCGAGTGGATGCTCGGCGTTGAGTTTATCAACTCTATCGGCCAGATCAGCACTCCTATCCGGAACGAAGGCCACCGTATTTGTGACGTGATCGGCCTTGAGTCGTAAGTTTCACATCTGCTTCTAATAAAAAAAAAGAAAACAAAAGCGAAAAAAAGAAAAGCTAAAGCTAACTGTTCAAATCAGTCTCGTCGATGAGATCGCCAACAAGATCATCACCGAGGACGGTCTCTCCCCTACATCCAACGTCATTCTCGGCCCCTTCTGGTCTCCCAACGCCCCCTTCCGCGCTCTCGGCGACAGCATCATCCAGGATCCCAAGCCTAATGGCCGTGTCACTTTTATGCACGGTGCCATTACCGATATGGAGACCGGCAAGCCGATCGTCGGCGCTGTCCTCGACATCTGGCAAGCCTCGGCCAACGGCCAATACGATTTCCAGGACCCCACCCAGACCGATAACAACCTCCGCGGCAAGTTCCGATCAAATGAGAAGGGAGAATTCAACTGGTACTGCTACCACCCCACTCCTTACTCCCTGCCCACCGACGGCCCCGCCGGTGTCCTCCTCAACCTCATGGACCGTTCGCCCATGCGTCCCGCCCACATCCACCTCATGATTACCCACCCCGACTACGCCACCGTCATCAACCAGATCTACCCGAGCGACGACCCTCATCTCGCCATCGACTCCGTCTTCGCTGTCAAGGATGATCTCGTCGTAGACTTCAAGCCCAAGACCAATGACCCCAAGGCCTCTCTCGACTTGGAGTACAATGTCCGCATGGCGCTCAAGAAGCACCACCCCAACCCCAACTCCGCTCCCCCCGTGTCCTCTTTCGAGCGTCACGCCAAGGCGGCCAAGGAGGCACAGGGAAAGCTTTGAGCGGGTGGAAACCGGTTGCACAAATTGGACGGCGTTCGACATGACTCTTGTACATATAGCATTTACTTGATTTTTCACGTTTACACGATTTATTTATCTCTTCCGCTTCCTTCCAACACATTGATGTCGCGTAGAAGGCCCGTGTTGCCGCCTTAAACTTTCAAGGTTTGCATCCTGGCTAGGCCCGCGTGGCTAGATCGTGTAGATCTCCCGTTATGCAGGCCACATCTTAACTTTTAGCTGCATGATGACCTAGCTCGGAATCCGGGGTCGGCATATCTTGACCAGTAGGATTTAACGTCTACTTGGCCACTAAACCATTCTCCCAATGATATGCAGAGTGTCTAACTTTTTTTACTAGAATTAAGGGTTCTAAAACTAGCGTAGTTTTCAATCTCACATAGTAGAGGTTATGGAGACTCCCGAATATCCTACTGCCAACTGCCTATGCTCCGTGGGCAATACTGGCGTGCACAAAGCGAATGAAAATATGACATTCATTCTCTGAGAAGGAATCAACTATACTCCTATACAACGACCTAGAAAGTCCTCCGCGGATGACCCGACGGATCAGGCCGCCAAGAAATATCACTTGCCTCCTCGTTCGGTTGATAGTAGGCCTTGGATACCCTAGCCTTTGCGCTTTGAACACGGTCTTTGTCCACGAGGTTGGTCTTATCCATAAGCGTCCTATAGTCCTGGACTGGGATTTGTGTTAGCAGGTCTGGAGATGATAAAGTCGGAATTGTTCAAGGGAAGCTACTTACTCATTTCCTCGTCCATGTCAGAGGAACCGGCATCAACAGGATCTTTCATATCCGAGGTCTCATCCTCTTGTTCCCGTGCCTCCAGGTTCAGGGCTTGAGCATCGTTGGGAGTGACCATTTTCAATGTGGGAATTATCGAGCGTCTGTTGGGAGATTTGTCGGTGCTTGGAGATGGGGCCTTAGTTATAGGCTGGGGGGATTCTGCATCGTCATTATGACCATTCATGACATTTTGCGGAGTCGCCCACATGGAATTTGCCGCTCCGTGGGGGAGGGAAGTTGTCTGGACTGCAAATTTATTCATCGGTTGGCGTTATAATGTGGTCGTACTAGTAGGTCTAATAGATCAAAAGGACTGTCCGTAGTCCATGTTTGAAACCTCGCACTACAAAGGCTAGTACTGTCAAAATCACCTAACTTGAGAGATAATATATGGAAATTTGCCTCAATGCCACTGGATCAGGAATTGGCCACTATCACCTAGGAAAATACGTCTATGTGTTTGTTCTAGGTATGTCTGTGTACGAAAAGTGATGGATCGCGGAATAATTCGCTTCGATTAGAGACTTTGCAACTTGGACTCAATTGGTTTGTGGTCGGGTATGATAAAAAAAGGATTTATCGTGTGGATTGCCACCAACGCCCCTTTCTCAGTAGGAGCATAGTGACATTCCAAATCAAAGAAAACAGAGACAATGCCAAATTTTCAGTTTGAGGAGAACCCCTCAAACCTGGCACTCAACTTCCTTTTCTATCTTCAGCATCGATAAGGCATACTGCTGAATTTCAGCTCCCTTTGTCCAATGCGAACGAGATCGGCATTCAAGAGAGCTTCCTTCTCGAATCCATCCATGACCTGGTTCAACACCGCCGCTGCAAGCTCGCTGCGTTGTATATTCGGAAGGGACCGTCCGAAAAAACCGACGATACGGAAAAGGTTGGCCACCAAAGCTCTCGACCATGTCGAGGGATTAGCAATCACGCCGGGACGAGCGATGCAAACTTCAACTCCTTCGTTCTCGGTTGGGAATTTGAGGACCATGAGCTCTGCATTGCACTAGCTCACCAAAAGCACGACATTAGCGTAAGTTCTAGAATCACGGAGCTCTGGGATTCGAATCCATTACTCGTATCATGTGGTAATCTGCCATGATGACTGCCTTCTTTGTCGGGTCTCGAAATATTCCATCCGCACTCAAGTACATGAAACGAAAGGGACGTGCCGGTCCAGCCTCGTACATGGCCTCAAACCCAAGCTTGGTGCAATCATGGAATACACGATTGAGCTCGGCTTTGCTGGTACGTAAGGGTGTGACGGAGACAGCCCTACCGGTAGTACGCACAAATTGTTGTGGTCAGTTTGAATTAGGCAATGAAGGTGCTGCCCGAGACATACCAGATACACGCGTCGGCGTTAGCAAACTCAGCCTTCACGTCGTCAGGATAATCACCATAGTCGCAAAGGACGATAATCTTCAACTTCGATGAGTCGATGCTTTTGTCGAGCTGCACGGGCTGGTGGGCCAACGCGACGACTTGAGTGATCTCGCGGATTTGCAAGCTTTGTTTTATGATCTCAGTGCCCAGGAGACCGGTCGCGCCAGCTAGGATGAGCTTCATCTTGCTTCGGGGTTTGATGTTGGTGTAGTTGTGCTGGTAGGGAATAATTGGGGTGGTTGCTTGGAAGGTTGGGAGTTTGGGGTCCAGCGCGACTTTCTTAGGTGTTGGGGTTTGTGGACGACATTTGTCAAAACCGATAGTAGCTTCCCCAAAGCAGAACTCCGCTCCTTCCCTACCTATGCTCGACTCCCTCACATTGAATATCACCATCGAAACTATTCTACTCTTGACAACTGTTTATGTGCGGATCCACACCACCTGCAGACGATCAACCCACACCCGAACGCTTATTTGACGGCCCCACTTTCCGCTACATCCCTAGGTCGGTATGTTGTCGGATGTTCGGATACAAGAAACCTGAGGGAGGATAGAAGTGCTATTTCTTGCAATGGTTGTCGCCGACAGATAACACTGAAGAAGTGGGAGTTTCAAGAAACTAGACTCTTGAACCGCAAGAAACTAATAAAATAGACGAACTGGGTCTTGTTGAACAACGAACTTAGTGAGATATACCCCATCTGGAAGCGTGAGTGACACTAATACCTTAGTGCAGATTCTACAGCAGTCGCCACTGGATGGACGGAAACTTCCTGGATTGCATTTACTGACTAACACCTCCTGGCGGTAGAAATATGAATTGAAAGGGCTGTGTGTTAACACATATCGCGCCATAAGTGTTCAAATACCAAGGGATTAAAACAAAACCTCAACCGAATACATCAAGCTGTCTCCCGAATCATGTTTCTGTCAAGACTTCCTTCCGTGGTCACATTTTGGCTAGCCGTGGCAATCACCGGCAATACATTCGATCCCAAAAATTATGCCAAAGCAGATGTCCTAGTCTGCGATGTTGCCGTGGTTGGAGGGGGATCCTCGGGAACATATGCCGCCATCAACCTGCGCAAGATGGGCCAGAGCGTAGTGGTTGTGGAAAGAAAGAAGCACCTGGGTGGCCACACAAACACCTACACTGATAAAGCTACCGGTCTCACTGTGGACTATGGGGTGCAATCGTTCCTGAACAGCTCTATCGCGCTTGACTATTTTGCCCACTTCAACATCTCCCTTGTCAAATATACCGAATCTAATGCCACTATCTCGCTGACAGATTTTAATACAGGAAACCCTGTGCTATTCAACCCCAGTCGAAACCTGACCGGATGGGCCATTCAGGTCGCGCAGTACCCTTGGCTGGACTCTACCTGGGAAATCCCTCAGCCTGTTCCTCCAGACCTGCTCCTACCATTGGGGGACTTCCTTGTCAAATATAACATCTCGGATGCTGCTTTTAATATTTATTTCAGCTCCCAGGGAATTTCAAATCCACTACAGCAGTTAACAGTCAACGTGATGAAGATGGTGGACGCTGCATACTTGAGAGAAATAGCAGGTGCTAGGCTCAACGCCGCAGATAAAAACAACTCTGAGCTATATGTCAAGTCTCTTGCTGAGCTGGGTTCAGATGCTCTCATCTCCTCAACCGTTACAGCTGCTGCAAGACCACAAACAGGGCGAGGCGTCTCACTCGTCGTCAAGACGACCACGGGATTCAAGCTCGTCCAAGCATCTAAGCTTTTAGTCAACATTCCCCCAACTTTAGAAAATATGAGGCCATTCAATTTCAATCTACAGGAGCTTCAGATGTTCTCGCAGTGAACCTATATGGGCTACTATACCCTACTACCCAATAACACTGGTTTGCCCGAAGGGTACCAGTGGATCAATGAGAACAACTCATCTGCAACGTACCATATTCCTCAGCAACCTGGAGCTTCCCAAATTACAAGCATCCGCATTCCGGGAGTGTTCTACGTCTGGTACCGCAGCCCGTCACATATGACGCGGTTGGCAGTCGAGCAAGCGACTATTCGAGCCATTCAGAACCTACAGGAAGCACGGAACTTTACGATTACAACTCCCCAAATCATCAATCTCAACTCTCACACGCCATTCAAGCTAAGTGTGTCGGCTCAGGCTATCCGCGACGGTTTCTACAATGACCTGTATGCGTTGCAGGGAAAACGTAGAACTTGGTACACCGGCGCTGCATTGATCTCTCACAATGGAGGGGTTCTTTGGAAATTCACACAGGCGCTATTGCCCCGGATTGTTGCAGCTTGATCAAAGGCAACCCCGAAAAGTTGAGGCCAAATAATTTATGTCTGTCCAACGCCGCCACTCGCCACTTGAATCAAACCGGATTGTCCCTTGTAGATCCTAACAGAGTCGCGCAGAAAGATAGGCTGTGTTGCAAAACCATTGGGATTCCGGCAACGGCCTGAAAATCTAACTCGGGCATTGGACACGCAATAGCCCAAGGAGCCCATATACGACTCTTGTGTTCCTAATTGACTAAGACAAATAATATGGCATGATTTCATACCCTTAGAAGTAACGCCGAGAGTAGTAAGGACAATAGATAACTGAGGCCGAGAAATTATTTCGATCTTACCAGTCATAGATTAATCAGTATGAAGCGACCCAGGTATAAAATTGCTCGATAAGGTTGAAGCCACTAGGGTGGACCATGAACTAGTACTAGATCGTGGCGTTTTTTGGTGCTGGAGCCATATCAGGGATTAGCGCCCGGCGCGCGACCAACCATGCTGTTTTATTGGTGGCGATTGATTTAGAGGTTCTTCAGTATCGTTCCTTCCTCAGACAGGAACCCAGGAATGCTCTTGCCTTGGGGCAGTGCCTTGCCAGTTCCTTCCTGCCAGTCCCTTCTTGCCTGTTTGAGATATAGTAGTAATAGAGTTACCCGTTTTCGCCTTGTATTATGGAAAGCTTATACAGCTCGGTACGGAAACCGGAGTACCCCGTTCCAGTTTGGTAACTCCGCGGACTTACCCACAGTCCGGCCCGTCCCGACGCTAACAGGCTAGAACCGTTGATCATCGGAGGTTATCTGAATTCTTATCCGCCCCCAGTATGGCCAAGTTTAGACTCCACATTTTGTGCCTAAGGATGGGATTGAAATTTTGAACAGCTGTATAAACAGAATCTATTGCCGTCTGGATCAAGCGTGATATGACTGTGTTCGTTCGTGGGTTTCGAGGCACACGTGCTACGAAGCATTTTACGCCTAGAATTTGTGAGATTTAATGCAATTCTGTTCCGCCTGGGACATTCCGTTAGCCCGAACTCGAGGCTGCAATGGGGTGGCCGAGCCACACCCTACTGCGACAATGCATATCGACAGATCCTGCAGAAACCGAATCTGGCTAGTCGAGATTCCAACAATGACCGATGAGTAAGCACCATATCACTGCCGAGGTACACAATGGGGAGCAGAGCCGCGCGCCGCAGGTCACATGGGGTTCAAGGACTATAACCGTTTAACAATTCCAAATACGTACAACCCCTTTTCGGCCCGGGGCGATAGAGAACCTATCAACACTAGAATCTCACAATATCTACTGCCGTGAATAGGTGCCGGAACGAGCTGAAGTGCACGAGATAAGCCCCGCGTAGTCCTAGAGGTGGCAGTAGGATGACGCAGGTCCAGATAGCGGATGCTGCCACAGCCCTTGGCTTGATTGCCTTTGTGCTTAATTCCCCCGAGCAAATGGTAGTTTAGAAATCAATTAGCAATCAACTATTACAATGAGATGATAGTATATCTACGCTGTACCTACCGTATTTGGTTAGTGTAGCCCCGGTGTATGCGATAGCCTCGCGTGGCTCTCACAGGGGAATATTCACCAATAAGAGAGAGAGTTAACTTATAATGTGGGGCAAAGGCGTACCATGCGCATCTATTTATTGCTACCATGATCACTCGACCAGGTTAAGTCACATCCAAGCTTTTTTCTTGAAGTTACGGTGTGTTGACGTTCTCGGTCGCAACAATCTATTTCCATAGCCGCGAGGGAAATGTACTAGGTTCCATCAGAATTGCTGCAAGAGACCCTTTCGATCAGGTTCAAGTTATCACGTCGCGGAGGAGCAGATCAAGATGTGAGATTTCCGGATATTCAGCCCTACCTGATCTAGCTGTAACCCAAGCCATTTTCTGATACGCTTAGGCAGTCATGGGCCGAGATTCTCATCATGTCAATTGATCTTTATATCTGTCCAATAGTCAATGAGATTATTACGGAAACCTGCATCCAAGACCCTTATCTCAACCATGAAAGATACATCCAAACCGCCAAACACTCTAGATACCATACTACCTTTGCGTCAGAGATCGAAGAAGATATTCTGAACGAGCCAATGACACAATCAATGCCCCGTACATTTCACAACTGTTTCGTGCTACACTCTCTTGGCTCAAATAGGCCGAGAACCAGCTTTACCTCTAGTCCAGCTTGTTGCGTAGTAGGCGTGATTTGAATTATCAATTCCAAATCATTGTCCACGTGCTGCATGTGCCGCGGTTGAGATATGTAACAGCCAGTCGGCGTGGCATATCCACACAACCTGCCACACTAGATTAACAATCCGAACCTCAATCTTGAGCAACTAACCGATTCGGCTAACAGACCTAACACCAGGATGACAGATCATTCAACCTCTGATCAACAATCGACAAACATGGTTAACTGGTTGATACTTACTACCACCATCCAGCTTATCTATGCTACCCAAGCGGCGTGATAAAAATACTAACGCTGCACCCAGCGCAGGCACGGAAGTTTATTCAAAGCTATCTAGATCATTAGCCATTTACCCTTGACAGGCACTATCTTGATTAGCTGAAAGACGTGAGGTCATGAGTATGGGGCCATTTCGGATGTAGCGCTGATCACACCATACGTAGGAGTTCTCTTCGGACTTCATCGGGGAAGAGGAGTAGACTTTCGACAAGTACAAGTTGCCAAATTTGGAAGATCGTGAAAGAAGCTTTCTACAGGGGAGGGTATCTGGCGAAACAAATAGTTAATCTATAATTGCCGACGCTTGAGCGACTCAGGCTGGAGTGCACTCAATAGTCTTAGTTGACAGTTATAAATATCCACTACATATACTTGTGTTATTGACTCGGGTAGTCTTATTCTTACTGGAGGCGCAGTAGTATCAGAACATCAGAACATCAACACTCTATTCAGCTCCTCAATATGTCAGGCTCACGACAGCAGCCTGGACTGGTGAGACAATAGCCACTTAGCTCATAAGGTGACTCTTGGCGCTGACAACTTAGGCTTGTGAGGAATGCCGCAAAAAGAAACTTCGATGCAATAGGCGACGGCCTCAATGTAACCAGTGCGAGGATTCTGGTACGGTCTGCCTTGTGAATCAGGTTCGCTCCCCACGGGGCCCCAAGAAGGGACATTTGAAGGCCTTGCGCAATCGCATTGGTGTGTTGAAATGTGACCTATACACCTTCCCTGCTAATTTATCGTTAGCTACACTGGAAAGCATCATAAATTGTGATCAGGGCAATCTCTGTCCCAACGAAGTATTGGATGGCAGTGAGAAATATCACTCCGACGAGACAATTCAAATGCTCAGCCCACCCCAGGACTATATCCCCAATGCCACAAAAGACGAATGTCGTGACATTATCTACTCCATTGAGACATCGACAATAACCTCACCTATTACACCAATGACCCCACCTGACCATGAGAGCTCAGATATAATCGAGGCAGATCTGTACGCAAAGCTTACCCTCCAAGTCCGGATATTTCTAACAGCTAGTGAAGGGATCAACTATATTTCGACAGAGTACACCCTGTCGCGCCAATGCTCCACCAGGGCCGGTACTTCTCCTGGTCACAGAGATTCAACAAACCAGCTTCTCACATCTGCTTGCAATTTGCAATGTGGGCACTTGCAGCTGCGTCATCTGCCCATTTACAGCACATGCGAGAGTCTCTCTACAGCCGTGCGCGGTCCGGTATTGAGACCCTTGATCACGATATTGAATCTAGCGGTGCGGCCTGTCTTCAGGCAGCCCAAGCATGGCTTCTTCTGACCCACTATGAGTTTCGCTATATGAGCTATCGTCGAGCCTGGCTTACTGCAGGACGTGCCTTTCGCATTATCCAACTCGCAAAATTGCACGAGATTGATCGGCTCAATAACATTAGCATAAACATGGCACACCCCGAAGCCTGGGCCGAGGCCGAGGAAAAGCGACGGACCTACTGGCTAGCATATTGTCTCGATCGTTTCCTCAATATCTCTGACGAGTGGCCTCTAAGTCTAAATGACGAAGCAGTGAGCAATTACTCCTTTTTACAGAATGCTCTGAGTGACACTAACATCTCCAGCTATGCATATATCTCCCCGTCTCGGAGTCAGACTTCCAGCACAGCAGGCCAGTCATTATGGACTCCTTATATGATGAGATCGAGGCCTCCGGACACAAAATGCTACCGCCTTTCGCGGAGACAATCGTCCTGATCACACTATGCTGGCACAGCGTTGCATTCCAGCGAGCCGCGCACGGTGATAAGACGTCTCCAAGCCATGGAGATAGCTGGAAACACCATACTCGACTATACCAAATGGTACAGCAGCGGCTGATGCTGATTTCACTACCCCCATCCTCGCCCGAACTCCACGACCCCATGCGCCTCTTCACAAATATGCTCGCCAATGCCGCCGTGATATGGTTCTACAATATATTAGAGGCCCTGCCGGTGGAAATTGATGATGAGATCATCCTGGTTCCTCTCTACTCCGCGTACGAGATAGTAGGTTTGGCGAAGCCGCTCACCCGATCCAGCTTTTTCAAAGTGAGACCACTCCCTTTGCTCCCCGTGAATTGACAGTGGCTTTCGTGTCTGACAAGGTTGTACAGGCGCATGCGTTTTCTCCCATGCTACTATATCTCTCGGCAAATTTCGTCAAGACACATGCCGATCGACCGAGTACATGTGTCTCCGCGTCGGAGGATAAACAGCAGAAGTTGGAGGATTTGAAGAAAGCTTTGCGAGTTTTGCAGGGTGGGAATAATTTAGCTACGACCTACTTGGAGCTGCTCGACTCGGACTATGACTCGTTTCACAAATTGTGCAACCTGTCGACTGTTCAAGGGTGTACTATGTCTGAAGTCACAGGCCAGCCGGAGCCACCTTTCTTCTTGGACATGAATCTTTTTTAGCTTGCCATATCGAGAGCTGGCAGGCGTTTGGATACTTCTGTTTTCAATTATCTTCTTCAATCTTGTATGCGTACAGATATAATATTGTAGTATTCAAGTAGGCGGTGTCCTTGAATCAAGTACCATTCATATTACATATCGATCAGAAGGCGGGTACTCCTAATAATGTATTCCTCTCACTACAAATATGACCTTGATCTTTAAGTTTACTCACTTTGTGTTTAGATTGAATTGGGATTTCATCAACTATTGAATACCTAGTCTCCTAGGTCCTGCAGTGCCCTTTCAGGCGAGAGCAAACAAGAACAACACCCGAAATTGGCTCGCGACAAATTCAAAGCGAGACAACGGCCTTCTGAGCTGCCTCACCCCTCATGTGGCAATCCATAGCAAGCTGGATTTGGCTCAACCCCTTCCCCACAATGCGCGGCTTGGGAGCAGCAACAAAAACCCCAGTGGCAAGAGCTCCAGGGAGGAAGTGGTCATAAACCATAGCACCAACCTCGTTATGAGCCGCAGAGGTACCGGAGATGAACTTGGTTTTCACACCACTGCGTTTCGCCTTGATGAAGGTCTTGATGTTCGACCGAACCGAGGCTGCCACGGCACGGAATAGCTGGAAGGTTGTGCTTATAATTCTTTTCGGGGGCGGGAAGCAGGCCCGGGCCACGAACTTCGAGCCGTTTGTCTTCGCGAGGACTTCAATGCAAGCATCAGTTGAGTCGTCCCCAACAGCGATGGCGCCGACAACTTTCTTGTTCCCGAGAAGCTCAACGATTTGCTGGATGGTGGCCTTGTCACGATAATCAAAGACCGCACATGCGCCAAGATTACTGACATATTCAAAGTTTTTGGGAGAGCAAGTGGCGATAACCTCGTAACCAGCCGCGGCGGCGAGCTGGATGGCGCTGCAACCGACGCTGGTCGATCCACCCCAGACCAGGACCACTTCGGGAAGCCATTCTGGGCCTGTGCCCGGGGGAGTACCAGGGAGATTGAGAGATAGGAAGCCTCGGTGAAACAAAGCGGTCGCGGCAGTTGACAGACCGAGGGGAATGACACAAGCCTCTTCATAAGAGAGCCAATCGGGAATCACTGTGACCATATTGTCACGGATCACAGTGTAGATTTGAAAAGCACCTTCAGAAGATTTGTTGACAGCTGGATCCATGGAGAGGGCGTGGGCAAGAACCCGATCACCAACCTTGATGCGACTGACCATGTCACCGACCTGCACAACTTCACCAGCGCAATCATTTCCGGGTACAAACGGGTACTTGACCCAGGGGGACATCATGTTGCCCATCAACTTCTTGGTCCATTCAACGGTATTGACAGCCACAGCACCATTCTTGACAACGATTTGATGGGCAGACGGAGGTGTGAATGGCGCGATGCCGATCTTGAGGGGACGGCCTGATTTGGCGATAAGCCACGCAGCCTGGTTAAAAGGAGCCCGATTAAAGGCAGAGGCATCCTGGCGAGCAACACTCTGGTGAGCGACATGCTTAGCGACGTCCTGGTGAGAGATGTCCTCGTGCGCTACATCCTGCTGAGCGACGCCTAGATGAGCGACTTCTGGCTGAGCGACGTCCGGGTGAGCGACATCCAGGTTAGCGACATTCTGGCTAGAAGCCATTGTGGTGATGAAGCAGAGGATGAATGATACAAAGCTGGGAAATAGATACGTGAAGATTGAACAAGGAGACGTGCAGGGGAAAAAAGAAATCAAAATAAGTCGGAACCAAACGCGTTAAACGTTTAACGCGATGATTAACAAAACGAGGAATGAGGTTATATGCCTAGGTGTATACCTATGATGTCGTCGAAGCTCAAGGCACTTTGCTTCAATAAGAATGCTCTGATCATTGCACTTCTAGACCTTGTCTCAGGGCATGGGGCTACAGTATCAGTGTGCTCAATCTCGGATGCATCGAGTAGTGTGTTCATGAAGCAGATATCTGTTTGGTTGAAGCGCTATAGGTCAGACGCTGCAATCCAGGTGTATTCAACTGTTCCTAAACATACATTTTCTACGTGATGCACGTATACTGTCTACATTTCTGAAGAGGAGAGAATGATGTGAGATAAAATGTTGATGATCATCTAGACACTGCCATGAGCTTTCTTAATAGCTTCGTGAGTACAAAGACACAAAGCTCTTAGGTGCCAAAACAGCAAGCAAAGAGAGGTTTGCCAAACTGCATGAAGACATTCAATACATCAGAGCATACCTGAATTCATCACTAAGCCGTACATGTCTCTCTAAGTATTTATTGCTTAGGAGTTTTATATAAACCACGCCTAGAGAGTGCATATTTTCTCGATGGCTAAGAGGTATTTAAAAGAAAGAAGCTAACAAGAGTCTATAAAAGGAATCAAGTCTGAATACAGATAGAATTATCTTAGAGGATCCATATGCATCAACTGCCAAGGTCCTTTTGGGCTTCAAGCAATATTTAGTTGAGCTCACTTCCGTCACCCTAAGACAAACATGCTGTATCTGGAAGTCTAGATTTGCTCCTAGCCATATACTCCCATCTCTGCTGGTCGCACGTCGATGTATGGGCGTGTCAAGAGTTAGCCTTTGAATGAGGAATAGCTCTGGAGAATATCTATATCACTCCCAAAACGCCATCTTGGGTATCTCCAGATTTCCAATGCTACCCAGTTAGGATGTCTCAATTCTAAGAAGCTATTTCTGAAACCCTGTCCCTAACCCTTGAATTGTGGCACAAAGACGAGTGGCACAAAGACGATAAGCCCTTAGCCAGTCTTGTTATTCCAACCCCTGGATATTCGTTCTATGACTCGGTCACACGCACTATAATGGCACTCAGCTTTTGAATCCTCGCTAATAACCATGTTCATCCAATATAAATACGGCGTTGAACTGGTCCCAGGGATGAGCGCTATCGTTTTGATGGTTTGTCCCACAGCAAAAAGAATTGAGGCTGATTGAGAAAGGAGATATAAAGTGTCGTAACATCTATCTGTCTCTCTTTTAGTCTTTCCTTTGTTTTGTTGTCATTAACTCCCACAAACTGGTGGTTTTGATGCATCTATTACCCTGGTAGCCAAGACTCTTGGCAGTATGGTAAGTTATATCGCTTCTTCAAAGAGAATCTGCTATCCAAACTCCGAAGAGGAAAGAGAAGGATTTGAACAAAGGCTATTTGAGGTCACATTTTTACCGGGGGCTCATCGGATGCAACGACCTTCTTTGTTGACGGTGGCGGAGGAGGCACTTTAGATTGTTCTTTACAACAATTCAACATGGTGTCCTCCAGAATGAGTGATTTCAAGTGGCCCTTCGGGGACTCTTGGCCCCTGCGCCTTACTGTATGAAGCATATCTGTGTTTCATATTATTCACTGGCTGCATCAATGCACGTTACCTCCGCGATGTTGCTTTCAGGCGTGACATTTGTGGTGTAGTTCTTTATAGATATATATATAGCTGCGCGATGTGTTCCTCAGAATCGTCCTCTCAGGCAAGTCTACACAAGATGGGGTATTTTCAAAAAGGGATCTTTCTCGCTCTATGCAGTCTTCTTCTGATTCATGAAATAGTTGCGTTGTCTGTAGCTGTACCCGAGGTTAGTGCCTACTTCTTCAACTCCACATCCTGTACCCCAGATTCTAACCCAAGATAGTACAAAGTGATCCAAGACCGGTCTATTTACTATCCCTACACATGTCGCTCTATTCTTGTCGAAACTGGAGATACATGCGACAATCTGGCTGCCAAGTGTAGTATCTCGGTAGCATCATTCACTTCCTTCAACCCGACTACTGTTTGCTCCTCTTTGTCTCACGGGAAACCCGTATGCTGTGGGGACGGAGAAACTCTCTTTCCACCGAACAGTGGTTCTTACTGCTACGTTTATACTATCCGCACTGGCGATACCTGCGCGAAGATTGCCGAGGGGTACAGTATCACCACTGCCAATATCGAGACTTGGAACACCCATACCTCGGCATGGTACGGATGCAATAATCTGCAGCAGGGAGGCCAGGTTTGTCTCAGCGCCGGCGAGCCCCCAATGCCAGTTGCAATTGGTGATGCAGTCTGTGGTCCCCAAGTGCCCGGAACAGAACGTCCGTTGTTGTGGACCGACATTCCCTATTTGAATCCATGTCCTGCGGGTCAATGTGTGAGCTTTACCAATATCGGATTTGATCTCGCAGCCTAGACTGACTATATCTATAGTGTTCTACAAGGGGTAAATGTGGTACCGGTGCAGACTTCTGTGTCTCATCTGTATCTGCGGCTGCCTTACCACCTGTGCCTGCAACTAAAGCCATATCAACTACATCTGAAGCTAAAGCAGCATCAGTGAAGACTACAGTGAAAACTACAACCAAAACTAAATCCGCAACTGAAGCTACATCCGTGAAAACATCTACAACTAAAGCTACGTCAAAATCATCTGAGACTAAAGCTGCACCTGCGACCAAAGCTCTATCATTGACAGTTAAAGATGTATCCTCGACAACTTCCAACAAGGATCCATATTTTTTCACGACAGATATACCCTTGGTAGATGTACCCTTGACATATCTACACGAGACCACATCCATGTCAGCTGCCCCTCCTACTAGCACTACTACTAGGGCTTCTGTTGTCACTGTTACTGGCACTGCTGGTCTCTATATGGTAGCCAATGAGCTCAGTATTGTGGCGAGCAAGATGCGGGATTCTATAGCCGCCACAAGCTCAAGTACTACCAAGGCTACGTCTACTAAGTCTACAAGAACCAAAACCTCCACAACTAAGACTTCCACAACCACAACCGTCCCAGTCTCCACACAAACCGTGAATGGTATCGTCACCGTATCCAACGGATGGTCACTGAAGATGTTCGATGGGATTGGTTGCACTGGCAGCTACGTGTTGGTCCAAGGTCACAACAAGAAATTGGAGGATAGTGACTGCATGAAGTTCCGCGCGGCGAGCAACTTAGCGACCGTGGTCAACAACACAGCCGTTTCATGTCGCTGGTGGACTCTACAAAACGGTAAATGGGAGTGGCGGGACTGTCACAGCGATGCTCTGAATAGTCCCAAATCATGGCGTATGTCGAATGGTCTCTGTACCGTCTCTCCTAATCCGACGTGCGATCTTGTCAGCGACATTTCCCAAACTTATGGCTGGAGGGGTCCTGGTTTGTGCCATGATCGCCAACAGATGGACCCGAAATTTGTATCTTTCAAGTGTTATGTTGGATGAAGTGAAAGGTGAAAGGTGGTATAAATAGAATAGGCAGTCAACTGGTGCTGGGCTGTGTAATACGAGGTCTTAGAGCCTCTAACATTGAAAACCCCTCTCTTTCTCAATTTTACTTTCTTTTCTCTCTAAAATATTTTTCCCTTTGATCACTTTCATTAATTTGATTACTTCGCTCTAAATACCGAAGTGATGGGTCGTCTTCAACACGCGTCATCGTCGCACTCACTCCATTCTCTGGACGACGACGCGCCGCCTCCGTATACCGATGACCCCGAACTCATTGTCGCCCCGGTCCAGCCTGTCCAACATTTTCAGCCTGTCCAGCCTGTACAGCCCCCCCAAAGCATCCGACCGCTCCGGCTAATCGACTCGGCCTATTATCTCCCCGGCGGCAAGGACTCGCTCAGCCTCGAACCAGCGCTCTCGAGCAACAGCGATGAGTTGTACAATGTCCTCCGTCTACAAATAAAGCTGCCACCACGGCCGCTACTCTCCATCCATGGCACCCACACCGAAACGAGCAATGACCAAAAGAAAGAGAAAAGCAACACAGTCACAGACTTCCAGTTCAGACTGGATCTGGCCGAGACCATGCTGACCGGGTGGGAGGGCGGATACATGGTCACAAACTGGAGAGAAGTGGAAGTCCTCAGCGATGAGGATCTCAGACCGGCGTATCGGGGAGGAATCCTGCGCTCGCGCACGTACAAGCCGCCCAAGTCGCGTGCCGCTATCAGTCTCACCGGGGACAGCGATGCCCTCCTAGGCCGAGATAACGCCGACGAGCAGAACAACAGCTCTCCAGATGCGAGAAACCTACAGATGTGGTGCGAGCGCTTCTGCAGTGACCCCGCTTCTGTGAAATCGTATGCTCTGCTCCTACTCGCACAAAATACACTGCTAATCTCGATTCCCTATACAGATTCACACTGCACCGCGAAGTCTCCGGCTTCGACTCCAACGCCATGCAGAACGTCCTCTCCTCCCACATCCGTGAACTCAACTACCGCGGCTCTCTAAGCTTCGGTCTCTCCATCAGTCGACGCTCCGTCACAATATACTCCCCGCACTGGATCAACCGCCTCCGCACAAACCGTTTCGTCTGGTGGGTTGTCGTGCTTCTCCAGCTCTGGATTATTACCTGGCCGGTTATCTTCTTCATGGAGAAGAGATATGAAGTCGTCCACACGCGCTGGAATGCGTCGCTTATACCAGAGGATTCTGACTCTCCGCTGGCCAAGTGCTACGCGTTTGGTCGCGATGAATCTACCCTGGCGGAGTACTGGGCCCCAGCTGTTAAGCAGGCGGCGTGGACCCAGCGGCGTGGGGACGGTAGTATTTTAACGAGGATGGATGCGGATCGCTTGCAGGGATATAGTACGCAGCAGCTGATTAATCTTCGTGCTGCGAGTTCGGATACCGAGACCGAGCGTCGGGAGAGGGTCAATCGCGGTGAAGCTGGGTTTGTTGATAATGTTGTAGGTCTGGTGAGAGGGATCGGAGAGGCTGGGCGGGATTGGAGATTTTCTGCAGGATGGGGTGCTAACAGTTAATTGTATGTGTGACTACGTGAAGTCCTTCAGGGCTAACGAGATATCAGTCAATTCTTTTGGACTTTCATTTTCTCAATACCTCCATCAACTGATCTACTTTTGGATATTATCATGAATCTATACATGCGAGTTCGTGACGTTTTATGCTTCCTGGGAGATTGAAATCACTCTCAACATGTTCATTTCAGGACTTGAACTTGGCGGATCGAGTTCTTTCACGTTGAAGGACTCGTGGCTTCAAGCTAAATTTAGCATACCAGACACTGCTTTGTTTGCATAATGTGATTCTCATTGCATCATACGCTTACACTCGAGGACTTCATATCCCATCCATTTGATTCACATGCTCTGTCTCGGCTCTCTTTGTTCTTTATCAAGTCACTTGTGTAAGCCTTCTTGTCTCCAGATCTTTTTCATTGTTCCGTCTGTTTCATCTTAACATAGACTGGATGTAAACACTGACTCGACATCTCTTAGAATGACCTTTTGTTTCGAACTATATAATACCTGCTTAGTCCAGCATCTAGCTAAGCCAGTCAAGCATATCAGCTCCTGGCTAACACGATCAGAAACCCCAAGACTTCCAAATCCTTCTGATTTTGACATTTTCAACACGATGTCCGAATTTCACTCTTCGCCATTCAAGAAAGTCGCTAATTTCTTCCGTCGTAATAACACCGACGGTGGAAATGATGATGAAGCACCACCGCCAGTACCAGAAGGTGGAGCGGGTGCCACCGCGTCTACTGAAGCCGACACCTCTGAGGACAAAAAGCGGAAACGTGACGACGACGGTGACGACGGCGATAATGACAGACTGGCTCCGGCCGAACGTAGCTCCCCTATGCAATCAAAACTCGCACAAGTTCGATCCAAGCTAAAGACCAGGGAATCACAGGGCATATCGACACATCTTAATCCGTTACCAGTGAACACCGCCGAGCAAGATCTCAGGGCAGGCCTTCCTGAGTTACCTACAAGTCCCGGGAATATTAGCATGTACATGGGTAATAATTCCGCGAATATAAACCCAGACCAAATCTACATATTACAACCAACGCCCGAAATGGCGAAAATCGACAAGTATCGAACAACGGGTGCTCAATATGAAGCCTGGATGGCCAACACCAACCCAGCTGGCCCAGCATGCCCAGTGACCCAGTCTACACTAACCGTCGCCGATCTAGTCGAAGCCAATCCCCCGGACGAGCCATTATTCAGTGTATGGGAATCCTCGTTCGTTGTCCCACCGGTCGAGATTAGAGAGAGTCTTAAATCCACCTACCTTCCAAATAATCCGAGATTGAAGAAATACCGCCAATCATCTCTACAGCGCAATGCGAGAAATGAACAAGTACACCATGTGTCCTCTTACGACCATTGCATCGTCAAGGGTGCTATCATTGCCACCTCGATTTTTAGAATGGAGTGGGGACCACGATGGTCTGATGTTGCGCTAGCTTTATACAAACAGGACGCCGCGATTGATACTCTCCGGTATGTTTTCATGGTAGAAGTTGAGAATGATGAGACCCTTCCCTTAGTGGGGAAGGTGCTCTACCCAAATAACGGTCTTCCCGGTCCTGAGACAAGAGGTCTGACACCAACAATCCATGCTTGGGATATGAATACTCCTGAATTCCAGCAGATCCTGGGAACGCAGCTGGGCAAGGCGGTGGCTTGTCTTGTTCTAGGGGCTTGGCCTATAGGTACGCATCGGATTACTAGAATCCATACTTGGTTTTTGAGACGTGACCTGCATATGCGGTTTGATATTGAGCCGATTGTTCCGGCTGGTGCTCCTCCTGCCTCGGCTGCATAAGCAGCTTGATTTCGGTGGGTTGGGCTGATGGATTCCCTAATGACTCCTTGACTTACACAGATCCTTGCTTTGTTTATTCATTCGACTAAGCATTGCATTGAATATACAACGAGTTTGTACAGGTAATATCTTAGCTAGAGCGGTATTTATATTTTTATAGAACAAAATATGGACTATCGATGTGTCTGTAACCTCCGAATTCGCAGAACAACTCGTATTGTTAAGCCTATCAATAGTAATTATACGATGAAATCCTGATTTTGCAATTGGTACTCCTCATCACCCTCTTATACGCCATATACGGCACAGATTGCTACATGTACACGGAGAACCCTCAATTGACCAACTTCATGAGATAGAGATGACACCATCCCACCAAAACAATGTCCAAACTGTAAGCACTGTGTCGTCATCACAAGACAGGCCAATCCGTGCCTCGAAGATGAAACTTTAGAGGCGATGGTGCAAGATCACAGCCCGGCATAGACGAACCTTCTTACGACTTACGAGGAGAGATATACTTGTCAAACCGCACATAATACTCCTCAACAATAGACGACGTAATTCATTTTGGATCAATACACGATATACCACTCACACGCATCACAATGTCGCCAGCAATCACTACACAGGACCATGCCGAGGATCTAGATATCAAAGCCAAGGCCACCGATACCCCGCAACCCAGTATTCTTCGCTCACCACTCAAGTCATCAGGAAGCTTGAATGAGTACGAGAACTTCAACACGACACCCATTATCGGGACTGAGTTCCCACGTGTGCAACTCACCGATATTCTGAAAGACGAGGCGAAGATCCGGGATTTGGCTATCCTTGGTGAGTCTATTATAGTATATTTTATACTGAACAAAGATCCACCAAATGAACCAAACACTAACACCACATAGTCTCCGAACGGGGCGTTGTGTTCTTCCGCGACCAGGATATCTCCTCCGAGGAGCAAAAGGTTCTCGGTCAGAAGCTGGGCGAGTTAACTGGGAAGCCGAGTACATCAAAGGTGAGCAGATCCCACGCAATAGATCTAGTCAACTATTGAAAAACATATGCTTATGTACAGCTCCACCGCCACGCCGTCGCAAATAGCAAGCGAGGAATCGCAGTCGACGAGAATGGTCACCTGGACGATGAGATTTCCGTCATTTCTTCCGAGGTAACTTCCCCTCCGAATACCTAGCAGCATAAAGCACTATATCTGACAGCCGTAGGTCAACCGCAAACTATACGGCGACAGATACAAGCCACTGAACGGCCGCCTCGCAAGCCAAGGATGGCATGCAGAGTATGCTTCCCTCCTACTCACTCCCCAGTGCTGAACGCAGTGCTGAACCCAAACCCATAACGCGGAAATAAGCTAAAAATCATCCAAGCATAACATTCGAACGCGTCCCATCCGACTACGCTCTGCTAAAGATAACAGACCTCCCCGAAGACCAGTCCGGCGGCGATACCCTCTGGGCATCGGGGTATGAGCTGTACGATCGACTCTCGCCAAGTATCCAGAAGTTAGCGGAAGAGTTGAAGGTCGTGCATTACCAGGTACGTAACCAAGTAACCCGCACTCACTCACTCGCTGCATTCACCGGATAAAATGTGCAACAATTAAGTATATGTACTGATAACAAAACAGCCTGCATTCAACAAAATCGCCAAAGAACACGGCATAGACCTAATCGAAGGTGATAGGGGCGCACCGGAGAATACAGGGTTTGATTTCAAAGCGACGCAGTAAGACACTACTCGCCTATCTTCTGACCGTCACCCAAGACTGATCATGCAAAAACTAACTCATTGAACACAAACAGCCCCCTCATCCGAACGAACCCGGTTACAGGCTGGAAGAGTCTTTTCGGCGCGGGACAGCAGGTCGAGCATGGCTGGATTGAGGGTGTGACGCAGCTCGAGAGCGAGGTCTTGAAGAAACTGTGTAAGTTCGACTAGATACAGGCTGAGGGATACTTCGCTAATATGTGTCGTTGGGATATATAGTCAACCGACTTCTGTTTGAGAATCATGATTTGCAGGTTCGGTTTAGATGGGGGAGGAATGATCTTGCTATTTGGGATAAGTATGATATTTACTTCATGAAGAAGATGGGTGATATGCTGACGTTGGTGTGTTTAGTCGGTCGGTTTATCATACTGCTACCAAGTGAGTAGGACTATTTCTGCTTTGGTTTATATGGTCAGAGTTGAAATGCTAATACAGGACAGTGACTACAATGGGAAGCGCCAGGGTAATCGGGTCGTTTCGCTTGGAGAGATCCCGTATTTTGATCCACTGTCGAAGTCGCGGAGACAAGCTCTTGCTGAGGGTGTTTGATTGGAATTACGGTTTAGTGAGATTTCCTGCTAGCGCAGTTACTAGCAAGATAATATATGAGCAGTTAAGCTCTGTTTCATTGAACACTAGATACCAAGGGCTGAATAAACCAACTGGAAAGCAACCCGCCGTCCTCCAATTTGCCAAGCCCAAGCGATGATCATCACGGGGTAAAAGATGAAAGCCAGTTAAAAAAGATACAAGTCAGGGAGAATCGAAAAAAGTATGAAGCCCCTTCATAAAGGTAGGAGCATTACAGAAGGATGAAGCTAGCGCCAAAGACAGCCGACACGACAGTGACTAGGCCGACGGTAGCGGGGGCGAAGCTGAACTGGAAAGGCTTGAGGCTGGGGGCAGCACCAGTGGAGCTGGTGCTAGTAGCAGAAGTAGTGGAACCGCTAGTGGCAGCAGCGACGTCACCGGAGCCCTGGGTGGCAGTGGTGGTGGACTTGGTGCCGGAGTTCTGGCTGCCCTTGCCGGCGAATCCATCGCCCTTGCCGGCACCTGCGGTCAGGTACTTCTTGGCAGGGGAGGGCATGGCAGGGAGAGCATCAGTGTCGACGTCCCAGTTAGGCTTCTGCATCTTAGGGCAACCGGAGGCACCACCGGTGGAGTTGTAGCCGCCGTTGCCAGTGGGGTTCTTGGTGTCATCGAAGGCAGTCTTGAGAGCCTTGTAATCGGAGTTGGTAGTAACGGAGTCACCAGAGACAGTAACCAAGCCGTACTTGTTGCCCGCCTCGGTGTACTCGTAGACCAGACCGCCAGAGTAGACCGGAGTCATCTCGGTGGAGTAGAGAGACTTGACCTCCTCGAACTTGCGGGTGTTGATGTTGCAGCCGTACTCGGAAAGGAAGAGGGGAAGTCCGTAGCCAGTGAAGTTCTTCACCTTCTGGTCCCAGCCGGAGGTGGTGAAGGAAGAGGGGTCACACCAGGAGTAGTCGTTGAAGGCGAAGAAGTCACTGCGCTCGTCATCGGTACCGCAGTTCATGTACTCGGCCATCTCGAGACGGTTGGTGTCGACATCGGCGGCGGAGTATCCGACAGGGACGGAGCGGAGCTTGCGAGAGCGGAGGTAAGTGCGCATATCACGGGTGACAGCCTTGACGTAGGGAGCAGCCTTGGAGGAGGGACCGTCGTTGATGACCTCGTTACCAGAGAAGAAGGCCAAGGTGTTGTCGTACTTGGCGAACATCTCGATGGTGGCGAAGATGTACTGAAGATAGACATCGTTGTAGGACATCTCAGGCTCGGCACGGTTGATGGAGTACTTGGGGGTGTTGACATCGAGAACGAGGTAGATGCCGGCATCAGCGAGGGCAGTCATGCACTCGTCGTGGTCCTGAGAATTATCGACGGAGTAGACACGGATAGTGTTCAGGCCCAATTCCTTGAAGTACTTGATGTCACGCTTGCACCCATCGGCATCAGCGATAGGATCGGTCAGGTTGGAAGAACCACCGGGCTGGTAGTCGACACCGCGCATGTAGAACCGGTCGCTGCCCTTGAAGAAGGCGTTACCCTTGACAGTGATCGGAGTGATATCACTGCTACGGGCCTGGAGGTTGGTTGCGGCACCAAGGACGGTCGAGGCACCCAAGGTGATGGCCGTGGCCATGGAAGCTACTGTGGACTTCATAATGTGAGAATAAATAAAAGAGCGATTGGATAAACGAGAGTGGGAGAAAGATGCGCTCGGATTAAAAGAGAGTGAATGACAGACTGAGAAACGAAATCTGAAAGGAAGGAGAAGAGAAGACAGCAAGAGCAAGGGATAAAGGGTTTTGGGCCAAGACCCGTGGGCTGTGCTATGCCAAGGTCCTATGCACATCCTCGCTGTTTTGTTCCGATCAGCAAGGGTCGACGGTGGATTAACAGTGGGGATGACCCTCGATTCATGGCTTTGATTGGCCAATTCGATATATTTCATTTATATTATCTATTTATTTGTTTCTTGGATCGTCAGGTCCTATCCAACTTACGAGTACAACATTATAGACAATGAACTGGCATGTATGTATGACTATATTTATCAATGCTCCTATATAGACGCGTATACCCATTTACACAACATACCCTCACTAGTAGTACCCCGACTATATATCCTGGTGGATAACCCTAGCTTGGCATGACGCATCTCCATCTAGGCAAGTCGATCTCTTCAGGGGTCTGGGGTCCAACGCTATTGTCATTAAAAGGGTCTAAGGGGGTCAAACTACATAGGGGTCAACATCAAACGCGCTCGGATTCTAGAATACTCCAATCACAAATTAATCCGACTGTTTACTTGTTTACTCGCTAAAACCGTCTGTCTCGACGCCACCAAGCCAAGGTATGACCACTCGCCTCAAACAGTCTATACATAGACCTGAGACACTCGCTTGAACAATGCCAGACTCGTATTCCGTATATCAAATGACATGCTATTTCTCTTACCCTGTACAACGCATCACCTTGTTTCTGTACATCGTGTATTGTACTAACATGACCTCAACCAGATCGACAAATCACGACAAATCTCAGGAGTATATGGCCATATTTAGCTCAGATCGTCTCATTAATTCGGTATTCTTGCCATTTTCAGCTGTCAACACTCAACCCAGACCCGACGCCATACCTCCCAGTTGCGTAAGGGTGAGCTTCTAGAATATTTCAAGTGGGTTGGACCTGAAACTCGCTAGCTGAGAGAATCTGCGACCGTAATTATTCTGTCCCCGTTCACCGCCTTGCCAAGCTGCAACAACCATGGAACATCCCTCGGGCCATCGCAAGACCACAACCCCGTACACAAGACAAATCCACGGTTCACCATTGGCCTTGAGATCCCCAGATTCATTTCTACCCGACCCAATAATAACAGAGCTTGACACAGGCGACGCGTCCAAGACCAGCTTGCGGCAAAAGAAATCATACCCACTGAGAACCGTCGCCGTATTCAATTCACAAGCTCATAAGCCAAGAACACCCAGAAAGTCACAAGTGGCTTCATACCAACTTCGGCGGCAGAGAGATAGGCAATGTATTAGAGTGCTCAATTGATGGGCGAACTGAATAGCCAGCACAATGGGAACTGATGTTTCTTATGGATGGGATGTAGAGAATGGGTATATGCAGGATTCAGTGGCTGTAAGAAAAGAGCCAGAAGGGCAGGACCTAAGCAAGAAGTCTACCCACAAACTCAATTTTCCGAGGCGATACTTGGCAATGATGTGAGCCCAGGAAGCTATGGCTTGGGGTATGACCTGTTCCAAAAAGCCTTCGGAGCATCATGGTAGTGTTTTGTGCATATGGTAGTGTTTTGTGCATAAGGGCTTCGCCCAAGAATTCGCAGGACCTGGGTCAATATTAAATATGTATTCATGACGCTCTCCATGTATCTTCCTCGTTGGTTCCGCAGACCATTTTCCTCGCAGTGGTTCTACTCTATCCCATGTCTAAAGAAAAGCTTAAAGCTGGCTTATCTATAACGCACGCTCACATACTAGACTACCTAGATCAAGGGCACACGACAAGGTTTCACGACACAAAACAAAAAAGCAGAGTGAGAGACTGAGAGAGGAAGGAGCTATAAAGCCGGGAAGGCAAGAGCGACCCAACACTATAAAACAAGAGATCAACCCAAGCTTGGCATAGAGTTTCATACTCAGTCGTCGAAACCCAATATGAAAATACGCAATCGAGTTCCCTCAATGACCCCAAGATATCCAGGTCACCCACAAAAATCCTCAACTATCTAGAACAAAGCCGGAGTTTCTTCGCTAAAGTGAAGTGGTTGATATCTATTGACGGGGTGTCTAGGTTGCATAGCTCCTAGACGTTCTTCTGCGTTACATACAATTATACTTTAGCGAACTAGATACGCTATTGAGGTACGTCCTTCAGTTTTTCCTTTGTGGCGGAGAGGATCGATACCGAGTCTATTACTAGACGATAGGGGTAGCTATATATATAGCTTCGTATAGCTTGCGGCTTCGCGAGAGACTTCTAGCTGGTGCTAGATACTACACCAATCAATACTAGTCTCGTCCAGTGCGAACCGGGCTCATAACTGTCAGCTGGGCTGTATGTGTAAAAATATCTGTATTGGCCGCCTAGCACAATTTATACGGGGCCATGATTAACTACATAAACTAAATTACAATCCTCCGGTATGTCGGTCCGTATACTCCGACAATTGACAGATGCCTCCAGCAAAATCAGGCACAGAATCTTCCATATTCCGCACTAAGATGATCGGCCGTCACACATACCCAGGTATAGTGCTTCGAATCTCTGATCACGGCCGCACCCACAAAGTACTTGCAAACAGGCTGCTGCTGAATGACTGAGTTGATATCATCGGAGATCGAATCCCCCGGGATAGTCTGATCAGCGGTTTGCGACGCGCGGCAGAACATTTTCTCTCCAGCAGGATATGGTGGTGGAATTTCAACCAGTGTTTGATAGGCTGAAGGGGAGGATTGATAGAGGGTAGCCAACCAGTCGCGCATCTTGGTATTAATGTTACAAACGTGCATGTGAATTTGATTCTCCGTGATCGAGTAGGCTGAGTTGATAACTAGCGACTCGGTTTTTGGGTCGGATGCCGTCTCCTGCCCAAAATCCCACCCGTATCCAGCCAGGAGTTTGTGATTTTCTTGCAGGTTCAAAATGTCCGGGATTGCTAAATTCGTGGTCGCTAGTGTCGAGGTGATTTTGACCCAGTAAGGTGCGTTTTTGGAGCTTTGCAGACATCCACCATTCTGCAAGCAAAGACAGAGAGGTAGGTTCCAGATCCAACAGGATTTACAGAAGTCATTTGATTCTGTCAAGCAATGGTGTTCACAGTCATCCAAGTGCAGGTGTCCGAGTAGATGGCTCCCACAGTTTGGAGCTGGCATAACTGGCGCAACAGGTCCAACTGGACACTGTTTCTGGCATTCATTGTTGCCCCCCGCACATATACAATTATTCAAATCATTATTCAAGATCTGTTGACTTAGGCAATTGGCCTGCACTTGACCGGCGGTCCTTGGAATGAAGCCCAGATGCAGTGAAATGAACGCAAGTAGTGAGGATCTTTGGAAGAACATTTTTTGAAGTGTAATTGATGGGAGATGTTCAATTTTACTCAATTCCTATCGAGGACGGCTAGAAGATGGATTGACGAATATATATTCAATTTTTTCGCTCGTGACATCGCGCTACCTATGGTATTCCTTGGTAGAATTACTTTGGTTTTTCTCTTGATTTGAGAGAAGTATGGAGGAACACAATATATGACATGATGATGCGGCTGGAACATTCCATCGTGATGGATTCAATTGTGAGAACGGTGTTCAATATTATACTTCGTATAGGATAAAACCCATTTCCGAACATGCGAGATTGCTTAGCCATGGATGTTTCCCCAGATTCCCAGATCCCCAGATTATTGGAGTGGGTGTCGCTACCATTGCATGGCTAAGATTGGTTCATCACTTACTTGAAACGATGATAGCTATTACATCATCGGTAAAAGCTGCAATGAGCCGCAAATGGCAGGCTTTCAAATCTAGAGCTGTCTTATTGCCACCGAATATTTAAGAGACCGGTAAAAATCGAGAAGAGGTTCAAGAAATCCGCGAGATAATGTGGTGTATAGCGACGGAGGCCAGTAGAGTGGACTCTAGTGAAAGACCAGCCCACAAGATAACTTGGTAGCCAGTTGTATTCAATATAAGTCATATTGGCATCAAACATCCCCCACCTTTCCCTTATGAACCGGCCAATCCGCTTTTGGCACATCAACATCAGGCATGGAAGCAGTGTATATAATAGACCCAGGAAATGGGACCTTAGCGCCTTAAGCAAACCAAGCAAGTCATCAGCTCGCAGATGAAGGGCGGTCGGGCCTGAGGATTTTGTTCGAGTGTGGAGGGCTGGAAAAACGAAGATTTTCTGACGTTTATATGACATGCCGCAACGAATTCAATTTGACGATGGCCGGTGATGTTTGGAATTGTGGATCGGAGAGCGAAGAAATGGCCTTTGAATTGGGCGTTGCCAAGTCGTCGCACGTCAGCGTACCGGACCTCCGTAGCAAATCTCTGTATGATACGTCCTGGTCCTGGCGCATCTGCTCATCGTAGATCACCCCGTAAAATCGATCCCAGGGCAGTCCTGCAACAAGATCGGTTGATGATCTAGCCAGGGATCGAACAGTCTTGCAGTGTGTAGACAATGCGGCCAGGTCGACCATGCTGATCGCGTCTGTGATCATGACCGTCTTCCGAGCCCATAGTCTGCGAACTCGGGGACTAACCCCATCACGTCTGTATCGGTTGAGCGAAATTCCGAGTGAGGCATGATACGTGCTACCATCAATGGCATCAGAAACTGCTCATGTGGGCGTCATAAGGATGACTTATTCCTTACGGTGAACCAGGACCATCGCTGCGACAATCGCTCTAATGATATGGCCTTTTCCCACCCCACATTCACCTACATAAAACAGACCCTGTTTCCACATAGAAGAGTCATGAGGATTACTAGTACAGCCAAGGATGTCACACATAACCTTTTCCACAACAAGGCTTTGGTTTTCGTTTAGTGAAACGGGTCCACGGACTACTGATGTTAGGGAGGCGCCAGTTGGATTCTGACCAATTTCGGAATGGCGATTCGCCCGACAGACCGGTTGTAATTCAGAGGTATGAAATGAGTTGTTATTTGAGCCAAGTTGATTTCCAATCAACTTGGTCGTCCGTATAGATACTTTGGAGTTGATTCCGTCGGTGCGGTATTATCCCCATAGGCTGCTTCTCTGGAGAGGCAGCTATTAGTTCACATACAACCACCCTATATTCTATCTCTATTTCCCGATCCACCATTATCCCTAAGTATACTTAGGCAACTGCACCTAAGGGTCTTACAATTAGACGACTATATGGATAACGAGAAGCTAGCATTCAGGGACTAAATATACTTTTCCCCGGGGGTTATACCACGATCTAGCGTCTAGTAGGTCATATCTAGTAGGTCCAGTGGACAAACCTACCTTCCCGATGCGTAAGGGAATGTAAGCGAGCGTTCGAGTTTTATATCGTTTACTTAGAAGGACCCCACAAACTCCCTTACGGCCCTGTCGATTCCTTTTCCTTTCCATTCCTCTCTATACCTGTTATTTCGTTAAACAATGCACTTCTTCTGTTAGAAATAATCCAGCACGTAACAACAAACGCAGCTAATTTAAAATTCGACTAGAACACTCTCTTCCCCACCGCTAGATTACGGGGGCCAAGTATGCACATCAAATTCTGACAGTTCGCCTAGGTACAACATAGATCTGACGATAAAGCATCTCATAAACAAGTAAGATAATTGGCTTGGAGCGAGCTGGCTAGGTTTTGGGGAGGGTCTGCAGTGAACGACTAGAGCCCCTATCGCTTCATTTCATGCAGGGGAAGATGTGCATCGCCACTTATGGGGCATGTATGATGTAGGCACATTGGCCCCGAGTGACAGCTCACAACACTGACAGGCCTGGAACCGCATAGCCAAGTATTTTTGCAGTTCATTGAAAGAGGCTAATCTTAAATATTCCATCTACTTACAGATCATACAAGGGGTACGAGCAGGATTTATTGGCTCGATAGTGGGGGGTTACTTATAAATAGTGTTGTTCATGGACCGGGCAGGGAGATCCTGCGACAATTTTAAACGCAGATCGGGATTTTTGTGGGATTGACAGGATGATTGGTTTCTATCCGTCTTTCTTGGTCATTGTCTTGGGGACTTTGGTTTCGGCGGAGTCCTCCCTGTTCGGTATCGATATCGACATCTCCCTGCCGGAGCAATTGTGTGGAAGTCAGAATATTGCTGAGCGGAAGGAATGGTTTGTGTTTTCTGGTGTTTTCAGGGCCAATTGAGACTGATATTACATAGGGGAGAGTTGGAGCGAGCTGAGCGGATCGACTATACCAATGCGGTATTGTGTTTGCAAGGGAAGCCCCAGCATCTTCCAAGAGAGGAGTACCCAGGCGTGCGGAACCGATTCGATGATTTTGTGGCGTAGGTTCCAGCTTCATCGATGCTAGAGACCGAGTACTAATATACCATAAGCACCCATATCAATTACACACTCAATGTCCATCTGAGTGGTCTGTTCCTCCCGTGGCACCGTCACTTCCTCTGGCTCTGGGAGAAAGCCCTGCGAGACGAGTGTGGGTACTCTGGATATCTGCCGTAAGTGTCATTCATTCATTATGACCCCAAATTGTAATAACACGAACCAGGTACTGGAATTGGCCATTATGGTCGGAAAACCTCAAGGCCAGCCCGCTCTTCGACTGCAGCGACAGCTCCCTCTCGGGCGACGGGGAACACAATCCCGACGAACAAAACCTTTCCGGCGGCTCAATAACCATACCCCGAGGATCGGGCGGTGGCTGCGTGCGATGCGGACCCTTCAAAGACATGATCGTGCACATGGGCCCATTCGACCGCAACATCGTCTCATTAACCAAACTTCCCGCGCCAGGCTTCGATTACAACCCGCACTGTTTCAACCGAAGTCTGAACAATTTCGTCAGCAGCAACTACGACAACGAGACCATCGTCGACCGACTCCTGGCCGCGCCCAATATTTCCGATTTCCAAACCGTCATGGACTACTGGCCCGCACGGCCGGGCGGGGTGCTGGGCGTGCACGGCGGCGGGCATTTCAGCCTCGGGGCCACCCTGCAAGATCTGTTCACGTCTCCACAAGACCCGGCTTTTATGCTGCACCACAGTATGATCGATCGGACGTGGAGTATCTGGCAGGCGAAGGACGAGGGGCATCGGTTCGCACTCAACGGTACGAACCGAATTCTGAATCCGCCGGACGCGCCGCTTGTTACGCTTGATATGGAGATGGAGTTCGGTGTTCTTGATCGGTCTCGATCGGTCGGGGAGGTTATGGATCCGACGGGATTCCGATATTGTTATTCGTACAGTTAGGAACTAGTTCAGGGTGTTCTGACTCAAGTTGATATTATACTAATGACGCTCGAATCAGAGCTCCAGGGGAAATACATACCCCTTTTGCCGCTCAAATCTCCCAATGGAGTAAAAAGGAAATATTGCATGACAACACTTCTATTCTTGTTTCCACGGTTGCTATTGTTAGCCCCCTAAAGGGCTGAGACCCGGCCAATTATAGTGGAGAACGGCCTCTTTTTACTTTTGCGCTGTAGTCGTGGCCTGCACAAATATAGTACAAATATAGTATAACGTCCAAAATAGTTCACATCGGCTCTGTATAAGCGTTCGTTTGGGGCCGATCCGACATGTGTGACTGGTGAAAAAATCAGCCACGCCGATGATGCTCGGGTGTATCTTCACTAGTGCGACGGAAAATCAAGAAAGATACGAAAAATCGATATAATCGCCACTATGGGTCTTGGTGCTTTCTTCCACTCATCTTTCCCTAAAATCTCACCTTTGTTCTTTTGCTCTTTCTCCCCCTCTCTTCCTCGTCTTACCCATCCACCTTATCAGTAGATCGGCCGATCTTCAACTACTCACCATGCTGCGTATCAGCTTGCTTCAATTGCTCTTTGTGACGCTGCTCGCTCTGTCTGCAGTCTTCGCAGCAGAGTTAGTGCAGGGGACCTCGCAACGTGAGTCTCTCCAGGATGCCGACATCAAGGCAGCCTCGCTCCATGATGCCTTGCATGCTCTCTCCGCCAAATTCCGTCATGGAATCTTCCAGACTGACCTTCATGCCGCCGAAGCTCTGCAAGGTGAGGAACCCGTCATTGCCAGCCTGATGAGACTGGCCAAGCGCCAGGACAATGCTACTGCTAGCTCGGAGGCAACCACGCTGCCGGCGTCTACTGTGACTTCAGCCAGCGCCGAATCCACCTCTGAGCCCGCCACCACCTCGGCTGCTGAGACCAGTGCGACTGAGACAAGTACGCCCAGTGCGACCAGTGAGACCAGCGCGACCAGTGCACCCAGTACGACCAGCTCAGCCAGTGCGACCAGCGAGACTAGTGAGACCAGCTCAGCCATTGCGACCAGTGAGACCAGCTCGTCTAGCGCCGAGCCAACAACCAGCGCTCAGCCAACCAGTACCACGGCTAGCTCCACCAGTGAGACCACTGAGACCAGCGCCAGCTCTACTAGTGAGACCAGCTCCACCAGCTCTGCATCGGTCTCCACTGAAACCTCTACCACAGCCTCAACCTCCACCACTGCTCAGCCGACCACTGCCACTACGGCGTCCTCGACTACCACTACCGAGTCCACTCAGTCGACTACCAGTATCCCTTCGACTTTGTCCACTGCCACGAGCACCTCGTCCTCGTCCTCGTCCAGCTCATCCTCATCCACCTCGTCCACCACCAATCAGTCAACTACCTCTGCGCAAACCACCGAGCAGACCAGCCTGAGCACGTCCACCTTCAAGAGCACAAGCACCTTGCCCGATGGCAGCCTGAGCACCATCACCTCTATCACAGTCATCACCCCGACGGCCGCCCACAAGACCTCGACTACCACCGTCGGCAAGCCCGGTCTGCAAACCAATGCCGCCGCGATGGCTACCGGCATGGCTCGTGAGGTCGTCGCCATGGTTGGTGGCGCCGTCGTGGTCGCAATGGCCCTCTAATGGATGAACAATTCTTTGCCTTCTCGCCTAACTTGCATTATCATTTCGAACGGCGTTTTTCAGCACATCGCATTGGCTCTGCATCTTCATGACAATTGTCATTGTACTATCTCTCTGCATGACCCGTGACGACCCCTGCTCTTGTCTCTCCTTATTTTCTTGGGCGTTTATGGCTGGCATTCATTATTCCGCCGCATTTGACCTTTTGTTTCTCGGGTTTTAACAGCGGTCTCCAACATTTACAGCGCATAGCACACGCTAGTCTTCATGTGATTACTTTCAGTCTTAATCTTCGCTCTGAAATTGAAGATCATGCAAAAATTGTGCTCAATTATTAAACTCTTAGCTTATTGACTCGTTGATTCGTCGATTCATATGTAGGTAGATGCAAGGTATGCAAGATGATAGGAATGCCAAAAGTGAACTCCGTGGCTCAGAATGTGAGGATTCGGGGACTCGTATGTATAATAGGCGCAGGGTAGCCGAGACGAGATGAGATGATCGGAATGTGCAGAGCGGTAGGGTATGTCTGGTTCAAGAAACCATCGTCACCGTCCAACAGCCAGATCTTCCACCCACCGCTGCTCCTCGGTCAGGTACCGGACAACACTCTCATAACCAGCCACATCCCCATCGCGCAGTAGTATCGAAATCTCAACATTCATCGGCGAATCCGGATTTGGTTCGGTCAACAGCAGCTGAACAGCCTTGACTACGGCCGCGAGACCCCCAAGCGGACTCCAATCGTCATCCAAGAGCGACAAACAGACCTTGCCTGTGTCGAATTTGATATTCGGGTGCACGATTTTAGTCGTGAATTGGACGGTCGGCGGCGCATTAGGGTAGGTCGGCGGGACTTCAATAGTAAGGTGCCAAAGTCCACCTGTTGCCACATTAGATTGACTGCGTGGAATGACCCGACCGCAGATCGAGATCTGGACTTCGTGAACTTACCCTCGTACGGTGTTCCAACTGGGCCCTTCAATACAGCTTCCCAGAGTAGTAGATCAGCCTCATCGACGGGACGTAGGTATAGGAATATTTCATTCTCTCCCTCCTCCTGATAAGTCTCCAGCTCTTTCGAGAGTCGCTTTGCTGCCATAAAAGGAGAGGCCTGAGACTGCATGTCGAATATGGTAGACGGTATAAATTAGATGTGTATGGAAGTGCGCCCCCACGGAGTTGGGAAAGTCGGTCGGCACTGTAAGCACCGAGGTTGGGGAGGTTCTGGCCGGCCCATGGATCGATCATCCGAGGACACTCACGTGAAATTACTTTCCAACCGTTTCGACTGGCTATTGACTGTCTTAGAGTTCAACTGCTGTTAAATCGACATGCGCACTTCTCGCACTTCAAAAGACACGGCGAAGGTGCTGCAGGCCCTCTCGCCCCCTATCCGACGACAGACGCGTAGCTGCAATGTCAGCGCTTTGAAAAGTTTCGCCTACAACCCAAACGCGACTCCGACCGTGAAGATAGAACCAGAAACTGTCTCGGTGACTCCGAGTTGGTCTGCCGTCAAAAGTGAGGATGAATCTTCGCTCTCCGAGCTCTCCGATCTCTCTGAGGCCGACACGGCCGACATCGAAGACCTCCTTGAACCACCAACGAAGCGCCAAAGGCGCAACGCGAGCCTCATAACCACACGCGTCCTCAAACAGAGCGCAAGTCCTGGCAAACTACAAAAGGTCATAGTGAAGGATGAGCCTGATCAGAAACCAACACCGGCAAGACGACCCCCTGCCCGAAAGACCCGCGACGAAGATGGCTCGGTCAAGATCGAACCCCCGTCCAATTCGGAGACGATGTACAATATCGTGAAGGATGAGCCCGATCAGAAACCAACACCAGCACCCAAACAAAGACGACTCCCCGCCCGAAAAACCCGCGACGAAGATGGCTCAGTCAAGGTCGAGCCCCCGTCCAACTGGGAGACGATGTACAACATCGTGAAAGAAATGAGGGCAAACAACCCAACTGCACCGGTAGACACAATGGGCTGCTCAGAGCTATACTGGCGCGCGTCATCGCCAAGAGATCGTCGGTTCCAGACCCTCATCGCACTGATGCTCTCATCCCAGACAAAAGACACAGTCACGGCAGTAGCGATGCAACGTCTTCACACCGAGCTCGGAGATGGCAGCTCCCCAGCCCTAGACATCAAAGTCAAACAAGAGAACGAGGATTCAAAACCCACCGACAGCACCCTCAACCTAACCAACATCCTAGCCGTGGACCCAACGCGACTAAACGAATTAATCCGCACAGTCGGCTTCCACAACAACAAAACAAAATACATCAAAGCTACCGCCCTGATCTTGCGAGACCAGTACGGCGGGGATATCCCCTCGACTCCAGAGGGTCTCATGGCACTCCCCGGCGTAGGGCCCAAAATGGCTTACCTCTGTCTGAGCGCGGCATGGGGTAAACACTTGGGAATTGGTGTCGATGTGCATGTTCATCGCATTACCAATCTCTGGGGTTGGAATAAAACTAAGACGCCGGAGGAGACGAGGAAGGCGCTGCAGTCGTGGTTGCCACATGAGAAATGGCATGAGATCAATAAGTTGCTTGTTGGGCTTGGGCAGACGGTTTGCTTGCCCGTTAAACGTCGCTGCGGGGATTGTGATCTGGCGGGTTTGGGACTTTGTAAGAGCGAGATTCGAGGGCTTGAGCCGACAGTGAAGAAGGTGAAAAGCAGTCCCGCGGTTGATGAGCCGAAGGTCAAAATCGAGGCTCTTTGATTGACTTGTCTGCTTGTGGATTACTGGTCCATTTTCTACATTTCATCCTCTGGATAAGAGAAAGTGGCGTCATACGTTTTTTTTATAACGGTCTGATATGATTTTTCGTCGAAGAAACTCCAGCCTTTGAAATTGTGGCTTCGAATGAGAATTATCACATGGCGCACGGACCAGGCACCGCTAATCTTTCTTTGATTCAACCGTCGAAGACTCCTTTGTTTGGAAGGTTATGCCCACGGGGGCAGCCATGCTGTATTCCTGGGCCACCGTTGCCGCTGGTGGCTGTCACGCACAATCCTCAGTGCTTCGCCGTCGCCAATGACAGGTCACGATGGCCAACAGGCAAATGAGGATCTGTGCCCCAACCAACCCTGGAACCTAGGACGGGGCTGAGGAAGGAACCAATCTCTTAACTAGAGGGCGCCTCCTCCGAGACTTGCTTGAATGGCATTCTATATTCGGATGCTCAACGACCGGCGACTAACTTTCATAGTCTGTTACAAACGGCAGTCTTTTTGTGAAGCTCATGGAAGAAGATAACATCACTTGCTCGGCGCTGACGAGACATTTTGCACAAGATTTACCGGGAGGATTAAAGGGTCTATACAGAGGTTTACTATGTCAAGAAACAGTGGCTATCCTTAGGGAAAGCCACATAGAAAATACCATCTCTATTAATTAAGCCATCCCCATCTCTTCTGGTATCTGAAACTACAATCTCGCACCCTAGCCTAAGAATGGTATTGGAGGGCGACTCTTCACCACTCTTTGAACCCTGCACATCCTCAAACCCCTTTCTCCAGTCTTATCATGCTGTCGTTATACATCAGGCCGCGAAGGATTGTAGCCACGAGGTCTAACCGAGCGTCCGTGGCCTGACATGAGACAGCAACAGTTTCAGGGGTCAACCGATCTAGCTCGTTGATAATTCCACCTCCTAAAACCAGTCTCTTCCACCGACACAAATTTGACCATGTTCCTATGATCGGTATGATCAGCCCATATGATACGGGGCGCATAGCCGACACCTAGCAACTTCATATTGGTAGACTCCACGAAACCAAACGTAGTGGCAGAAATCTTGGCCCAATCCGCCATCCAAGCTCCCTTGTGAGGAGTACCCATAGATATCGCACCCTTGAGAGCACGGAATACACCCTGGGTAGGTGTTTATGGATTGTCTCGCGATAGTAGGTAGGGTCGCCTTCTTGCAGACTAGCCTCCTAGAGCCATGGGTGCCAAAAATGAGCGGGCGGGAAGATGCATTGCAGGATTCTCGGTCCGATGACAAATTATCTAGAAGATTTGTAGCGTAGTCGACCAGCTCATTCGACGAGACGTCTAATTTGGATATGAAGTATGAATCGCAGCCCCGTGGAAGCAGTTCCCTCGGCCAGGGCGTGGATTGAACATCGGCGGTCCAACTCTCTCGATCGCCTGTCGACCGTGAATGAAACAAATATCGAATATGGCACTAGTCCGGTCACACAGAACTGGCATGCCATTGGGAAGTGGGAAACCGAAAGCAAAGTAGGCATTTTTGCACTTAGAAGCGCTAGTATCCGTAGATCGTCTTTCCTTAGAGATATTACGTGCCAGATCAATTCAGATGAATGAGTGCGATTTGGTCCAAATACTAAGTACAAGAGGGGAAAGAAAAAGGAAAACTATTTGTGCGTTCTGTTCCCCAGTTTTGTACGTGCTCCTTTTGCAGTGGCAGGTACGTTCCCCTTAGATCATCACAAGGTACACCATATCGCTTGGAGGTTTGGAACTGTTGGGTCGGGAAAAGGCAAGGGCCAAATGCTTCTTGGCGACTCAGTTCAATCTTTGACCGGTTGTAATTCCGGGTAAATTAGGGAGATTTCCTAAACGCCGTTAGTAAATTGACTACTTAAACTCGAGGTCTTTAATATACTTTGGCGGTTCACCGGCATGCCATCTCGATTCCGTATATATAGTTCCACAGAACCACTCACGATTCCCGTTCGCGTTCGACGGTGAGATTCCACTCAATGAAAGCGGCAGCACAACTATCTCCGCGCTCACATCATTCATTAATGCATTCCAGAATTCGCTCCGATCTGACTCAAGAATAAAAGGCGGAAGATAGTCGTAGCAAGATCGAACCCCAAAATGAACTGAAGTGCTATAGAGTTTAGTAAATAAAAAGTCGATTGAGAGAAGCGTGTATGGTAACTCACTCGTGCCAACGCGTATATCAAGTTGTGCTTGTTCATCACAAGTCAAGACACCAATATTCCGCAAGGGATGGTTTTTGCTAGACAACTTCGGCTATTGGTGTTCTTTCGCTTGCATGGACGTACTGGCTTCCGATGGCCGCGCACACCTAACTCAATGTGACCATTCTGGACATCTCCGCCGGGCTGCCACCAATTAGATCGTGGGCCAGCACGCTATTATAGCTAATCCCGTATAGCGAAGTAACATATCTGGAAAGCTTATGTCGCGCGGCCCAGAAGAGTAGGAAAATGAATTCCTACCCAAATTGGTAGGCTGACGAAAGCACTAAGCGAGTAACCATAGCGACTGGGTTAATGGAGTACATGAATATTTTTGCGTCGTCTGATTGTAGTAGTGTCTTATCAGCTGTAGAAAAAGTTGGGAGCTTTGAGGGAGCACTAGAACTTTTTTCCGACAGACAGGGAGGGTCTTCAGCTGGCCACGAAAGTTCCTTTTGAGAGTGCCACCCGCCACTATGAATTTGATGAGGACGATGGTGCGAGGGCCCTCCTCTCCCGCCAGGCGAACTAATTCGGCCACCCGGTTTTCTTCTTTCACGGCAGCTTTTGATATGCCTTTTGTTTTTCCTTTGGCAATATGTATTGCAGGTATGCGACTGTACTCGACGAACCAGCCTCGCAAGTTGGCCTACGCTATTATTGCGCTCGGCCTTAGAATAGTGCATCACTGGGCGCTCCTCTAAAGATACGTTAGGAAGAGGTTAAAAAAAGTGAACAAAACCAAAAAGGCGATGAAACTTACAGGCCAGAGCAGTGCCTGTAAAGGACAATAAGACATTTTGGTCACGTGTATTGATAGATTGAATGATGCAGTTCTTGCGTGCTCCCCTAGACTGCCTTGTAAACATTGGAAGTGATAGATAGTTGGAAGGTAGTTGACATAGGATTTTAGAAACCTGATAGGTATTGGTGTCATGAAATATAGAAACGTCGTCTACCAAGTCTCCTCAATTTCTCTTCCCCGTGAGTGGAAACTCAGTTGGGGCCCAGATGCGCTGCTAATTCTGAAGGGAGCGCCATGATCAGCTTGGGCTAGGGGATGTGGTTTGGAAGTCGCAGAAAGAACTGTATATTGTAGAGAGGTATGTTGTGGAGTTGGGGAAATTGGGGAGTGGGGCAACCTTATGAACCTCGGGACCTCCTGGCAGTATATTAACTGGGAAGGCGGTATACAAGGCGGTCTATTCATGTCGTGGATGACTAAGATTTTGCCAGGCAACATGAAAGTCCAAGGTGGCATACTTAGTGAATCGAATGCGGACTTAACACGGTTGGCAGCTTCTCACCCCAGTAGTGCTGTCTTGGATACGAACAACGTCGGTTCATTAGCTCTTGGTCGTGGTTGTTCTCTTGCTGTAGAATACATGTGAAGCTCCTAAACCCACAGCCAATAAAATCATCCCGAGCTCGGACATAAGCGACTGAAGCTTCTTTATCCCCGCACCTCGAAAGCTCAACAACTCCTCCATAGTGGAAGTTCAATCTACACCAACAAAATACCGTGCCAGTCAACTGGAGCACGCAGTATCTCTCCAGAGATCCCATCTACAACCTCCACACAACCAAACTCGCCCAAAATGCCTCCTCCATCCCCAATCCCAATCCCCCTCTTCGCCTCAACCCAACTCAACCTCCTCCTCGAAGAACACGCCGCCGAAGTCTCCTCCTCCAAACTCGCCAGCACAGCCGCAACAGTCTCCCCTTCCACCCGCCGAACCCTCCAAGCAACCGGCTACGCCCTAACAGGCCTCATCCTCTCACAATGCCGAACCGGCCTCGGCGGCCGCGTGGTCGGCGAGTTCGCTCCAGACCCAGCAATCGCATCAGATGAGTCACGGGCAGCGGATGGGACGCCTCGTCTTGGGTCGCATGGGATTCGCGTCGGGGATGTTGTGCGAGTTAGTGATGTTGCGGGAGCGGGGAAGAAGGTGGGGAAGGAGAAAGATAAGGAAAAGAACAAAGATGCGGAGAAGGGAGTTGAGGGCGTTGTTACGCGGACTGGTGATCGCGCTGTGTGGATTGCGTTTGGGCGGCAGGGTGGGGCAACGTCTAAGGAGGATGATGAGGCTGTTGAGGAGCTGTGGGGGAAGAAGCTGTGGGCTATTAAGCTTGCTAACGATGTTACGTATAGGAGGTATGTTGCTTGGAATATTGGTTTGGGATTGCTTGGTTGCTGACTCCTGGATAGGATGAGGCAGACTATGGAGAAGATGGAGAAGATGACGGAGTCTGATTACTCGCATTTCATGCGTGTTGCGTTTGGGCATACGACCCCGCTACAACTGGATACTGAGGCGTGTGGAACTGTGGAGTTTCTTGATCCCACGCTCAATGACTCGCAGAAGGATGCTATTCGGTTTGCGCTGGCTTCGCGGGATATTGCTCTGATTCATGGCCCGCCCGGGACGGGAAAGACACATACGCTCATTGAATTGATTCTGCAATTGGTTCAGCGGAAGAAGCGCGTTCTCGTGTGCGGACCGTCGAACGTGTCGGTTGATAATATTGTGGAACGTCTGGCTCCAAAAAAGGTTCCTGTTGTGCGCATCGGGCATCCGGCTCGTCTGCTTCCTTCTGTTCTTGAGCATTCTCTTGAAGTTCTTACGCAGACCTCTGATGCCGGGGGGATTGTGAAAGATATCCGCAAAGAGATTGATGAAAAACAGGCTAGTATTCGCAAAACGCGGTCTGGTCGCGAACGGCGAGGTATTTATGATGATTTGAAGCTGCTGCGGAAGGAGTTCCGACAGCGCGAGTCTAAATGCGTGGATAATCTGGTGCGGGAGAGTAGCGTGGTGTTGGCTACTCTTCACGGGGCTGGCGGTCACCAACTCAAGAACCAGAAGTTCGATGTTGTGATTATCGACGAGGCGAGTCAAGCGCTCGAAGCACAATGTTGGATTTCTCTTCTGGGTGCAGAGAAGGTGGTCCTTGCTGGTGATCATCTGCAATTACCACCGACCGTTAAATCTACCGGACAGAAGGATAAAACTTCCAAGAGCGAGGTAAAGACCGACAACACCGATACCGAGACATTGAAAGGTGTCTCCCTCCAACGCACATTATTTGATCGTTTGTTAGCCCTGCACGGACCGGGGATCAAACGCATGTTGACCACGCAATATCGCATGCATGAGAAGATCATGCGATTCCCCTCGGATGAACTCTACGAGAGCAAATTGATAGCTAGCGACGCGGTAAAAGCCCGTCTACTAATCGACCTACCCTATGAAGTAGAGGGTACAGACGACACGCAGGAACCCCTAGTATTCTGGGACACGCAAGGTGGGGATTTCCCCGAAAAGGCTGAGGATGAGATCAGCCAGAAAGGAGCCTTGCTTGGAGACAGCAAAAGCAACGAGATGGAAGCTATGGTCGTTGCTAGACATGTCGATAATCTGATTGATGCGGGTGTCAGGCCCGAAAGCATTGCTGTGATCACCCCTTACAACGGGCAATTGGCTCTACTGTCGCGGATGTTACGAGAAAAATATCCCGGTCTTGAACTTGGTAGTGTGGATGGATTCCAGGGCCGTGAGAAAGAAGCCGTTGTGGTGAGTCTAGTGCGCAGCAATACGGAGCACGAAGTGGGTTTCCTGGGTGAGAAACGACGATTGAATGGTATGATTTTCCTTTTTTTTTTCTCTTTTTTTTTTGCAGACTGTATAGGTGTTATACCTACAGCGAAAATATATTAACCATGCTGTGTATAGTCGCCATGACGCGCCCCAAGCGGCATTTGTGTATTTGCGGAGACTCGGAGACGATCAGTCAGTACGTACTCCGTACAGGATGCGCCATTAGTTTGAGGGTTAATGCTGATCTTTTTACAGCGGAAGTAGTTTCCTTAAGCACTGGATGGCGTTTCTCGAAGAAAATGCCGATCTGCGGTATCCCGACGCTGGAGATTTGCTATAGATGGGAGTTCCAGAACAACGCCGATCGCTGTCGAAAATAAATTAGTGCACGGCCTATGCAAGGGAGAAACAGGGGGTAGAACACCCTAAAGAACCTAAAGAACTCAAATACTGACTTGACACGAAGATAAGAATGCCGGAGATGGATTTCCTAATGGAGAATAAGATTCTTCTTACTGAGGGGCATAGCATGAATCAAAGGCCCTACGTGGACAAATGAAGTTGAAGTGAAGTTGAAGTTGAAACTGCATCGTGTCACCTGAGGACGGCGTGTTTCAGATATCTTTCACGGGAGGGAGGGAAGTAGGTAGAATGGGATAGAGTAGAGTATTTAGTATTGCATAAACCATTTATGAAGCATTGAGCAATTAGGTAGCTAACTAAATAGTCAACTATCACTTTGTATTTGTGGTCAACACATCAATTCTGGCGTGGCATAAAGAAAGAACGGTGTGGGGATAATAGCTGTCTTCCCTCTTCCTCCCTCCCTAATCTTCTCCAACTTCTCTTCCCCTTTGTTCTTCTTCAGTCATTCTTTTCTCTTTGTTCAGAGCAAACGGGAAGATCTGGGTGTTCATTATGTTCCTGATTATAACACTGTATGTTCCGTTTGTCCGACCCTGGTTCTTCAGCTAACATGCGTTTGATAGCTTTCAATAGTCTCACTCGACTAAAATCCAGCCTTGATTCGAATTGATACCCTTATACCCTTCATTCTCACACTCGCTTGAACTCTTTTTTCTTTTTTTCTTCTTTCTTTTGCGCCATATACCCGGCTTGTAATGATCCAAGTCCTTACCCTTACCTTCTATGCCTATTTGTCCATTGCGACCCTCCACACACCATGTCGAGATACCCCACCCGATCCATAGCAAGCGCTGGCAGCGAGTCCATTCGGAGTATACAGCGAACCCCTCCCGCCCGGGGAGACTGCTCCGCCAACCCTACATCGTACAAGGCAGACGACGACACGGCGCTGCCGTCAATGGAATTCCACTCCCATCACTCACAGCCCTCTATTGCCCACCGCCGAACCGGGAGCACCTTGAAGACGGTCATGCGCAAGATCTTCAATCGCAAAAGACAAAGCCAGGCCGATGAACTGGAGGAGCACCCATACGAATCTACTTTTGCGGTGCCGCCCATGCCACCGGTGCGGAGAGGTGGACAACCGAAAGGGAAATCACCGTCGGCTGTTCCGCCGCCCTTGAATTTGAATTCACACCGCAGTCCACTCTCGGCGGAAAACCTCCAGATCGCAGATAATCATTTGTCTCCGCTGTCCCCTCTCTCCTCTGCAACACTTCGTGATTCAGTTCCCGGTAGCATGCCACGCCGAAGGCGGGCAACGCTTCCCAGTGTGGTCTTCTCAGATGATGACTCTCGGTTTGCCGTCGCGTCGGCAGTATCTGATCCGCAAGAGGATAGGGGTTACATGCCAGAGCGAAGACACAGCTTGCTCTCGCACCGCTTATCAAGGAGCGCGGATGGATTGCGCGAAATGACAAATAACCTCCCAGAGACTCTGAGCTCTTGGAAACCCACACCATCCGCCCCGGCGCGGCCAGCCTCGGTTGTTTCGCAGTCCCCGCCATTAGATGAAAGTTCTAATAGTGAGCAGTCGAGGAGGCGGTCGTCGGGGACAACAGTAACGAGTGTGACGCGAATGTCCGCCGCACCATCTTTGGAAGTCGAGCAGCCTACAGAACAACCCAGCCTTCCATCAAATGTCGCAAATCTAGTTAACACAATGCACCAAGATGACGGCGTCACTCTGGAACAACGGTTGACCACGCTCGAAGTGAAACTCATCGACCTGGAATTCGCCATTGCGCGAATGCAAACCAACGGGCCCGAGCCCACCGAGAAGCTATCCCGCCCACGACATCCGCCTTCAGCAGAATCTTACCCCCCTCGCAGCAAACCAACTGCATTCCTATCCACCAGCGACCGCGACGATTCCCCAAGCCCTCTCCCGACCATACCCGCCCGCCCTTCCAGCACGAGCACAATCCGCGCAGACACAATGAACACGCGCACCCTTCGCCCCGTCCCATCAGCCACATCCCTGTCCGACTACCACGGCGTCTCAATCGAGCAGTATAGCACGCTAGTCACGCTCCTGCGCCGCGAACAAACAGCCCGCAGAAACTTAGAAACACAGGTCGGCGGTCTGCGCAATGACATCCGCGACCTGCAGCGTGCAGCACTCGAGTCCATGCAGTCGGGCATGGGAATGGGCATGATGCAGCCTGCGAATATGGAATCGCGGCAGTTCCTTCGCTTCCGTCGCGCGCTAGATGACTCTAACAGTTCTCCCCCGTTGCGGTCGGATGATAAACACACAGGTATTGCGGACAGCGACTCCGATTGGGATCGGTCGGATATATACTCCCGTGATGATCCATTCGGTCCTCCAAAGTGGGAGCGTCAGCGGGTAGTGACCGCTCCTATGATTTGATTTCTTCATGTTGCAACATATGCGACTTTCCCGTTTTTTTTCTAGCGGATATTTCTTTTCTTTCTCATATATCTAGACTTCCTGAAGAGTACAATGTACTTTAGGATTGTCTTTTTTTGCACATGCCAATGCGCCATTTCAGACCCCTAGGGGCATCCCCGCGACAGGATCGCGACTTCGATCACCGCGCTGCGCTACATGTCGAGCACATGTCCGCTCTCTCGTCTCATGGAATGGGATACACACGATAGATTAGAGTTGCACACGCAAACGCACGATTCGTGACGCGTGACGATTGGCGATATCTTTTACCTTCCAGGTTTAATGTCATATTTCTCCATTCAAGACAATCCTTGTAACAGCGTTGACGTCCTACGATGTAGACCCCTCGTCCATGCCGTGCACTTCCCGGCAAATTACACGCACCGCGCTAACAGTGCAGATCAAGGGCCACCGCGGGATGTCTGATAGCCCACTTCCCTGGCCTGTCCAATCCCCTATCTTCCATTCGAAAATTTCCCGTTTTCGAAAGCTTGCACCCCTCTATCTGACTCCGCGACGTCGGACATACAGTCATTGTGGTACTAGTCCGGTTTTATATCACCATACGCCCATGTGGGATATAGAGTACATACACTATGGCACTCAACCTTATCGACATTATACACAAGTACACTCTCACGAAAACCCCCGACAAATTTAAACAACTCACAGAAACTATTAGAAACTATATAACTAACACCTCCAATCACCAACACACCCCCATCCGTCTATCTCTAACTCACCATGTCTAAACCCACAATAACAATAATCGGCGGCGGAATAGGCGGCCTAACCCTAGCAGCCGGCCTGCACCTCCGCAAAATCCCCGTCCAAATCTACGAAGCAGCCCCAACCTTCAAAGAAATAGGCCTAGGAATCTCCCTCGGCCCAGCCGCATACCGCGCAATGCCACTAATCCACCCCCAAATCCAACAAATCTACAACTCCCTCATAACCACCCACGCAGACAGTCCCGGCTACGATTCTTACCTACAGACCTGGTTCGAGCTCGTCTGGGCAACAGGCCCACAAGAAGGCGACGTACTAATGGATCTGAAAGCCCTACCCTCTGGCCAAACAGCGCTCCGAAGAGCAGATTTCCTAAACACGCTTGTTGAGCTCGTCCCCGCCGAGATCGTGCATTTCGGGAAGAGGCTCAGCACGCTCGTTGAAGGTGATGACGGCGTTGTGCTGGGATTCGAGGATGGCGAGGTCGTGAAAGCTGATGTTGTTATCGGTTGTGATGGCATTCGCTCGCGGGTTAAGGAGTGCATGTTTCCGGTGGAACATTCGCTACGTGCGAAACCGGTTTATAGTGGTATGTATGGATACCGCGCTGTCCTGGATATGGGGGATATGGTGAGTGCGGTTGGGGAGAGGAGGGCGAGGGTCGCGACGATGTATGTCGCGCGCGGCGCTTATGCTATTTCTTATCCTATTATGCGGGCTCGTTTGGTTAATGTTGGTATTTATGTGTTGAGTTCGCAGGATTGGGAATATGAGTCTTGGGTGAGGCCGGCGAAGAGAGAAGATATGGAGCGGGATACGAGGGATATGGGGCGGTATGTGAGGGCTCTTGTTGAGGTATGATTCATGTTTTATTTGCGTTTAAGTGAATTACTTACCTTATTCTTCTAGCATATGCCCGACCCATCCCAATGGGCCATCTTCGAGCATCCACACCTCTCAACCTACACCCGCTCCAGAATTGCCATCCTCGGCGACGCCGCGCACGCGTCTACGCCGCACCAGGGTGCCGGCGCTGGCCAGGCTATCGAAGATGCACATGTCCTCGCCGAACTACTGAGTGATTCCCGTGTCAGCTCTGTCGTCGACGTGGTTGCGGCTTTCAAGGCTTATGATGAGATTCGTCGGCCGCGGAGTCAGAGGGTTGTTACTAGCAGCAAGGAGAATGCAGATATTCTTTGTTTGTGCTTTGAGGGGGTTCGTGATGACCCGGTAAAGCTGAGAGATACCCTTGATCGGCGTTTTAAGTGGCTTTGGGATCTGGATGTGCGGGATCAGGTTGAGCGTGCGAGGGAGAGAATGGTTGAGTATTTGGAGATACCAATGGGTAAGGATTTATAGTGCAATAGTTAATGAAATATTTACTTTTTCGTTCGTTTTGATGTATATCTAACTTCTAGCCTTTTAGACTGTGATAACATTGGTATGTCTTGGTTCCATCGCTCTTTCCTTTCTGATGGTCTTCTCAGGCACCTTACAGAGGGACTATAGGAGAGTTTCATAGCTTGTTTGTACTTTTAGCTTTGCTTATTATGAAACCGTGGAGAAGCGCACAGACTGGCTGCTATTGGGGTAATTGGGGTTTGCGGCTATCTTAAAAATCATACGCTTTGCCGCATTTCATCTTGGTGTCTTTTTCTACCACAAAATGTCTACGACTGTAGAAGGCTCACCTTCCTACAGTATTGAAACCTTCACACAAAGCGATCTCCTCAAGCAGCCCTTTCTGCAAGAGCTCCAGGACGTCATCAACGCCAGCTACTACGATACCGGCGCCAGTTCTTACAAAAAGAGCGGACTTCGACTCAAAAGCGACACCCAGCTCGCTGACGAGCTCCAGGAAACCGGCTTCACGGCGATTGCATTCGCTCAAAATTCCATCATCGGTACTGCGAGCTTGAAGATCAGCTCGCCAGATCCCGAAGACGTGTGGAAGTTCCCGGGCTATTCTGAACAATTCACTGCGGATGAGATCTTCTCCGCGAGCTCTGCGGTGCTGGATAGTTCTGGCGATAAACACCGGGATGCGCATTGGAAGGGCGGGTTCGAGCTTGTAGCCGTTGCGATCAAGCCGGATCCTCGATATAGGAGGAAAGGCATTGCGGAATGCTTAATCAGGGCTTGTGAAGAGGAGCTGAAGAGGAGAATGACTCTTGTGGGGCATATTGAATTGTCTCGCTTGTGCATTACGCTCAGATCTATTCGCGAGATCCAGGGTGCTTATTGGCTGAAAAGGGGGTTTCGCGTCGTGGGGGAACAATATTATCCTCCTTTTACCTGGGGTTACAATCAAGGGTTTGTTCTTTGGGCTATGGAAAGACAGTTATCTGTTTAGTATCGTACAGCTTGAATTGGAGTCATATTAGGCATAATATATCAGAATAATCAGACCGTCTCAAGTTTGCAATCTTGCGTCTCTCGGCAAAAATCGTTTCATATCCTTTGTCGTCTCTGAAAATGTGGACTAGCTTGCCTGTGTTTTTATCATTATTGTACACCATATATCCGAAACTAGGGATTTAATCTTGCTGTGTATCCCTTAATATCTCGGATACATGCGCAGGCAAATTGAAGATGTTCTCCAATCCCTCGATCTGCATCTGATTTAGTCGCACTAGACCTAGCTTCATTAGGCCTTCGTGGCTCCAGTGCTGGCAACGAAGTGTGTGTGACCACAGCTCAAGCAAATCCCTCGATCTCAATGCATGTTGCCTGGTCGGCGCTTGAACAAGGAGCAGAGTGACGAAGTTGGATACTGCGGCGAAACAGATTCGGTTCCCTAGAAAATAGATAGTCAGTATACAATTCCATCATTACATTAGAAGCGGATGAACGGATAACCTACAAGGATGCCAGAAGGAGCCAAACTCATGGGGCGCCAAGGCTCCTACAAAATTGACGATGATGGCCGCACACTTTTCTGCAGCCTTGAGGGTAGCCTCTTCAGCCTCGCCAAGCTGCATGGAATTCATGGCTGGGAGTTGATCGAAGCCGTGAGTGTCGAACGTTAGGTCTTCAACGAGCCAGAAAGCTCCCATCGGGGTTGGATCTGTGTCGTCTGAGATCGGTGGCGGTGGCGGTGATTGGGCAAGAGGACGGAGAATGGCGCGGTAAAGGAACATCTCAAGAACCAAGTATGAGAAATGAAGGTCGGACGCACCCTCGATTGGGTCAGATGCTATGTGGCTATTTGAAACGGAGCCACGCTTGAGTCGAAGAGTATCGGGAAGAGATAAGTACCATTGTTGAAGCTGGGCGCGGATGGGTCGTGCAGCGTCGATGGACGCGCGAAAGTCATCTGATACTCTCTGAGAGGCTTTTATAGTACTGTTCAATTAATAGCAGAATTAACCAGGGGTGGGGATTGCTCTTACTAAAATGTCCGATGCAGATTCTCGATGATCCGAGCCAAACCTGTAGTGTAGTAGAAAAGAGGCTGGCAATTATGGTCATGTTCGTCGGCTTTCTCATCTTGGATGAAATCACCGGCACTAAGGTCAAAGATATCAAACTCATCAGGGTGGATAAATGAAGGCCGGCCCGTAAGAAGACTCCGCCATTTGTCTTCTACGTAGACTGCCCACCACAGTCTCCTCCGCAGGCGCTTCTCCCACGGGGGAATCCCCCATGGCCGGGGTTCAACATGAAGACCGAGGGAGACAGCCAGGGCCACTGTAGACCCAAGGAAAGACCAAATGAATGGCCCATCAGGGAGGGCTTTCAGGCTTCCGGCGGGAATTTGTTGCAGATAGAGCAAAGATGCTTGCAAAACTGCCAGCTTTGGTGTGTGAGTCTCCTGGAGGATAAGCTCGTAGACCGTATGCCACAGCTTCTCGGACAAGAGCTCCCCATATGCGGCAGATACACACAGCACCGAGTCATGGACTGCGAAAGGGATGGCCGAGGCATAAATCGCCGCAAGCAAATGAACGGGGATCTTCTCCAACACAGCAGTCGACACTCCTGAAGTAATACCAAGCTGGGACCTGGATATTATTGGGACGGCTGGGAACACGAATCGAAGAAATAAGGATAGAAGCCGCTTGCCGTGTTCCGGGGAGACCATATCATTGAGTTGGTTCCGGTCTTGCATCACGTCCTTCTGAGACCGATTATCCATATCTGAGCCTTTTGGCAGCATAAGCTCCTTCTCGGTCTCAAGAAAATGGACCGGTACCAGCCCTTCAACGGGGACGCCACCGACATTACGGATGTGAGTCCGATGCAGGCTGCGCATGCCATATTCATCGTATCGGCAATGTCGAAGCAGCCACGGATCTGACTCCGAGGACATGCCGTAAAACTGCGCGATCGATCCTTCAATGAGATCTAGCGACCGGATGCGCTGAACGGGCTGCGATGCAGGACTGGTAATGGCCCCGATTTGCTGTGGTGACTCTTGATCCGGACTGATAGGATGGTCATCCATAGATTCCATTGAGGTATGACGGGTCATGAGATCAGGTTGAGGCTCATTTTGAGCATGTTGCCCCGGCCACATTTGGACTGGATCATTGTAGGAGTAGCCCCTGTCCTGGTCGAACGGGTCGTGGTGCAATCGAGTACTATCAGGACTGAGTTGCAATGTTGGATTTGGCACCTCGTAAGACGCAGTAGCGTGAGGAGCTTGATTTTCTGTACTCATACGCCGGGTCTTCAATCTGGGACGCAGTTTGAAGGTGCATTCTTTGTTATTAGTGAAACAACTCCTGCAGGGTGGGCCCTCTGGAAGGACGCAGGCTGTCTTCCTGAGTCGACATCGGTCACAAGGCCGTTTGATCTTCGATCTATATGCACGCCCGGTTGGACCAGAGTGATCCATTTGGGCAGGCCATCGACGGCACGAAGGGAGACGAGAGATTGGTTGTCCTAGAAACTGCTACACAATGAGGATCTCTATGAGAGAAGAACTGTGCTGCTCCAGTATGTAGTGGAGCAGACAGGGAAAATCAAAGGAGAGAAATGAGGAGAGAGCTATCTACTACATGGGCCTGGCCTCGGTCGTGGCGACCGAGGCTAACGGTTACCACCCAATTGTTGTGCAGGCTAGGCAAGTTGGGAAGATAAGCTTATATGGTAACGAGCCGAGGTGAGCCACATATGACCGCGTCTGCTGGAATGGCCGCAGGAGCTTGGAAGTATCCATGGATCTATTAGAAGGCTGACCTGATAGTAAGATAGTTGGATGATTCTTCCAAGCTTTCCTTTTCCGATTGACAGTTCTTCCTGCACATACCCGAATTACCATACCATACCCGGAAGGTGCTGTGATAGGGGAATTTTGCCTTTCTCTTTCGCGCGATATCCATGGATACGGGAAACCTTATCTTTCGGGCGATAAGCTTCTTATCTTCGGAATAATCTCGGAAGGTGCGACCTTACGTAATTTTTATTTGTGCCTAGGAATAAGGATGAAGTTGAGACTATAGAAGGAGAGCCAATGTTCCCGTTTTCCACGATGAGTGGGATAGGCATAATCCCATTTTGTATTCTCTATTTTCCATGTCTATATTGATCGTGTTTGTCTCAGCTAGATAAGTCTATGAAGACGCCAAAGTATGTGCATCATTACACTCTTATTTCATTCATAGAGCCAAGCTGCAACGCGTCGTGGGTCTCGATCGGCTCCAGGAAGGCCTTGGCTCAGTTGACTTGGACCACGCTTCACGTACTGGCCATCCCGGACCTTACCAAGTATCTTACCGTTGGCCCACATCACTTTGCCTCGGAGAATCGTATAACGAGGCCAATTGAGCATCTTGAATCCTTCGTATGGCGTATCTGTGTAATGCAGTCAGTTAAATGCGTAGACATGGTGTGAATTTATTCCTTACAATCGACATTGTGGTGGAGTTGGGCGTTGGTAAGATGGAATGGCTCAAACGTCTTCTCAGGGTGCCACTGATTTCGCAATGTTAGAAACTCGAATCGGAGGTTGTAGCAGGAAATTGAAACTCACAATCACCAAATCGGCGTCAGATCCTGGCATCAGTGTCCCCTTTTTGGGATATAACCCGTACTATATTGAGTTAGCGATGTCATAGGATGATAGACGAAGTTGAAGAGTATTCACCAGTTTTGCTGGATTTGTAGACGTAAGTTCCACAAAGCGTTGTGGTGATATGCGGCCAGTCGATAGTGCCCCAGAGTAGAGTAATGGGAGTCGAGTTTCAACACCAGGAATGCCGTTGGGAATCAATTTAAATGACCCTTCCTTGCGTGTCAAGAGGTCATGTAGATCATCGCAGGCATGCGGTGACTCCCCTTCCATGCTTTTGGCGTGCTCAAGCACTCCAGAAGCCTTGCCATGGGGGTCATTGTAGCGAAAAGGGCAGTGATCGGATGAGTAAATTGTGAATGTTCCATTGTGAAGGCCACTATGCAAATTAGAGGAATTTACTGGTATGACACTTGCACACGAGACTTACACAAACAAATCTTCCTGGTCAGAAGCATCCGGGGGTGGGGGAGGTGAGCAGATCATTTTGCTGTTTTCGAAACAAGTTGGTGAATGGAACCGTTTCTAGAGCTTCTCTTAGGACTTGCCAATTGTCGATCGATGTAGGAAACTTACCAGGTCATTCCATGTTAAATGGAAATATTGAGGGCATGTTTCAGCGTACACGGGTAATCCCATATTTTGAGCCCGACGTACATTGGCCGCCCCAAGCTGAAAAAGTTAGCTTCAGTCTGAGATGACAGAGAGGTAGACATACTGCAGAGCCGACATGCACGAAAAGAATCGGATTTTGGATCAATTGCGCTAAGGCAATGGCGCGATTAGTCGCCTCGCCCTCGACAAGAGGTGGGCGAGACAAGGCGTGGTAGTATGGAGCTATAAAATGTAAGCAAAATTTCAACAGACCGGAGTGTAAATAGACATACCATTCATGCCTTTCTCCTCGAGTTTTTCTGTCATCCGATTAGCTTCTGATTCTTCACCGTGCTCAATCACTCTTACGTGTAAGCCATGCAATCATGTCCCCATTCTCTGCATGAATCATCTACAAAATCAGCGTCGTTCGTTTCTCTTCAGAAATATACTTACCGTAGTGATGGAGTTTTTTCTAGCAGCCCACATGACATCCAAAAGTTGCGAATCTGTCAACCGTTGTGTTTCATACGTCAGGAAGAGCTTGCAGCTGCTAATGCCCCAGTCCTTCTTCAAAATCGGGAGTTCGGTCTCCAGCACGTCGGCATCATTGCGAACAATAATGATATGGAACCCATAGTCCACGTAGCTGCCCGTCTCCTCGGCACGCGCGTTATAAGACTCTACGACCTTGATCAGGCTTCGGTCTTCTTCTCCTCTGGTCTGTGTCGCGAAAGTGATAATTGTCGTTGTGCCACCGGCCACTGCACTCCGGGAGCCCGTCTCGAAGTTATCGGCGCATTCACCTCCTAGACCGTGTGGTCCTGGTAATGTTAGGAAAAGTCTATTGTAAACGAGGTACCAACTCACCAGTTTTTAAATCTTGACATAAGTGGACGTGAGCGTCAATTCCACCAGGCATCACATATGCCCCTCTATAGATGCAATGGTTAGAGTTCCACATCCACGTCATGAGGCCTACTTGGAACGAACTCAGCATCGATGACCTCGGCGCCTGCTATCTCATCTTCCGAGAAGCTCTCGGCGAGGGTTTGGATCTTCCCATCTTTAATCCCAATGCAATAGTCGCTTCGCTTTGTTAGTACGTTATAGACAGTCTAGAGGGGAGAACAACATACCAAATGTCACTGGCAGTGACTACCTTCCCGTTGAGCACCACCAGATCGAATTTGCTAGCCATTGAGGGTAAATTCATTGTTGCGAATTTGCTTTGAGGCTTTGATAAAAAACTTAGCTTTTAGTCTCATTGGTGCTAAATACTCTCTCGGTCCGAAATCCGATTATCAACAATATTATCAACTCCCCGATCAGTCGCCCGATCGCCCGATCGTTTGCCAAGGAACACGGCCTTATCTTTGCGGAAAGGTCCGATTGCCTCATATGGACATTTAGATGGTAATTGCCTTGACAGCCTCGAGGCATTATCAGGACAGGCTGAGGGGCTACGGTAGAAATGTAAGAGAAAATTTACGAGCAATGGAGATGGGGAGAAGTCAAAATTATCAGAACCCAATTAACAAGGAAATATGATTAACAATTCTTATTACTACGTACTGGTTCAAATCCAAAAGCTACATAAAATCCATCAAACACATAAAATCACTGTTCAGCCATTACAACATTCCCTCCTTCCGCATGTTGACGGATTCTACCTCCAACGAGCCTTTTGAAGGCCCCACTGTCACCCCCTCAATCACAGTTTCCTGCAAATAGTCCGGCACGATTTCGTCTTCAGGGAAAAAGCCCTCTGTGTACCTCGTGGCCTCCCAACTAGCGTCTTTTGCCCCCAGCTCGGTAGGATAGATTTGCACTGGCCAAATCCTGCAGCATATATAGTAGAACAGCGCCGCGAAAGTGGTAGAAATCAAGAAGCCCATGTTGTAAATCTTGACAGCAGCGTCTCCGATCGATCCAGGGTGAAGAGCGCCAGAGACACCGGGAATGACAAGGACGATTGCCCCGATCCAGGCTGCAAATGCGCGTAGGTTGAAGCCACCAGTATAAAAGTATGGAGAGCCGGGTTTTGCGTTATAGAGGGAAGGCACATGGATGTTTCCCTTGCGAACCATCCAGTAATCAACACTGATAGAGGGTTCGTTAGTGGTTGAATATTCCGGGGCAAATTTGGGAACGTACATCATCATGGCTACAATGGGGCACATGAAACAGAGGTATGAGTTGAGGAAGGTCAGGAAGGACGCGGCGGAATAGGTCATTTTCCATGGAACTGTGCAGTGTGATTAGCTTGAGACTGGTGAATTTCTATGATAATAGTTTGATTTCTTACCCACTACCCACGCCAATAAGAAGCAGCACACTTGGCCACGGATGATTGTCATGTACCGTGGGAACAGACCAGCGAGATCGCATCCGACTGGAATTGAGTTACTAGTGAGGTTTGTAGCAAAGGTAGCAAATGCCTGTCAAAGTTATTAGTAGGGGCAATTATATCTTGCTAAATAGGTTGCTGACCTGAATACCCGCACCAAGGAACACAACCGTTCGGGCTCCTGGACTCCAGTAATGGTCTAGGATACTAGAATAGAGATCCCACATATTCCAATATGCCTATTTCCAAGTCAGTATCGGATTAATGAGCAAGCACTGGATGTATAGATTACCTCTCCAAACTGTTTGTAACCAGCGGCTGTGATGACCATTCCCAGGAACACCACAACTGGTTTGCTCAAGATGATTCCAATAGACAAGGGCAGAGTGTCGCGTGGACACTTCGCATATCTCGTCAGATCAGGAGAATTAACCAACGGAGGAATCACATTAGAAACAATACTGTTGATTGCTTTCATGAAAGACCAGCCCAGGACGGCCCCAGACACATTGCTAGGTCCGAGTCCGTGGAAATCGACACCATGGCTAGAGATCTAACAGATTGTAAGCCATAACGCCCTCAAATAAGACCAAGAGTATGCTTACGATTGCCCATATCATTGTCACAATCATTCCAATTGGTGCAATAACCGACTTCACCATGAACACTTTTGACATTTTGCTCGGGTGGACAAATGCGAACGGGAACTGGAGAAGCCATAGAATAAGGAAGGAAACCAACTTTCCCGATGTGATACCGGCTGACTTGGGAAGATCTGAAGACATAGTTAGCTCTGGAACGGACAACAAGACAGGTATGCATACGATTCGGGAGGTCAGTCCACTTGTGACCAAAGACACAACGAAGCATAACGTTCACAAAATAACTAGCGTATAGAGTCTGGATTCCCATGTATAAAATGGCGACCGCCTGCGGAGTGGAATTAGATGTGCTCTCAAGTCTTGCTGGTGCTGCAACATACCCCTCGGAGGAAGATGAATATTAGGGATCCATAGATACCGGCGGAAGCCCGCACGTAAGTCGGATATCCCACGTGGTATCTGGAGAAACCATCGTTAGACATGGAATGCTAGACTTAGATGTGAAGTTACATACATCGCAGCTCCACGGGAGTTCAACCAAAGCATTCCACCCACTAAGAAAGAAACGATAACTGTTTATATGTTAGCACCGTCGGCCACCAGGTATGTAATATAGTCTCACAGGAAGCTATCAAGATGGTCCACCAGTTGAGACCGACAGCGTAGAGGCTAGCCCCGACATTGTACGTGGTCGGCGAAAAAGCGATGCTAAACTGAAAAGCAAAGAAAGACCAACGTGTCCATATTCTCTGAGAAGGAGGAGACGGGTCCAAATCTTTATTTGACCAGCTGCCGAAGAGGCCAGCCTCCCCGTCGTTTTCTGTACGAACTGCTTCCAATAGCGCACGCCGGCTGGAGAAGGCCCGCTTGGCACCTGTAAATCGCTGCCTTATTGTCGACATTTTGGGTTGTTTAGTTCAACTGACGATGACTCCCACGAAATAAGAGGACAGTGTGATTCTTATTAAGCCATCTCTAACCCCAATCATCAACATACTTCCTGAAAGAACGATTGGGGTCATTCTGACTGATTTGGAGTCTAGATACTGATAGTAACTTGGGGAGACCAATCAGAATGTGGGGGAATAATATCTCGGTCAAAGGCCGAAAATTGGTGGAAAGATTGAAAGATCGGGCGATATAGATTTCCTGATTGTATCCCGCGTGGGGGAATGCGGGGAGAAGCTGAAATCTTTCATGATTTGATTACAATCCTAGTTCTATTTCTTCTTCTTGAGCTCCAATTCTTCAGCTGTTAAATATTGCATTCATAAATCATCACTCTACAATGGCTAAGCGTATCCGCCTCGGAATTCTCACACCTTCCTCCAATACCAGCCTCGAGCCCTTGTCGCAAGCAGTCATCGCTCAAATTCCCAATGTCTCGGTTCACTTTTCTCGGTTTACCGTTTTGAAGATCAGCCTCGAGCAGGATGCCCTCCAGCAATTCCAAAACGAAGCTATTTTGGCAGCGGCAAGGCTGCTGGCGGACGCCAACGTCGACATCATTGGCTGGAGTGGCACGTCATCTGGGTGGCTAGGCTTCCCCGCCGATGAAGAGCTGTGCACACTCATTACCGCGGCGACGGGGATACCGGCCACGACATCCGTATTGGCCTTGAACAAAGCTCTCAAGGTGCTCTCGGCTACAGAACTGGGGCTTGTGACACCGTACATGGACAACGTACAGGAGGCCATTATAAAGACATACAAGACAATTGGCGTGGATTGCAGCAAGGAACGCCATCTTGGATTGTCGAGGAACACTTCATTTGCCGACGTTGATGAGCCTACCCTCGACGAGATGGTAGCCGACGTCGCGAGCCGCCAGGTGCAGGTGATTTCCACCTTTTGCACCAATCTCCGAGCTGCTCAGCGGGTGAACTACTGGGAAAAGACGCATGGTGTGGTGGTTTTGGATACGGTGAGCACAGTCATTTGGGACATGTTGCTACTGTGTGAGGTTGATCCGACGGCGGTCCAGGGATGGGGCCGGTTGTTCCAATTGGTAGTATGAGATGGACAGAACACAGGGGTGAGGTGTGAAGCAGGAATATGGACTAGATATTATTTCACTTAAAATAATTTATTAGTTAACTTAATAGACCATGTCATAAGTGAAGGCAACAAAAGTCCACTATTTCTCTGGTTATTCAACAGCTTTGTGCACATGGGCAGCCGAAATAGGAAATGCTATCCTATGGCCATAGGGGTGCCAGGGTGATAGGACTAAAAGGGAGTTGACAAGGTTTAACTACAACATAGGAAGAAGTCTGTCATCTCTTGACTCCGAATGCTAAGAGGGATTACCCAAAAGGGCGCTAAAGTCAGGGATGGCTATTTTTGGATCACCGCTTTAGTCACCGCCTGTGTAATTATGGTCTCGGCCCGGTATGTAATATTAGAGCCTCTTCTTCTCCACCCACATTTACCTCTACGGGTGGATGGAAACCTTGGAAGACCTCGGGACGGCCCCGACGCCCGGTTTACTTACTTCCTTACTTGGTTATTTGCTTGCTCCGTGCTTGCTGATCGGCTTCTACTAGTCGCATTTAGGTCAAAACGTATACAATTGTTAAAAAAGGTATTTTAATCATACTTTTACGATCTGAGCTCAATGCGACCGTAGAAAAGTTAGTAATTAGAGGAAACGTAGGGGTAAATTGTTGTCTACTCATTACAGCTGCGGACTAATGGCGAGCTGACTATTTTCTGCCACGCAGAAAATTAATTTTTATCGTATTGAAATCGTTTTCCCAGCCCCACTTTGCTCGGGATGCGCCGAGTAATTCGGTAGGCGCGAAAATCGTATAATACAACCGCCACTACTCGGGCCGATCTCTCAGCACGCGTAGAGAAAAACGAGGAAATTGATAGTCGAAGGATAGAGCGGGATCTCAGGGACCTATGTAGCATAAATTTATTATAGCTACTATAGGGGTATAGGTTGAAATGATGGTTTTATTGAGTAGGTACTCGTTTTGTGTGGAAATGATGTTTTGGCCCCCAAGCCACCAAAGAATACACGAGTGCACGCGTGGTCACCTGATGCCCTTAAATATCTAATCCCAGCAAAAATATCAGGGGCCAGTTCTCTTTCGACATCCTGACAACTTCCCTCACCCACGTCGATCAATGGCAATGACCATAAGACAGAGAACCCAACCGGTTGCTTCTATTCCAGCTAATAGGAGCAAGGAGGATGGATCAACTACCCCGACCAAGTTTACTGACGGTGCGTCAGATGAATTCGAATTCGGTGGTTCATTCGGTGCTGCGCTGTTGATGACGGGATTTCCTTTGTTGATGTGGTACATGTGGATCGGTGCCACGTACTATGATGGCATGCTTCCTATGCCTAAGCCCAACCAGACCTGGGCTGATTTTGGCCGTCACCTATGTCAGCTGGTCTACGAGGGAGCTTATCCAAGCGCGAAAGCCTGGGCGATATACTGGACATTCTTTGTCCTCGAGGCACTCATGTATTGCTACATGCCCGGTGTTTCGAATTTCGGCCGGCCATTGAGGCACGAAGGCGGCAAGAGGCTCCCCTACTACTGCTCCGCTTATTGCAGCTTCTATGCGACGCTCGCCATCGCTGTTGTCCTACACGTTACTCGTGTATTCCCTTTGTACACGCTGATTGACGAGTTTGGACCTATCATGAGTGTCGCTATCCTCTCTGGCTTCTTGAACAGCTTCATAGTCTACATCCAAGCTATCGTGCGCGGCCGAACCCACAGACTATCGGGCTCTCCAATCTACGATTTCTTTATGGGCGCCGAGCTGAATCCCCGCATTGGAATCCTGGACTTCAAGATGTTTTACGAAGTCCGGATCCCGTGGTTCATTCTCTTCCTCATCACCTGCTCCGTGGCTGCTCGCCAGTACGAAACTTACGGCTATGTTTCGCCCGAGGTAATCTTCTTGGTGGTGGCACATTACTTGTATACCAATGCGTGTGCCAAAGCTGAGCAGATGATTATTACCAGCTGGTGAGTTAATAAAATGTTGGAGCAATAGTTACAATTGAGCTGACACTATACCAGGGACATGTATTTTGAAAAGCTAGGCTTTTTGCTCACCTTTTGGAATATGGCCGGTGTGCCCTTCACATATTGCCACTGTGCTCTCTACTTGGCCAACCACCACCCATCCGAATACCACTGGAATCCTTACGCTCTCGCAGTGTTCTCTGCTCTGTACATTTTCTTCTACTGGATGTGGGACAGTGCCAATGGTCAGAAGAATGCATTCCGCCACAAGGAAAAGGGCCAGCTCATACAACGGAACACATTCCCTCAAGTGCCGTGGCAGGCTATCGAGAATCCCAAAACCATCCAAACGGATGCGGGCGACCATATCATGGTCGATGGCTGGTTTGCAATTATCCGAAAGCCAAACTATGTTCCTGACATGTTTTTCTCTATGTCCTGGGGTCTGATCACCGGTTTCAAGTAAGACTTCTTATGTGCAAAGCCGTGATGTTGTGGTAACTAACTACTATTGATAGGAGCCCGTTCCCTTGGTTCTACTTCATTTTCTTCATGGTTATGATCATCCATCGCACCAACAGGGATATCAACAGATGCCGAAGAAAGTACGGCGAGGCCTGGAAGCGCTACGAGAAAGAAGTCCCCTACCTGTTCATCCCAGTAAGTTCATAGTGCTATTCCGGGTAGTGGAGATGTGCTAACAGTTTCGAAGTATGTCATTTAATTAGCCAGCGCAACGTGCGCGAGCGGCTCGATATTTTCTTTTCAAAACTAGACCATTCTAATATGATGCGCTTCTCTATTTTATTTGCGTTTTGATAGACACGACGCATTTTTTGATGGTACGGGATCCTCCAGAAAACGAGCGTAGCCAACTATCGTCAACGCACTCAATACCAGGACGACTCAACACAAACTCAACACAAAATAAATAGCCCCGTGTGGCCTTTCTCTTTGATCGTCATAAAATCGGGGGCAAGACCAGATAGGAAAGGCGCCACCGCCTACCTATTTCTCCCGACAGCCCATTTTCGTGAGTGCTGGCCATGCAAAGCTGGTCTGGAATGGCCTTGCACAGGGAACCAGAAGAGGATATTGCTCTGCGCAGTTCCCAACCCAATCTCACCGGCCTCAGTCATAATTCTTTCAGGGAATATCTCACACCTCCCTACCCAATTGCTAAGGCTCTCAGCAGCCCAGAAAAATGACCCTAATCTTGCCGCCGCTGCCAGGGTTGCCTTCGCGGGGTTCCTCCGAGTCGGAAAATTTACATACTTAGCTGCCGAACTTAGAAACACTGAAGTATTCGCTGCTACCAAGTTAACCCCGGCCGATATCAGGTTTACCCCTACTATGGACCATGTCTTCCCCTACTTTAAAAGTAAGTAAGACCGACCGAAACCACGAAGGTATCAATATTGTCCTTGCAGCGACAAAAGATGCAGCCTGTCCCGTCGAAGGCCTTTCTAAACTATTCCTCCATGACTCAAAGTCTACGACTGCTCCCTGATTTACACTCTCTTCCGGTCCCTTCACGTCACCCGCCTTTCAACTGCGGTCATCTCTAAGCTTAACCGCGCCGGGAAGATACTACGGGGATAAAAGTGTCACAGTTTTGGGGAGGGGCCAGCACAATACACCCACGACACAGGCTTAAGGGATGACCACATCCAAGCCTTGGGTAGATGGTCTCCCGAAGCCTTTCCCTTTTCCTTTTCCTGAATGGAACACTTGTTTCGATCAAACTGCGGTTTAAATTGTTTCCCAAAGAGCAGACACGGGAACTATTCCGAACCCTAAAATCGCTATCAGTCTCATACAAGCCTTAAAGCCACCAATGTTGAAGCCACATTGCGAGCCATTTAAAAGCAACAACTTTCCCGAGGCTGTAGAAAAATCAGTTAGTTCAAATCCCGTGCCAAGACGTGGCTTTTCCGCCCCGGAACCAACGTGCTTCCAAGCGTGTACCCCTGCAAATGGACACAGGAGAGCCGGCACCGGAATTGGCTCTTGATCTTGGCAAAGCGTCAAATTAAGCCAGTTCGGGCAAAATCAAACGAAGCAGCGTCTCGGACTAGCTATAAACAAACTGAGATCGCTGAGTGCCAAGTCTTTTTAGAGCCCCATTGGTCAGGTGTTGGGCGTAAGCACTAGCCACGCTTTGGATCCTGGGACCCTTTAGCCTTTTGGACCTTGCGGCTTTACAGGTCATGAATTTTTAGATAAATACCCTATTCACATCCTTTGTGTTTGTATCTCGTGTGCGCTTAAAAAATGGCATTTAAATTGTTTCTTTTGCTGTCTTTGGCGGCCTCCAGAATTGTGCTAGCCGAGAAAGTCGGGTATTTTGACGATTCGTCGGTCTGCGCTGATCCAAAGGGTCTAAAGACATGCTACGAAGACGCGGATACCAGCTACGCCAGCTGCATCAATAACAACTGCGCTGGCGGAGACCCTGCATGCTACAAAGCATGCAATGGCGATAGTTCATGCATGGCTTCTCAATGCCCAAACCTAGGTATTGACTGTATCAATGTTTGCGAATGCATCAAGAATGCCAATGAGATCGATTGCATGGCTGAGAGCTGCTGGAACCAGGTAATTCTTACAAACTAGAATACCCTGCCATAAATTGACACTCCAGCTAGGTCTATTCCTGCGAATATCAAAAAACCGGCGAAAACTTAGTCAACTTCTGCCCGAAAGTCGACCTTGAACAAATCCCCTTCTGGCCCTTTCCCGGAAACGCGACGGGCGGCTGTTCCTGCAATTTCGCGAAAATCGACCTCAAAGCCACCCAGATAAACAACCACTTGACGACGTGCGGGAATGACGAGAAGGCATTGGAGCAGCTTACAGCCGACGAATTGTCCGACTATGGCCGGGCCTGCATTTGCTGTTCCTACAGCGCGATTGTATCCACCATCTGGGACGAATGCCCTAATACAGATCCGGCTGTTCTGGGAGCAGACTACTGGCTTGGACAGTTGAAGGATGGAGAAGATGGGGAAGCATGTAGTACTTACATGGAAAAATTCCCTTGTAAGAAACTTGGTTTTGGAGATGAGGTTGCGGGCGGTACGGATACTTTCTACACGCCGGACAATCTTCCTAAAAATGGGACGGAGAAGTTGTACAATACCGGTGGTGTTGTCTCGTCTCCTGTTAGTGGGGCTACTTTTACTTGGACTCTGGGTACTATCGCGCGTGCAATTACGGTGTCGTCAACGGATAATGTTGTGACAGCTACAGCTACAACTACGACCGGGTCAGATAGCTCTGGAAGTTCTCAAAGCGCTGCTACAGAGACAGGAGCGAGTGCGACTTCGACTGGCTTAGCTGCTGGCTGTGAAATACCTGCGTTGGCGATTGTTGGGCCTGTGCTTGCTATTGTCTACGGTCTGTAATGAGAAGTGGCCGAGTCTAGTACGCGACATAGATGCTAGATTTCATTTTCAATGCGTCGAAAAATTTTCACGGAGTAATTAATCATAATTTTCCACCCCCAGTTCAAGTAGGTCGTGAATCATCCACGATTTATATAGTCTCAAAAATGGAGCACGAAAATCCGGGGACCCACGTGGACAGATCGTGATCAGCGCGTCGCGTCAAAAACCTAAGCCGAGAGGGCGACTATCACTGAACTATCACTACATGCCCTAGTGTACACGTGCCGTGTCTCAGAGACGTGCTCGGTTTTACTCGGTGATCAAAAAGCGGCAAGAGGTGAGCGCTAAAACGGAAAGGGAAAGGTCTCGAGTGCCAGGCATTATCCGGTACATATGTATTGTTGTGGGCTATTTCCCATGCAGAGGTCATGCAGCATTCAGGATAAATATGTACTAGTATATACTGGCTGGTGCCCTCATTTCGAACACATAAGAAACTCTTCATCACACATCTATTCAAGCCCTTCGATGCCAGCTGCGAGACTCTCGTGGAATGGAGTCCAACCTGGCCGGCCGTAGAATGATTGGAGTAGAGACTCGGCTCTTTTGGCTGGAACGACATTTGCTTCGTCACGAGCTTCGTTCACGGGAGGCTTGGGGATCAATTTGTTGTCGGGGCGCAGTTTGCTAAGAGCTTCAACATGGTCTGTCCAGTTCTTAGATTCTGCGAAAGCAAAGAGCCGTTCGGACTTCACTTCGTGGCTGAGTAGTGCGATGACATGGAGACGAGCAGTGTCCTCAACATCGACATACCACTCTGTAGGGACCAAGTATTAGAGAATGTTCCAAAAGACTGGGAGAGAAAATGGGATCTTACGGGGAGGGAAAGTCTCGAAGGGGCTGCTATCTCCCTTGAGAAGCTTGCGCACATAGCCCATGGTCGAGCCACCAATCTCTGGGTGAAGGACCTTTCCGGTCTAAAGCATGAAAAGACATTTGGTCAGTAAAGTTCGTGGCTTTCTTTAGAATTGAAAATTCTCACATTGAAGTCGGGAAGCACAGTGTTGAAGTCGAAGTGGGGCTTGTTGTCTTTCATCCATTCCCATGCGGCCTTCTCAGATTCTGTCTTGGACGCAGAATACACAGCAAAGGGCTTGATATCCGCGGGGGTATCTGGATCCCATGCTGCCTTGACTGAATCGTCGTTGAATGTATCTAAAGGATGTTAGTTTGCGCCTCCTGCAATGCGTGAGACTTGAATGCGCGAAATACTTACTATCCTCTACAGTAAGACCCTTGGTGGTACCGGGCAAGGAGGTAAAGGCAGCTCGTGACGACGAAGTGAGAACCACCCTTTGGATGGTCTCAGTCCGAGATGCAGCTTCAAGAACCTTGAGCACAGAATCCTTCACCCAAGGAATGACGGCATTAGGGTCGGAGCTGAAAGTCAGATCAGATGCCTATTGAAAATGATTAGAAATTTGAAGTTATTGCCTTCTTAAATGGTTTTGTATAGAACTGACCATGTGGATGACACCTGAAACTCCCTTCATTGCCTTATCCAATTCTTGGGCATCACCGAGGTTGGTCATAACCAGGGTTTCGAAGCGTCCTTTGCCATATCGCTCATCGAAAAAGGCATTGAGCCAAGGCTTGGGAGCGCGAACTGTGCCCCGCACTCTGAAACCTTTCGCAAGCAACTGGTCGATAGTATGAGATGCTATGAAACCATTGGCACCTGTAACAAGCACCAAGCTGTCTGCGGGCAATAAGTATGACGTAATCATCTTGAATATTCAGGGATTAGGAAATTCGATTTCAAGGCAAAGAGGGAAAGAGGTCAATGAATCTGTTGAGGAGGAAATAATATATAACAGAGCCGATCATCGACTTTACCGAATACCCGGTTCTTTTCCGCACAAATACCGGGCCGGTCGATAATCCGAGATAATGCCATAACGTTCGTTCGATCCAAGCTGAGTCAGCCAGTCTGATCCAATCACAGTGCGCCGCCAATCTCTTCTCCACATCTTAAAAGCTCGGTCCACCTCTTAGAAGGTTTTATGGTTTCCAAGGTTACGATGTACAACTTGTATATTACGTCTACATACAAAGTTATATCAAAAGGCTCCTAATCTCGCTTGTTCCTAGATACACAGCTTCCGAGTCTACGGAAGCCTCTCGTGTTGCTATGGAATCATGATAGTTGACTGATTTCCATCCCGAAAAGAAGGTCTAGGGTCGCCAATCTCGGAGACCGACCTGATAGAGCCAGGATCTCCGAGAATGCCGAAATGTGGATGCAGGCGAAACACAGAGGTGGGGTTATTGGCATGTCAACCTTGGCACCTTATGCTAGAGAGCCTTTTAGGTTGACACTTTTGGTGCCACGTTGGTTTCAATGTCCTTAATAATTGGTCTAAGACGGGAGGTGCCAGTATCCTTTACATGGCGACCTCGACTTCATCTCGTTTTCATAACCAGTTCTTGATGTACAGAGTACTGAGAGTTGTGCTTTTGGCAATGACTCATTTCCAAAAGTCTAGACCGACTTTTTGACTCAGATGTTTGGTTCTTTGGTCGGTTTCTTTACAGAGTACGGAGTAGTGGGCCCTAATTCTCTGTGACCCTCCCCGGGATACGTAGACATAGCGTTCATGATTCGAAACCCTCTTTAGGAAGGTGTTGATGCCTAGATGCCTTATTTTGTGCCTTGATAATCAAATTGAGAGAGAGAGAGCTTGCCAATGACCTAGCGCTAATCCATCTATCATTCGGGAGTCCTCGATGACAGGGCACAAGCTGATTCTAGAAAGGCTCATTCTTGACTATCTCCAGGGTGGCTTCTACCATGTATAGGCTTCCCGTCACCGAGACCTATCCTCCCATATCATCTTCTTGGCATGATCAATGCCATTTCTGACACTATGTGTAGTTATTCGGTGTTTAATTGCGCAATGAGATCACATGACTTACAGAGGTTGAGAAATTGGCAGGAACGGATGATCCTTTCTCCGTAGGCATGGCTGCCCAACGAGAAACCCTACAACATAAACAACAAAACTCGAAAACTCTCATGACGGCTGTCGACTCTGTTGCTTTTTCAACCTCGGAACTCTAGTTTTGATTGATCTTGTAGTATGTATCACCATCGTGATACCGTAGTCAACAAGCCCTCCCTCAAACATATACACAAGTAAATGGGATAAGCTACGCCTTCAAATCTCAGATAAGAATTAGATACTACCATGTCGAACTTCAAAGGAAAACAAGATCTTACCAAAATAACAGAATTTTGACTCTCGTTCTCTACAACGGTTAGGGGTTCGTTATCGGGGGATAACGAGTTGGTGAGGGACAATGAGTTGGAGACAATGCGTTAATAGGGCAGTACGGAGTAAACAGTACTCTTATCCTTCACCTTGTGGTTCTATAACTTGATATCTTTCTCCCGGAGGAACCGCCAGACGAATATACCTAGACATCATGGCCTTTCTTTCTCTATAAGGGTATATTTCTACCCTAAGTCACTGTCAATGTTTGTAGCTAAGTGAACAGATTGATAGATACTACCAACCAAGACATAATACCTACGACGCCGCCCCGTATCGCAATCCTCATTGAATACAGAGGGATGTTAGAGTGTTACCCCACAGCTCAAAATTTCCTACTTTTTTATGCTAAGATAGATGATGGAATTTGCAAGACTGTGCGTATTGAAATATATGGGGTATTGGAAGGAGACAGATTGTCGTGCTTGCTGGACCGAAATATAAGCCGCCAGGCGAAGCACATGTTGCCGTCTGAGGAGTGGACTTTCTTGGAAGATCGATCTACGAGGAAGCGACAGCGGCTGTAAGCTAGTCATGAGACCCTTATCATTCGGGCCCGTTATGAAATATGGTTAGAGTCTGGCAATAGTTACCGGCCACGGCTTTAGGGCTTTGAAATACGATTTTCTTCGTATTAGGAAATAGTTATGTAAGGTGAGTAGAATCGCGGCAGAAAGATCGTTTTTTTTCTAGTGAACAGGGGACCTGCAACGGGGACAGCAAGGGCACCGACATTTAGGGAAGGGTATCAAGGCTTATTGATATATGTTGAGGGGCTACTATGTGTGGCGCGGAAGAAAGAGGGAGAGAGTTGTATTTCTACTAGGCGAAACGACCACGATCTAGTCCGAGGGGCTTGGTGCCTTCCGCACCTGTCAGAGTGGTCAGGTGACCACCACCTCGCAAAGAATATAGTGTTATAAACTTCTTCGAGCTTCGTTGGGGTTTCGGTCACCAATTTAGAGGAGCAGGATCACAACAGTGAAGATGAGGTGATTGATAAGTAGGAGATAAGTGAGAGACAAAGTGATGAGTTCCAAACCCTTCCGTTCTCAACGGGGTACCGAGCAAGGGTAGATCTCTGCGGGTAAGTTGTATTCCTTCCCTAAGGGCAAATTATGAACTGGAAAATTAAAAAAATGCAAGCCTCCACTAAGCAAATTCCGCAGCAAACAGTAAGAATATCCCAGGCTCCATCGATCACTTTTCGAATAGAGAAAGCAAATAACTGAAAGAAAGGACGGGGCTAGACCACACTGTATCCTCCGTCGATCAGATGATCTGCAGCAACACTCAGGCAATAATCTTTGTATAAACCTTCAACCGGGGCATAACGGAAAAAGCCGAGAACTCTATGGTCATCGTTCCAAATGGCAGAACTACAAACACTGTCAACCATATCAGCAGCCGAATCTTGTCCCATGTAGCTCCATTGTGTCGTAACCCATATCTGCTGGGGCTCTTGGGGGTCGTCGGATGGAACCCGCATGGTGTTTCTAGACATTCGCTCGCCTTCAGCAAGACCGGAGAAGGGACTATCAAAATATACCAGATCATGCTGCTGAGTCTCTGCAATCCGAATGAAATCTCGGAGTCGGAATGAAGTTGCTGGCGTTAGGGTGTTCTCAAATGGTTCATTTACAAACTCCACCCCATCTTCGAGATTAACTAAGGCAACGTCCGTATGCGTGAGTTCCATAATAAGTCTGCCGATTGTTCTGCCACCGGCATGAGGATGGTAAACGGTTGCATCGGCAGGGAACCCGTGCGCAGCAACAGTCATGAATTTCTGGCCCAGATTATTTTTGACTAGGACACCGGAGGACGAACGCATTGACTCTCCTTTGAGATTTATACCGGAGCTGACCATCACCCCTGGTCTCAGTATATCGTACTGGGAGCCGTCAGATCGCGATGGAGAGGCGGTTTGAAGTCGTTGAGCAGGCAGCGTGCGGGGGCGATCCATGTGATGCTCTGAAAGGTACAAGAAGGTGCAACGGGCAACAGAACGGGGAACAGACCGCAAGATTTTATCCATAGCATTTTCATCGTGGTCAATTCGATCTTCGAGAACAATGACGACGATATGGCCCCACACCTGAATCTCAGTGATTGGGATTCGAGCTTGTTCAAAGAACTGGCGTACTAGATCGGATATGAGGTTCAGTGAGTCATTCTTATTTCGAAGATCAAGGTCCTGTGAGATTTGGATATTCGAACGAGTTCGATAGCGGAAGGGAATGGCTGGGCCCTTATCGTTCGGATTGTCCGTCAGATAACACGGAACACCTGCAATTCGCTTTGGCCAGGGCTTCGGTGGCAGTACTTCGACGCGAAAGATCAGAATCCTGTCATCAAACTCAACCGCCTGTGTAGTTGGAAAAAGATCTATCAGAAGCTTGAGGATATGAGATTCGGAAAACATCCACGAAGATTGGCGCAGGTCGAAACGAAAAATGATTTCACGCGAGGAAGGTAAACACGGTTCTGCTGCAGGATCGGGATGACTATGTAGTGAGGGATGCCGGTGAAGATTGGTTGAAGAGGATGGGGGAGGTTTGAAATCTATATGAAATTAGCTTTGCATGCCTGAAATAGTCGGTATCACTTAACAATGACTTGAAAATCATACCCGGGCGGAGCTACCAGGGGCTGTAGATGGGAATTTTGGGGAGAGAACAACACAACGTTTTTGGGCAGGATGGACTCGGGAGACGGGGTCGTCCTCCGTTTACGAGGCGAGGAATCTATCGGACTCGTTTTTGGCGAGATGAGAAGTAGCTCGTGTGTAGGAAGTCCTGATGCCATAATGTGAAGCGACAATGAAAGTGATGGAAGAAAGGAGATGATGGTGATGATGGTGATGGGTGGAAGAGAAGAGATGGAAGTAGGAAGGAAGGAAAGAAGCAAGTAGGGAAGTGCCCAGGATACTTATAGTTAAATACTAGTCATCAGAAGTATAAAGTACCCATAGTTCATACAGGGCTAAAGAGAGAGCTTGCCAACCACCTCCACAAATTGAAATGCATGAATTTTTATGGTGCTGAAAGCTTTATTTAATAAAAATACCATTCATTCCTGTATATATGTTATAACGAGCGGTGCTAATTAAAAAGTTTATGCATCAAAATACTTCCTAAAAGCCGATTCGAACCCTGAACGCTTCTGCGTAGACTAATGGAAATCTCGCCAGCTGGTGCGATCGAATATTCATTCCAGGTGTTACATGCCAGTTCTTTCCAGAAGAAAAGAGTATAGTCAATTCTGAATTCTAAGTACAGAGAAGGAAAAGAAAAAGAAAACAATCTACGATCTCCTCGACTGGGTTTTGTGCTCTCCCTCGCCACAAACCATGCAAGCCCCGACCTCGCTTACGGTTCAGGAAGGAACGATTCGATTGGCAAGTGCGAGGTCATTATGCAAAGATATGGCTGGAGGCTTAAGACATTATTTCATACAGGGAAATATAAACTATAAGAAGAGTATGACCCAAAAATGTTCATATAGAGTACTATTGTTGATAGTCCTCAGATGGTCATCTCATCTCCATTATACTCCCCTTCAGTCTCCAGAGCAATCAGCATTTCCAAACCCTTCTCCACAGATTATCAGTCAGCCTTTGGTTGAATTCCCACCTAAAAAAGGCCTCCTATTTGAGCCTGCAGTTGATTGCCTCCTGGGGCGGGGCCTCCTGGTAATAGCAGAGGTTGCTACTTGAGTAGCTTCATTCTGCGCTGCCAAGTATAATTCCTGGGAATCACGGAGTTGAATGACCTTGGTCAATGGATCATGGTCGCCGTCTTCTACCAAGGAGATGCACGGGAAGACATTGAGAAGATAAAAGCCATGAATGTCTTGTGCCACCGGTTTTGTATTTTCACCAGCGAGAGGAAAGCGATCCCATTCATTGTCGTCGAGATCAGACGGTTCGAAATCTATCTCGAATTTCTGTTGCGATCGCTGAATTGGAAGCCAAAATTCGGCCGCGTCCTGAACTATGGATTTGGTTTTTGTACGAAACAATTCGTGTTGCGCTTCAGGGAATAGGCCTTCCACAAACGAAGACATTGTCTGGACCACGGCTTGAATCTCAGCTTTCAGGGCCACGTATTCAGCGTGCGGGTCAATAGAGAGAAGTATGCGACGGCAAAAAGCTTCTTTCTCGCCATTATTCTCTGCTAGATGACTGAGAGCCTCATGAAGACTGTTTCTCCCTGAGAGAAAATAGCTCGGTTTGAATATACGTCGATCGATCTCTCTGAATAGAACAGCCAGGATCAACGCAGATCGTACAGCTTTAGCAGCCAAAGAATTTGAAGGTATAAGAGGAAAGCTTGGTGGTAGGAGTATCCTGTCCGCCTTCCTAAGTTTCTCCCAGATAGACTTCTCCTTTTGATCCTATCAGTAACGAGCGTGAGAAAAGATGGCCGAGGACGAACCTTCAAAGTATCTTCTGGAACATCCTGCTCTAGCAATGGGAATAACCCGCTTTTAGCAGAAGTCCACAGGCTTGTAAATTTCGTGACTCTGTCAATGATACAGGAACGGTTAATACAAATAGTTGTGTCATTCATCGCACGACTTACACGAAATCCTCAAGAATAGCCGAAGGCTGGATAGGAAACTCTTCCAGCCTCTGGATATGAGCCTTCACTGCCTGCAGCTCTGTATCCATCGAGGTATTAGCACCTTCCAGGTCTTTGGTCTTTTTCTCTTCCGCTGATAGCATTGATTTCAATTTCGATCCAGCAGTCCTCATTTGGTCTATCGTCCTATCCTTCTCTTTCAAACTTTCTCGCAGTACATTGATTTCGTCGGCAGATTTTGTGCCTTTAGTGAGCTCCTGCGAGAGATTCAATTCCAACTTTGCTATTTTCTGCTTAGAGGCCCCGAGATCCTTAGAAAACGCGGCAATATTCTTTTCCTTTGCGTCGATAGTAGCGCGAAGAGACTCGATTTGCGTCGCGGAGTCTCTCTGTTTTGCCTTTTCGTTCTCGTTGGCAATAAACATATCCGCGATCGTGGTTCTTTTTGTTTCGTTGATCTCGAGAATTTCCTTTCGAAGTTTTTTCAGCTCTTCTTCTTGAAAATGGTTCCGCTCACGCTGTTGGGTGATCTCGCCAAGCACGGCGGATGCAAACTGAGCTTCAGAGCTTGACGCCAGTATACCCATATATTTGACAAAACCTCTTAGGCTGCCACTATTGACCAAAGGTGAGGAATCGATCGAAGACATAATAAAAGATGGCTTTGAGATACTGGCTTGAGGGTGCCTGGAAGGTTCCAAAAACCGATCGGCCTCCAATTTGTGTCAGAGAAGACAGGGCTTATATATTCGTGAGTATCACCCAAAGGCGTTCGCTTTGCGTACTTTAGCCTCGAAGCCAATAAGATAGGTCTCATGGTGAGGGGAAGAAACAATGATGCGATTCATGTATGCAAGTGCAGGGAAGTTCGCGACGTGTTCTCGATTGTGTGGCCTTTGTGTAGGCGACTCGTGACGTGCATTGGCACACTGGTAGCTCAGGGAAAGATAGATATGGATTATTCTATGGACAGCAGCGGGGTAAAGTAGCTACTCTATAGTGACGTGCACCCATAGTGCACCCACGCGAGGGTAACATGCATATGTCGAATAACTAAACTAACACGTGTCATTCAGTGTATGGTCGCATCACTAGGGCTCGGGCCGAAGTACCAGTCTCGGCGTTTCTCTCTGGCTCTGTATTTTTTTATTGACGAGATTAGCGAAGATATTTCCACAATTCAGGATGGATTATCGGATAAGGTACGTCAAGGGCTAACATCTAGAAGGCCATTGCGGGTCCCACTTCTTCAGCGGCAAATCGGCCAAATTAGCTATACGGCCGTCAGCTTCTGAGCCTCGATCTAAGCCCCCCCCTCCCTTTCCTCTCACAAGGGGTTTTGGTGTAATTTATAGGTTGGCAAGGAAATTTATCTTGCTGTGTCACTTGATGTGTCAGCTTTGATCGCTTTTGATCTAGCCTTTAATTCCACATTGAACGAAAAATAGCCCTTTCTAAAGACGGAACTTTTTCTAATAGCTTTAAGAAATCGGTACATTGTATCATAACTGCCATATTCCTGTTACCCTCAGGTGGGCGTACCGCCTACGTGACCTATGTAGCTACTATAACCCGGCTGCTGTACGTAGAATAATACAACATATTGAAGAGGGGACCCTGCCACGGGAGCCCTGCCTGCGAAACGGGTGTGAGAGCAGAGTTTTCACTAGGAGTAGTAGGATGCTAGACAGGATAACACCATGGGGTGACTACTGAGACGAAACGTGGAAAGGTGTCTGCGTTGCTATTTATGCCCCGGGAGTGCTTTTATAGTTAACTAACTATCCATGGATCACATGGCCACTTCGGCATCCTATCATGGAACCTTGGAAACCCCTAGTTACTTGGAACACGATTGCAGTACCCAAGTCAACCTGACTTGGTGAATTTCAAGTCCAATCTCAATATGACACATAACTCACTGAGCACCGATGTTCTCATTGTCGGCGCTGGTCCTGCAGGATATGTTCGTCGTTCATGAAACAAAACCCCACTGACTATCCACCTTAGGCTCATGGCCGGTACATGGATGGCACAAACGGGAATAAAGGCAATGATCATTGATAAAATTGCCATGCAGAACTCAGCGTGGGCATGCGGACAGTATCGAAAGTGGAACTCACATCCAGTCGATTTGACTATATGCGAGGGGTGAGAGTATCCTGTTCGAGTGACTGTTGAAATGAGAACATCTGAAAGGGAAGTACGTCAAATTGAACTACCCCTATAGCAAGATTGAGCTAGCTGGAAAAATTGGCTGTTGGTACCAGACTGCCCAATTCTCACGTCTTGTTTCAATGTGATTCCAGACCTTGGTCTCTACAAAGGGTTCTTCGCAGCACTGGAGGGTGGCACCTTTTGATTTTTGGTGGCTACATCTCGATTAACACAAAAATGATACGCGTCAAACGACTAGCATCTGAGCTTTCTCGAGATGAGCCTTTAGTCAACAGAATCAATCAATAAGATCATGATTGTGTCGACAAAATCTCAACGTACCTGGTTTACTGTGTACCTTAGAAAAGCGTCGACTTAATGGAATTGCCAAACCTATTCAAACCATTCGATGAAAATTTGGGTTATGACTACTGGCGCGTGTTCGCTGACGAACTGTACTCCGGAAAGCAAGGTAGGGCATATCAACAATACGGAATTGGGGCGGAGGGCCACTTTATTCGCGAATTTCTTTATAGAGGATGAGGGGATCGTTTTGAATTATTTGAATAACCAAAGCACAATCATTTTCAGATAGACTAGAGGGGCAGCCGATCCGAATTTAGTTCTTATCTTGAGCAAAGAGGTTCTTAGTCGATAGTATACTGAAATGTGGATTTAGCTAAGTACTAAGCAATCTTAAAAGACCTAGCTGGACCTGACCGAAAACCTGACCCCGGAGATAGGTGAGACGCTCCGAGGTCTCTGGGCCGTGGCCGTTGTACACTAAACGGCAGACGGGACGACAGCTGCACCACTTAGCGAGAGGGTGTGGTTTGCCCTGGCCTTGGTGGTGGGAGTGGACCCAAGCGACGCTACGGTCTGGCCGTTACCAACCATTGAAACCTTGCCAGAGGTCTCACCTGGCTATGAGTCAGAGGGGATCAGCGTAGGAAAAAATACGGTTCCAAAATGTAATTATTCGCAAAAAAAAAACGTGGGTGTGGTCGGAGACTTTTGTGGTCCGAGGTCCGACTGCTGAAGTATTTCACATCCTTATACATACCCCCATACCAGCTACCAATGATTTTGAGGATGCAAGTTTTGTGGGAGACCAACCATTATATCGAGCTAATATTACCTCCCTGCGACGGCAAGGCCTCTGGTACTGGACCAATGAAGGCTGTTTTAGACAAGGATATATGGAATAGTAGATGTCGTACTAATTCGTCCACACCATACTTGCCTTTAAATATGCAGGTTTCTACTCCAACGGCATATTAAAATGTTGCGCAACGTATTTTACATATGCGCGAGACTAATCTGAGCTGCATTTCATTGCCAATTCCGGCCCCATACAAAGGCTTCGTATGTGAGCCGAGTGTGCTCCGTCGATGATTCTAGATTCTATCTCGGTCTTAGCTCCCTTCCGGCCAAATCTCCGACGTAGTATTTTACTTCGTGCCGTTCGGCTCGGCTCGTCTGTGCAGCAAATCTGCTTTACATAGTCCGATGAATAAGGCAAAGATCAGCCTAAATGTCTCCGATATACGACATCAAATAAAATTATGCTATTCATTGCTTTGAAAAGAAATCGCGCAGCAAGAACTATCGCAAAATGATCTTCAACCTATTTCCTACTAGTGTCAATCTGGCTGGCATTGATGATCATCTCATCCAATGCCTTGCCGGGAGTAACCCATGGAAGCACGGGGACCTTTTCCTCCACCTTCACCTCCAGCAAGGCTGGCCCCTCCGAGCGAATAAGCCACTCAAGTTTATCTGTGATGTCAGACACAGCATCCAATCGCTGAGCTTTGATGCCCATTCCATCAGCCACCTTCACAAAGTCTGGATTTCGTTGATGTGCGTGGGAGTATCGCTTGTCATAATCAAGAGCCTGCCACTGTGTGACCATAGCTTGCTCATTATTGTTGAGTACCAAGATTTTGATGTTAATCCCAAACTCCGCGGCCACGGCCATCTCCTGCATCGACATGCTCAGCGATGCATCCCCATCAATATCAATGACCATTGCGTCAGGCCGTGCGACTTGGGCGCCAATGGCTGCAGGAAGCCCGAAGCCCATGGTTCCTGCACCTCCAGAAGTGATCAGCGAGCGATTCGCAGTCCATCGGAAAAACTGAGCCGCCCACATCTGATGGGACCCAACACCAGTGGTAATTATGGTTTGTTTGCTCAATTTTTCAGTAAGATCGCTTAGAAGCCTAATAACACACTCAGGAGATATTTGTGTCATTTGCTTCGGAGGCGTCGGCTTGATCGGGAATGTCTTCTTCCATTTAGAAATCTGGCCCATCCACTCCGGTCTGCTCTCCACCTTCTGGACATGATGAAGTAACTCAGTGAGACCGGCGGTAACATCTCCTTGGACGAATTCATTGCATTGAATGATTTTGTTGATATGAGGGGGGTGGATTTCGAAGTGTATGATGCCGCCTCGTTGGTCTTTACCGGCCGCTCTTGCAACAGGAGCAAAACGATCGGGGTCGCCGATGGCACGATCATCAAAGCGTGCGCCCAAAGCGATCACCAAATCAGCTGCTTGGATCGCCTTATTTGCATATGCAGTACCATGCATTCCTAGCATCTGAAGTGACTTTGGATCGTTCTCATCAAAACATCCAATACCAAGAAGACTAGTGGCAACTGGAATGCAGGCAGTTTCAGCTAATTGTGCCAACACTTTCGGGCCCTCGGCACACGAAAGCACTCCATTACCTGCGTAAAGAACAGGTCTCTCGGCTTTGTTGATAAGATCTGCGCTTCTTTTGATGCTCGCCGATCGGTTGGCTTTGAGAGCATCAAATCGTAAAACGGGGTTATTCAATTTAGGGAGACATTGGGATGAAGCCACTCTAGCGGGGGTTTCAAGAACCGCACTGGTCACGTCTTTGGGTAGTGCCACTAGAACAGGGCCCGGTCGTCCACTCATGGCAATTCTAAAAGCATCATTGATCTGGGTGGCAAGATCCCGAATGTCTCGTACCACCGTATTCCATTTCGTGCAAGGGCCCGTAATGCCAATCACATCTGCTTCTTGAAAGGCATCCGTGCCCATGGCATAGGTTGGGACTTCGCCGGTGAGAACAACCAGTGGAGTGCCATCTTTTAGCGCGTCTTGTAAAGGCGTGATGAGGTTCGTCGCACCCGGCCCCGAAGTGGTCAGAACAACTCCTGGCTTCCTGGATGTGCGGGCATATCCTTGCGCCATATGGCCTGCCCCTTGCTCGTGTCGCGGAAGAATAAATCGAAAATGAGGACAGCTGTGCAGAGCATCAAAGACTGGCAGAATAGCCCCGCCGGGATACCCAACTGCTCATTGTTCATATAGTCAGCTCCTATATCATCGAGATGTGCATAGAAAATAGGAAGCAAATTCCTTCTCCCTTGCGTAGGATCAACTTACAGATAGAATCAACTTCTTGCCTTCGAAGCATCTCACACACAATCTGGCCACCAGTCATACTCATCAGAGATCGATCGAGGGTATACTTCAGTTGTCCACCTGACTTGGTAGATATCGAAGACCCCGAAAGACGAACTGGCACCACTCGATGTTTCATTTCAAGAACCTTGGTCGTTTTCGATGGTAAGTTGGCTATGTGTACGGTTTTTGAGATCCCAGTATGAAGCCCCGAGGATTGAACTGGCGATTTGAGTGATTCATGCAAAGTCTTCTTTGTAATAGTTGTACAATGTACGTGTTTGTACTTGACGGAGCTCTCATCACGTAGAAGCTTGAGTGACCGAGGAAACATTCTGGGCAAAGGTGCTGATACCGCCTTCAAGTCTGGATGCAAAACGTAAAGTCTATACGGCGAGGGGGGATGATGGGGTTCACTTTCCAAACATATGAGGGAATATTCTAGGCTACTTTTATAATGGTGTACGGTCAAGCCTCATTGGTGTATGTTACGCTTGTGAATATGGAGTTACTTTCAATAGACATGACTCATCTAATAGCTATCCACGATTGATGATTGACTTGCATCTTGATTTGATCGGCAGACAAAACGTGAAGCCGTGATAATGATCTGTGCGACGAAAGCCATTACACCACCTGATATCATTATGCAGGAGATGGTCCGCCTCCAGAAACTCGAGACTCGACACGTGCATTCGTGTGGTACCGAAAGTAGGCACGCACGTTAGTTTGGTGGCAAGGTGAGATGTGTAAATGATATCATTGTGTGGTTCAATTCTCTTGTCTATGCTGTTGTTGGACGATTGCAGGAGATGGTCAGCCTCCAGAAACTCGGAACTAGACATGTGCATTCGTGTGGTACCGAAAGTAGGCACGCACGTTGGTGTGATAGAGAGGTAAGATGTGCAAACCCATAGAGATAGCAGAACGGCCAACTAATATATTACTTTGTAACATCAAACGGTTTCAAGAAGACCATTAAGGGTAGAGTATGATCCTTTTGGCTGACTTTGTACTGCGGAAATTCTATTGTAAGATGCCCAGGTGCATCTTTGGGATCTCAGAGATAGCATCTAGCTTGATGATAACGAATCATTCAATGAGGTGTTTTTGAAGACTTCTATCTTGCACATGTATACAGTTGAATCATAAATGCCGCAAATGAGTAAGTTGTATTACAAATAAAGGAACTGAAACGGTGTCGATCAAGACAATCACTTCCAGTCTTGGTATATAATGCAGAATAATCAAGGAGGAGGGTAGGACGAGGGGTGGTAAGACCGGAGTACTCAATTCGATCCAATAGTGATAGCACGACCTTGCATCCCAGGATTCATGGTCATACTTATTGCTCAACTTATAAGAAGGCCCTTCTCAAGCCAATTTTATTTTAATGACAACATTCCATTTCCTTATACCATCAGTTCCACTCAAAAATTGGTGCGATTCTCAATATTCGTTTCTCTAGCCGTTCGACAGATACAGTATAATTCGAGTTGAAAGCAGGAAGAATGACTGACATTCCAAAGAGGCAATGGGCTCAGGTCTTTGAGACCAGTGGTTCAGGTAATAAATTTACTCCTTTTCAAAGCCCCATTCTTCCAACTTACGTTCGTTGTTTAATATTTATAGCATTGCACTTTACCCAAGTACCTGTTCCCGTGCCCGGCGCTACCGAGGTGCTCGTCAATATCAAATACTCGGGAGTGTGTCACTCGGATTTGCAAGCGTGGAAAGGGGGCTGGCCACTTGATCCGAAGAAAGGTCTTATCGGTAAGCACCTGATCTCTCAATGCCCTTGATCAGCGTTATCCAGTTTTTAAGTGTCAAAAGGGCCATACTGACATTCTAAAGGAGGTCATGAGGGCGTGGGGATTGTTGTTAAGACAGGAGAGGGAGTTGAAGATTTAGCTGTGGGTGACCACGTTGGAATACAGGTGAGAGAAGAATGCTTGTCCCTGTTGCTTATTTTTCCACTCTTTCAAGTATACTAAATGAGCCCACTTGACATAAAGTGGATCAACAGTATCTGTGGTTCTTGTGTATCCTGTGATTCCAATGATCAGAGGTCGTGTGCAAGTGCTCAGTTTTCTGGGTACACCAGAGACGGCACCTTTCAGCAATACGTCGTCTGTAAGGAACTCTGTGCCGTTCGAATTCCTCCAGAAGCGCCTTTAGACAAGATTGCTCCCGTAAGTGGTCTAGTTTCTTTTACCTCATTATCCAGCTCAAACAAATATGGCGTGTTTCTAATCGCCTGAATATAGATTCTTTGCGCTGGGGTAACTGTCTATCGCGCTCTTCAAGAGACCGGCGCCCAGGCGGGTGATATAGTTGGTATGATTTCGTATATTTCGTCGTGATTTTATTCGTTATAACTATCCACGTTCACTGCTGATGGGCTATATTAGCCATTGCTGGTGCTGGTGGGGGGCTCGGGACCCTAGCTTGTCAATATGCGAAGGCGATGGGTTTTCGAGTACTTGCAATATCAAGTGGAGCTGAGAAGAGAACGCATTGTGAGAAATTGGGCGTGGACTATTTTGCGGACTATAAAAGCTCCAAGGATCTCACCCGTGATATTCAGAGGCTTACCAACGGAGGGCCTCATGCTGTGGTAGTGGTATCATCAGATGATCGTCCCATCTCCCAGGCTGTTGAGGTGAGATGATACATTAACTCCCCTCTTTTTCCTAACAGCATCCACGCAATAAGTCGTCCGGAAAAGTGATTTAGCTAAACTGAATTTTGCAGTACATCAGATCTCGGGGAACAATTGTGTTAGTTGGCTTGCCGCCAGGGGCAGTCATAAAAGCCGACCTCTTCTCGGTCGTCATCCGCATGATCACTATCAAGGGATCTTATGTTGGCACCAGAGAGGATACCGAGGAGGCACTGGAATTCTTCCTTCGTAAAAACCTCGCCATGCAATGCCAGATCATGGAACTTGAGCAATTACCCCAAGTCTATGATATGATGGAGAAAGGTAAGTGAGGCCTTACTCTCATCTTAATTGACTAAATTCTTTACGCGCTCCAGGCTGACCATGGAACGTAAACTTCTCTTCAGCAAGTATCAAAGGTCGAATAGTTTTGAGGATGCCTGAAAGTGCGGGTATGTGTCACAGCTTAGTCATAGTTAGCTAGTTAGCACCCCCAACAAGGGGTTCATAATATCATCATCTTCCCCACCAAGCTTACTTGCCACATTTATGGTAGCACGTCCTGGTTTCATCCAGAGTTTTTTTTCTTCCGAGAGGATCTCTCTCGGGTTTATTTTAACAAGTTCAACTACCTCAGGGGTTCCCCTATATACCAAGGTCAGAGGTCACCAAGCCTAGCACAATCGGCAGTCGACCACGCTGTCGATCACAGTGCCAAGCCGCTACGGTAAGGCTGTCGATCACAGTACCGAGCCACTACTATAATAATCTATAGATAAGCGTACTTGTCAGGCTACCTAGCTTACAATCCAGTTCGATAATTATCGCTAGGAGGCACATCCCTAGTTAGGTGATTTCGACGTAGATACACTTTCCCGCATTATTATTATCCTAACCCCTTTACCTACCGGGCCCGCTAATCCCTTAATCTCGCTATCTACTTCTATTATCCTTCTATCTTTAGAGGATCTATTTCTACCTTCCTAGCCTATTGATAGGTCTATACTTAATAAGGCTATTAAGGATTTCCTCTATCTAATATCTTACCTTACTATTCTAAGTCCTATAACCCCTCTATTGAGCGAGCCTACGTATCTACTTAGGAGACCCCGACCTAAGCGAACTATAAGTAAGCCTCCTAGTTTACCGGCTTCTATACCTTAATCTTCGATATCTATATTAGACTAACTGACTGCCTAACCTACTACTATAATATACCTTTCTATACCCTAGTCTTTAATACCTATTTCGGACTAACCGACTGCCTAAGCTACTACTATTATATACTATATATATAGGCCTACTACTATATAATAGTAGCCTTGTTTTAGTCCCTAGCTAGATAGTTATAATAGTAAGTTTTTCTAAACTAAGGATAAAAATTCTATACTATAGGCTAAGGATAGTTATATAGACCTTCTATAGGATAACTAAGCGGAAGTCTAGTCTTTAGAAGACTAATAAGCCGAAGTTAATTAAGCGGAAGTCTAGTCTTAATAAGCCGAAGTCGATTAAGCGGAAGTCTAGTCTCTAGAAGACTAATAAGTAGAAGATAACTAGGTAGAAGTCTAGTCTCTAGGAACTAAATAAGCCGAAGATAACTAAGTAGACCTCTACTCTTATAAGGCTAGTATTAAATACCTAATCCTAGAATAACCCCTAGTATAGTTAAGAGTATAATTAACTTTATATTTTTATAATAGTAAGGCTAGCCCTATAGTAGGTCTATCGAGCCTACTATAGGAAGCTAAACTCTCTAATCTCCTATAAAAAATAGTAAATAACAGAGGTTTAGGTCCTAGTTATAATAATAGAAATTAGGGTCCTAGCTATATAGGTAATATACTAACTCTAGCTACTTCCTTACTATTACCTAGTTTTAATATAGTATAGTTTATAGAGCTTATCGAGAAAACTATATAGATAAGCCTTTAGAATAATACTAACGCTCTTTATAGGCCTTAAGGTAACTAAGGTCCCTAGGGTAAGTAAGGTTCCTTAGGCTAATTAACTACTACCGATACCTTATAGAAAGTATCTAAAATTAGTATTTTTAATCTTTCGAAGAGTTTTAAGAATAGAATAGATATAGTCTAAAATCTTTATATCTACTCTGATATATATATATTTATAGATTATATAATAGACCTAATACTCCTAAAGTTAGAAGCTATTATCTAAGCGAATATCTATAGCTACCTATAAGGTAATATACTCTAATAGTATTTATAGGAGCTAACTATAGATAAAAAATACCTTATAAACTAGGTTCTACTCTAGGATAGATAGTTTTCTATAATAATATAATATTTTAGACCTAACTATACTAAGGCCCTTCTCTAGCTTAATAAGTATATATATAAATAGGATAATATATACTAAGGCTATACCCTAAGAGAATATATATAGGGTATATTATACCTATATAAAGCTATAGGTATAATAGATATTCTTAACTAGTTATTATAAATTTACTAGAACCTAAAGCCTATACTTTATTATAATATCCTAGAGCTAACTAAGACTACCTTATTAGTTACTTTTATAAATAGCCTTAATTACTACTATTAAGACTAGAAAGATATAATAACTAAGCGCTAGAATTAGTTAACTACTAGGTTTAGAAATAATAGGCTATAATAGGATAATTTAGCCCTATATTACTAATAAGACTAGTGCTAAGGCTACCTTTAGTACCTATATAGCTATAACTACTTACTAGCCTAAGACTATTAAGGTCTACCCTAAAGCTAGGCTAGATATAGATAATAATAGGCTCTAGTACCTTATAGCTAGATTTAGTAGACTCCTTAGTACCTATACTAAGCTATAGGAACCTAATATTAGTCCTATTAGTATTAGCCTTAGAACCTAGTATAAAGTAACTAAGGTCCCTAAACCTTTTAAAGATAATAATATCTATAGTAGGGAGTTTAAGCTTAATAGACCTAGAATAATCCTAGCTACTAATAGTCTAGCTATAATAGCTTTAGGAACTCTTAGTATACTATTTAGAATAAACCTTAGTAGGTATACTATATAGATATAGATACTAACTATTATTAGTTAAATAACTACTCTTAAGCTAATAATAATAGCCTAAAGGAGTATTAGGATAATATCCTAGTTAATAATAATAATTAATAGGATTTTAAGAATAACTTTTATATTAATAAGGACCTATATAATATAAATTTCGCTAACCCTATTAGCCTATAGGATAATAACTACTAATCTAGTTTTTAAGCTTAGGCTAATCTACTAGTATAGGTCTAGCTATATATAGTCGATAGTAAGTACTTAGTCACTTATTTATCCTATTTATAGGTTTTTAAGTTAAATACTAAGCTATATTAGTATCTTAATAGCTATAAGCCTTAAGCTACTACTACTATACTAGCTAAAGCTATTACTAATTTCGCGAATCCTACTTATTATATTATCTATTTAGCTAAATAGACTAACTATATCCTTAGCTATATATTTTAATCCTAGTGATATATAACAGCTATAGTTAGACTTAGAGGCCCTAATAAGCTAAATACTTACTACCTTAATTCTAGATATATTATAACTTTAATCGATTTAAAGCTAGTAGTATCACTTTAATATCCCTAGTATCCTATTAGCCTAATTCCTATAAGTAGGATTAGTTCCTAATACCTATCTAACCACTATATTATAATTTAAGTTTACTTCCTAAATAAAGATATAGCTATAGAGCTATAAATTAAGGCCTATATTATTAAAGACCTCTGTACCTAGCTTCTTATTAGTATAGATATTCTAGGACTAAAAGGGTTTATACTTAATTTCCTATATTCCTAAGTAATTATTAAGTCCTATAAAAACTTGACTTTTCCTATTACCCTCTATATAAAACTATACTATATAAGTAAAAGACTAGTCTATACTTCTTCTAAAATTAAGGTCTCCCTATACTAGATAGTATAGATCCCTATTATTATAAAGTTAATTTTACTAAAGGATTATAACTTTATTTTTAAGCTAGGTAATAGTAAGTTTAAGATTCTAATATAGATAGTTAATACTAGTTTTATATATATATATACTATTAATAATACTAACTAAATATAAGTTATTAGAAAGAAGGATTATATAGGCTAACTTTTAGAGCTAGACTTTATATCTACTTACTAAGTTTCTACTAAAGTAATACCTCTAGTATTATAGCCTTAAGTAGTTAAGCCCTACCTTCTATTAATTAATTAAGATATTTATAACTCTATTACTACCTATCTAGCCACTATTAATAACTTACCTTAGCTATTAGATAGACTTCCTAATAGACTTCCTAATACTATTTTTATACTAGATATATAGAAGGTCCTACTAATATCTATAACCTATACTTAGTTAAGATATCTACTAGAAATAGTACTACCTAATAGTATTATAATCTATAGAATACCTAAAATAGCTATAGTACTCTATAATATTTATAAGTAATATAATATTTAGTCTAACCCTAGTATTATAAATATCCTATAAGATAAATAGATAAGACTCCTAATAGTCCCTAGTTTAAAGCTATAGTATTTATAAGTCTATAGATAGGTAAGAGAAAGCTAATAAGTTATTAATAATATATTTAATACTCTATATACTTAAGGAAAGATATTATTTACTAAATACTAAGCTTAGGGTATAAACCCTATTTTTATTATATAGAAATAGGTTACTTATATAGATAATAAGGGTAATACTAAGCTCTAATAGGTTAGTTATACTATAGTCGATAACTACCTAATAAATAAGAACTTAGTTCTAGACCTATACCTATTACTAGGATAAGATAAGATTATTACTTTAGTAAAAGGTAAATATTTTATTATAATTATAGATATAGTAAAATTCTTCTATTAATAGTATATTTACCCTAACTATTATAGTTATTAAGCTATTATATTATACTATAGTTAAGAAGTTCTCTATATTATTACTATAGGTAATTTAAACTCTATTACTTATATATAATATTAGATAGATAATATACTCTATATATTTTAAGAATAGTATTAAACCTATATTAATAATATCTTTATAATTAGCGATATACTTAATAAGTATATTACTAAACTCTACCTACTATTTATAAAACTAGAGGAATTTAATATTACTCTAGACCTAAAGAAAGTATATATTAGGTTTCTAAGTTTAACCCTACTAGATAAGGATATTAACTCTATAGATATATTAATAACTACTAAGAAGGTAAAGGTAATAACCTTACTAGTTTTTCTATATATATAAATAGCTAGAAATATACCTTAGAATAATAGATAATCTTCGCTATTATATTAAAAGCTATATATAGAAATTAAAACCACTCTAAGTTTATAAAATAAACTTACTAAAAGGGAGCCTAATTAAAGGCCCTTAGTACTAAGTATAAAGTATATAAGCTATTCTTAATAAACCCTCCTAAGCTAAGCTTAAGAGTTTTTATCTACTTTAGACTAAGTTCTATAAACCTAAATAGCTAGTATACTATAATCTTATATACTAGCTCTATATTAATACTAATAGTTTAAAGGAAATAGGGTATAGTACTATAATCTATTATATAAAGATAACGTTTACTTATAAGGATATTTTAAAACCACTCCCTACTATAGAGATTTAACTAATTATATTCCTTAGCCGACTTCTTATAGATATAGAGAAGAATTACTAGCCTACTAAGCTTAAGGTTTCTACCTTTTACTAGACCCTCTATAAGGTATACTACTTAATAGAGATCTATCCTAATAACCTTCTAGCTATAGTATATACTAACTATAGTAGTACTATAGGTATTACTAAAGTAATAAACTTAAGTTCTATTTCTTTAGAATACTAAAATCTTTACTTAGTCTATATATCCTAGTTTATCTAATAGTTTCGCCTATATATCTTCTATAGACTAGGAAAAACTAATAAGATTATTAATACTCTTTCCTACCTACTATATATAGACCTATTAGTCCCTAATATATAAGATAATCTTAAGGATATCCTAGCGCTATATATATTTAAATAACCTATAGTAGACTAACCTATAGTATACCTCCTTATAGTATTAATACTCTAGCTAAGCGATAATACTAAAGATTATATCTTATAAGGATATTAGTTAGATACTTACTAGTTAGCTTTAATTAATATTCTAGAAAGTATTAATACCTAGTAGGATCCCTAAGTTAAGAAGTTACCCTACTACCTAGAGAATAGCTTAATTATTTTTATAAATTCTAATAGTAAGGAGAGTTTATATCTACCCTAATCTATAACTTAGGAAATTTTTAACTTAGTTTATAATAAGTAGATATACTAGGGTTTTAATAGAACTTAGTATAAGCTTTATAGTATTATATTTTATAAAAGTACTAAGTTCCTAAAGTAGTATATTAAATATTACCCTATCTATTTAGAGTATAGGATCTACTATTATTACTTATATAGTTCTTTCTAACCAATTATTATCCTACTAATACCCTTTTATACTATTACTTTAAATCTAATTATTATAATATCTATTTTAACTAATAGATATAATATAGCTATAATTATAATTAATAAGTTTACTAAGTTAATAGGAATAATACCTAATTATATAGACTAGAATAGTAAAGATTAGGTACTAGGTACTCTCTCTTTCTAATAGATAGCTAATTAGGGGATTCCTATAGTAATTATTAGTAATTATAACTCTAAGTTTATATAGGGCCTCTAGAAAGTACTTTTCGACCTTATCTATACTAAGTTATTTTTTACTACTACCTATTACCTATAAACTAATAGTTAGTTAGAATATACTAACTAAATAGCTAAAGTTACTATATAATATATAATTACTACTTACCCTAATAAAGATTAGTTAAACCTATTACCTACCCTCTAAACTATATTAAATAGCTTAATTAGTATAATAATAGGTTACTTACCTTATAAACTCTTATATAGTATCGAACTATACTATCCTTAGTCGCTTTTATACTAAGCTATAGCTCCTAATATTACTATATATATAGATACTAAGTATTCTACTACTTAGGCTACTATATATATAAAACGCTAATATAACTACTATTATAGGTAGATTTTTTTTAATATTAGTAATAAAGTCTATCTTAAGCTAGGATATAGATATAATATACTATTAAACTAAGTTTTACTAAGGTAACTATAATAGTATTATATTAGGCGTTTCAAAGTACTTAAATATATTAAGAAGCTTACTTATTATTTAAATATTCTAACTAAGTTAAGAATCTACCTAGTTATTAGTATTATATACCTAGAACCTACCCTAGATAGTAATAATCCCTAAGAGTACTAACTAGATAATAAATACTACCTAACTATAGATAAACGTTTCCCTAAAGATATTATCTATAAGGTCGACTATATTCTTATTAAGTATATTGTTAATATACCTAATCGACCCTATTATAATAGTATTAGGTATTAAATCACTAAGTATCTAATCTACTAGAAAGGCTAATTAGCTAGGGATAACTATTAGGTATAGGAAGAGGACTGTATTAGATATAATAAGGCTATTAAAGACTTTAAGGAGTATTAGGATATACCCCTAGTAAGCTCCTAAGTACTATATTTTCCTTACTTTATTTTTACTTTCCTTTTACTTTTATTACTATCTATTCTTACTACCTTATATTACTTGACTCTTACTTCTAACTCCTACTTTTACTCTAATTTAAGTTTCTAACTCTTATTTAACTATTACTTACTACTCGATACTTATTATACTGAAAAGAAAGGTACTCCTATACCTTAGTCTATTATAGGGAGTAACTAATATACTTTACCTTCTAGGATATATATTCAACGATTCCTATATAATATAATCTTATAATACCGCTTATACTAAACTAGAACTAGATAGGCTAATCTAGACCAGTGACTAGGTCCCAGTTATTATAGGCAGTAGACTATCTCTATAAGATATCGCTTAGTTACCCTTATATATAAGATATAAGTGTAATCTAAAAGGAAGGCTAGTACTACCTAACGACTATAACGTTCTACTAAGCAATAAGCTTATTTATATAGCGATAAAGGAACTATCTTAGAAGAAGTATACTAAGTTCTATACTATCTAGGATACTAACGGTAAACTATATACTAGTAGGATACTATAGGACCTTAGCCTATAAATCGACTTCTATAGTCTCCTATATATACTAATCTAGAAATATTACTATATATTCGTTAGCCTTTATATAGCTATAAAATATAGCTACCTAATAGTCCTAAAGGTAGATTTAAAGCTTAAAATCGAAAACCCAGTTTTTATAATTAGACCTATTATTTTAGGTTATCCTTTTATAAAGGATATAGTTACTAACCTAGTAGTAGTATTCTAAGCCTACTATACTAAAGAATAAGCCGAATTTCTATACCTCTATTCTATAGTATACTAATTATATAACTACTATAGTTAGTATACTATATTCTAGAAAGCTAAAATAAACTTAAAGATACTAGATATCGGCTTAGATAATTACTACTATATCACTATACTCTTATAAGGACTAAGACCTTCCTATAGTTTTTTCTAGGAATTCTCTATATAGTCTCCTTTATACTTAGTTAAAGTACTATCTTTTACTTTCTCCTAAATAGACCTAAAAAAGATAAAGATTATAGACCTAGTTTAATACTTATACTAGAATATAAATTATCTAACTTAGTCTAGTTATAGTACTTAGTAAGAATACTAGCCTACTATATAGGACTAACCTAGTAATATAATTAATATCAGCTCTTCTACTCCGTTCTCTTTACTAGATATTCCTAAACCTTAGAGCTAATTGCTAACTATATAAAGCTAACTATACTAAGCTAATACTAAGGAAAAGATCCTCTGCAATTTTATCCTTCCCTATAAAGGTATAATAGAGTATATAGACTAGGTATAGCTAGAGATTAAGGATTTAAAAAGGTTATATAAATATATAGCTAGATATCGCTAGTTATAACTCTAAGAGGCCGCTCTAATTAAGAAGACTAAAGCTATTACCGCTAGCACCCTTATAACAATCTCGAATATACTTAGCAGTTTCCCGGATATTTAGCGCTAAGCTATTAGATACTAGGAAAACCTATTCTACTACCTCTACTAACTTTAACAAAGCGCTGCTCCTAACGACTAAGCCTAACCAGGGAGCCCGTTACTACTAGGCAATAAAGAATATAGTAACCACTACGAAACTCCTCTCAAAGCGGCTACCGAGGGGCTACTGTATAACCCCAGGCGTGAATTCATACCCTTAGACATCTACACTCCGCCCCGGGCCTACGACAACTAACAGCGTTTTTCGTTTTCTTATCATTTTTTATTCTTATTTTTTATTGAAATTTCCTTTTTTTCTCAGCCGGAGGCCGAGATTTTTTGAGACCCGGCATATTGTCACAGCTTAGTCATAGTTAGCTAGTTAGCACCCCCAACAAGGGGTTCATAATATCATCATCTTCCCCACCAAGCTTACTTGCCACAGTATGACTGAGCTATTTGACCGACCGAGCTTGATGCCACCATTGATCACCCCGAGCTTTTCACCCAAAGACCATAATATCGGCACCCTCTTGGCCCATAGAATGGAAGAGCTGGGAGTTAAGGACTTCTTTGCCGTCCCAGGTACTTGCGCCAAGATTCCATATGTTTCACACCATTCAAGCTTACTAACTACTATCATTGAAAGGTGACTCAAATCTGACCCTGCTTGATCAGCTTTTGAAAAACCCAAGCCTACACCTTATTGGGTGCTGTAATGAGTTGAATGCTGGCTACGCTGCAGATAGGTACGCGCGAAGTTCCCCTACCAAAGTTGCGGTTGTGATAGTCACCTTCACGGTTGGGAGCCTATCACTGCTTAATACAATTGCAGGAGCCTATTCTGAGCGACTTAAGATCATAATTATCTCAGGCTGTCCAAGCTCAAAATTGCTGACAGAGGGGAGTCTCCTCCATCATACGACAGGTAGAGCGAGCAAGGACCAAGCACTGCGTGTATTCCAAGAGTTCACGGCTACCTCAATCCGTCTGGATTCCAGTGAATATGCTGCACTCCGCCTAGATGAAGCTCTCTCTCAGTGCATTCATAAATCACTGCCAGTCTACATTGAGATTCCCACCGATATAGTGGGGGTTGTGGGCAATGCAGCAACTCCTTTGCAGATTTCACCGCCAACATTAATTCAATCAGAGGCCGTCGATGAAATTATATCCCCACTGATTGCCACCTGGAATGCAGCGCACCGGCCGATTTTGATCATTGGTGCTCTGGCACGCTTCTTCCTCTCGACAGAAGCTCTGATAGCATTTGCTGAAAAGCTGGGTTGCGCCGTCTTCTGCCAGCCGGATGCCAAATCAACGCTACCAGAGTCACACCCTCAGTTTGTGGGCACATTTTGGGCCATTGCTTCCAAGCCCGAATGTAGAGATATTGTGATGGACGCTGACCTCTGGGTGGTAGTTGGAGGCCGTTGGTCTGATTTGCACACGGTGGGAGGTCTCAATATCAAAGAGGAGCGCCGACGTATGATTAATATCCAGGAAACATCTATACGAATGCCGTATGGTCGATTGTTTCAAGATTTATGCCTAGCCAATGTTCTTGGCGCTTTTCTGCGGTCCTCAATTCTCCCCAAAAGAGAAACACTTCTTTCATCCCAATGGAAGTCGCGTGAACAGACCAGAGTCAACAGTCCTGTACTTGGCGAAGCTCTCACAGTGCGTGGGATCGTGGATGTTATCCAACAGCTAATTACAAGCAAAGACACCTTGATAGCTGATACGGGGGATGCTTGGTTCAATGCCGCCGATATTTCGCTCCCCATGGGGGCGAACTTTCAAATTCAGCTAGTTTATGCGTCTCTGGGATGGAGCCTACCTGCTGCGCTTGGCTGCCAACTAGCTCGCCCCGATGGGCGAACAATCCTCATGATTGGTGATGGCGCTTTTCAAATGACTGCTCAAGAGCTAAGTACTGCCATCCGAAGTAGAGCCAACATGATAGTCTTCATCTTCAACAATCTGGGTTATCAGATCGAGGTAAGTTCTTACTGTTCATTCTAAGGCCACATATCCTGCTTCAAGGTCCCTCTTTTTTCCTCTCCATCTTTGAATTAAGCAAGACTCCTTTGCTAATATTTTTCCATCCTCCTTGCCATATTCTAGTCTGCAATTCATGATGGACCGTATAATTACATCGCCAATTGGAACTATGCCAAATTCGCTTCCGCCATGTGTACACCCAAGCATACAAGAACATGCAACGACCCGTTCGCATCTCAATTGGACAAAGACCGGGGTCTTAATCCGGCATTTTTCTCGATGCAAATCAAAACACAAGCCGATCTGCTATCAGCCTTAGATCGGATCAATTTGGAGCCATGGAAACTAGCCCTCTTGGAGTGCTGCATTCAGCCCGGCGATGTCAGTGTTGGTCTACGGCAGCTTGCAGGTGCACTCTCTGAAACAGTCCAGTGAAGTGATCAATTTAACTAGATTCGATCTCATACCTCAAATCAATTCACGAGTTTCATTGAACATTCATATCGGTTCGTATACAAAATCGCGCTGATTATACCCATACCCAAAAGTAGTGCGACCGTAATTTGAAGATAATGACGTGATATTCCTGTTGTCAAGAAGTATGGATTCTTGTTGGAAATGGCCGGGGTACCTGGGGGTCTCAATAGGTTCAGGAGCACGGACAGAAATTTGTGGTGGCATTTGTTGAGGTTCTTGTTAGCTCAATCTTTCGTGGGTGAAGGGCGTTGGAATAGATTATCAGGAATGATACAATACTAGGAATGTAATGCACAGTTAGCATAATACAGGGGTATCTAGCATATGCTTCAACTGGTGGTGAGAGTGGTCATATTATAATGTGAGGGCTTATCCCATCTGTGGGACCCCTGATCATGTCCATCGGTTTTATCATCAACGACCACCCAATCTTGAGGACTCCAGGTAGGTACACCAGTCAGTCGGCATAATTCGGCAGCTGCCCGTTGTCTTAATCAAGATGGTGACCCTGGACTAGTCTCGGATCAGGGTGCATTATACGAGTATCTTACAATATTATGTGGTTTTCCTTTCCCTTTAGGGATTATACCACCCATATTTTGATAGGAAAGTGGTGAAGCTATCTAGTTCTTGCCCAGTAATACAATCTGAAGCTCTCACTCTCTGTGTATATTCTTTAATTCTTTGTTGAAAGGTCAACTGTCTCTTACGAAACGCCTCATGAAGAGATAATGATTTTAGACACTATCAAGCTCTGACATGCAATACTATAATATGCCTCCTGTGGCTTGTCTCCAAAGGTTAACCCATGCTGGTACTGCATCCAGGGCGTATAGTTGCGGAGCGAAGCGAAGCAACTATAAATCACAAGGTCGTACATACGTGCGTGTCACGTGGCCAATTCTCCCCTAGCGGTGAAAAAAATAGCGTTTTAATGAAACATCATGTGACCAGGTAAAATCACGTGGCCAAGTTTCTCCTAAGGGGCTGAATTCTGACAAAAGCAGGGGAGTTGATCTGGCCGAGGGGTCGCTGTGAAGCCAATAAGCCAGTAAGAGGGGCTCTGTGCAGCATTAGAAGTTAGAACAGTCGCGCCGGCGAGATCACTCGTATATAGTGTCGAGAAACAGATTCGAGTACTGCGGCTTACCGTCTTCAGGTAGAACTATGAGAGACAGTCTTGAATATGCAGGCTGCCATGAAATACCTATATTTCCACGGACAACTACATATCCCCTGACTTACCTCTGTTTCAGGTTGCTCACGTGGAAGAAAAACCCCATGTAAGACAATCCCATGGTTGCCTGGTTTCCTGCCCTTGCCATATAAATACCATCTCTCTGGATTTTACTTCTTCATCTCTCACATTGTCTTTCCCACTCTTGCATTGGCCATGATAACTTCCACTTCCAAACCTGGCTTCCCAACTTCCACTTGAAGCCACAGCGAGCTGTCCCTGCTGGAATTCAAGGATGACAATCATCTACTACTGCCACCACCTTGGCAAGCTATATCAATTAAACTACACCGGTGGACAGATGGATGCTAACTGATAGAGGACCGACAGCACAATACAGGATTCTAAAAGAAAACAGTCGTCGACCTCCCACCTTGAACAACACTTCACTATACCATACCCTCGGGCTATACCTGATACAGCCCTGGCCCGAAAGGGAGGTTGGAGGTAAAACTACCATTCGAAAAGCAAAACACAAGGATAATAGTGACCAGCTCGTGCAAAAGGAAACTTAGCAAGAAAGCCAAGCATAATAAATATGTGCACCTGATTTATTCAAGATTTGGAAAGTCTAGTTTCTGAGATCTATCAGAGGATTGGACTTTCTGCAACTTTAACATTCAAGTTTTCATGGCTATTCTAGTTGGCTGTCTTGCTAGGAATTCCATTGAATTGGGCAAGCTGAGCACTATTTTTCTTGTCTATTGCATTTCAAATAGTAGGTTTACCTCCACAATTCCTTTCGGGATTGTACACAGGATAATAGCCCGCAGTATGGGCAACGCCGTCCCTCTCTTGATGACCGCTGAACCACAGAAGTGGTTATAATTATCCCATTTCCGGGGTTGCAGAAAATCTCAGCTTCCCATTACCCAAACGGAGCCTTCATGCAAACTCTATCACGTGCAGTGTCCCAAAATCCCTCGAGGGGATGGGGGACAGATATCTAGCAGTTTCTGCAGGCTGGTTTGTAGGATATGTTCTATTTCCGACTAATCAGACAACCGCACATGTCAACTGATAGGAGACCAGGGTGACTGGAGAGTCATGCGGCTTCCGTTTCTTTTCTTCCTGGTCATTCTTATTCTTTTGTTGGCTACTAGATTACTTCATTCTGTTTCACAGAGACACCCTTGATTACTCGAAGTCGAGAATTGGAAATACGATGGGTCTTTTTATACTGAACAAGCTAGAGCGGGATATTTCGTTACTGAAAGAACAGTCAGTCAATTTACGTCGGCTAATCCTTGATGAGTCGTCGGGTGATCCAAAAAATTTCAAGCACTATATCCCTCACTCTGGACATCTTATTAAGTAACAACCCAGATACTGATAACAAAAAAAGGGTATTAAATATACACAAACGTGAACAAACCTCCAAACAGCACAGACCAACCACCGAATCTGTTAACGGTCACGGTAGTGCAATATAGAAAGTAGAACGTAGGACATAAACCATGAGCATTAACAGAAATAGTATACATCACAGCGTAAGATTAATGCCCGCCGCCTTCAGCGCACTCAGAACATCCAACTTAATCGACAGAGTATTCGCAGCCAGCGCCTTGGTGAAGTACGGCAGGTCCTTGCCGTTATACGATGTCTCATTTCCGGTGATTTCGAAGGGCAGGATGCCGTCTTTGTAGGGATTCGACTTTGATGTGAGCAGGGTGATGATGGCGCCTTGATCGACCTTGCCGAGCATCGGCACGCTGTTGTTGCCTGGTTTGAGGACGAGGTTGTTTAGGTAGGTTGTTCCCACTGATTTTCCGTCTAGCTGGAGGTCTAGGGTTACGTTGCCCTACTTTGGGTTAGTGTCGTAGAATGTGATGCATGGAAAGAGGAGTAATTACCATTGGAATGGTCATGACCGAGGCATTGGGGATGATCACGGTGCCGTTCATCCCGTATCCGTTCACTGGTGGGAACATGATGAAGAACTCGGCCACATTGAAGCCCTTGAGTTTGTTCAAACCTGTTTCATCGAGTTAGTAACCATACTCTTCTCTTCTTCTCCTAGATTCACGAAACCAGGAACAATAACATACCCTTCATAACAACAGTCTTGTTATAATCAACCGTCGTCTTAGGCAAACCACCCTGCTTCAACCCCGGCCTTCCATAGATATTCAACGAAACCTCCTCATTCAACATAACGGCAGTAGTATAATCCGCGAACGCATCGGTATCCGTCAGATCAACCCTCTGCTCGAAGTGGATTTCCGCTCCGTCCTTCGACTGCACAGCGGGGACAGTAACATAAGCAAACGGAGCCGCCGCACCGGCCAGCGAGACCGACGAATTGAAAGCGTAGATCTGGGGATGGTAGGAGCTTTTCGAGCCGAGGACTTGTCTCTGCTCCAGGTAGAAGGAGTCGGGTGTTGGGTCGCTGAGGATCATCTCTGTGATGGCGAGGGTCGAGTCGTTGACGGCGTCTTGTGCGATCTTGGGGTAGGCGACGTAGACGCTAGACGGTGCAGTAGTATGTGAGTGGGATGTTTCTTGTCCGGGCCGTCATGCCGGTTAAGAATGTCAGGAAGAGTGGACTTACACCGGTAGTAGGATAATCAGGAAACAAGCGATGAATATAATCAGGTGCACCCACCACCATTTCTTGAAATGGGCGACGAGGCGCGCGCCGAAGCTCTTCTTCGTTGGCGTCGGGGTTACGCTGGCTTCCTGCTCGACGAACGAGGGCTTTGTAGTCGACATCTTGTTACTGTGATTTTTGTATTAGGGATTGTAACTGTAAGAGTCTACGCAAGACATGTACAAACCGAGTCGAGTCGAACAAACACCTATAAAAAGAGAGAAGAGCTTCGAAGCGAGGGGGAAAAAAGAATGAAAACCAATGAGAGTGATACAAGCACCCCTGAAAGAGCGTGGGTAGTATTCCGTACTTTATAATAAAAGACTGAGACCTAAAATGAAGAACTAACAGGGTATATTCTAGCGTCACATGTTATAGACCTGGAAAAAGCCACCAAATGCAATTCGAAAAAGAAAGGGGAAATATGATGCATGTCAGTAAGATAGAGTCTTCTTCTGGTTTTCTTTTATTTTGCCCTGTTTTGTAATTTCTCCAATTGTATATGGAGAGGAGAAGAGAAGTTCAGGTGGCACTTTAGCGGGGAACTCCAGATTTCCGGGAAGACGCGATCAAGATGTTTAGGATCAGGTTACGAGTGTCTAATCATCACCACATGAAAGACAAGAGCCGAGGTGGACTAAAATACCAAGAGCAATTCCAGGACGCGTGCTCTGTCCTACCGGGGCGTTTCCTAAGTGTCGTGGGAGATTAAGACTTTTCAGAAATACTCATCTAGAGTACCGTTACACTAGATTATTGAATGAGCAAGACCCTCATTGGTGGACGGCGACACTAGCAGCAACATAGCGTGCTGCCAAGGGAGGCGACCCTGGATGCAAGGAGTGTGCCCCCCGTATTCACAGGTTTAGACGGAGAGAAAAGCCGATCTAGTCCAGTCAGAACCCCCGCTAATCCACAATAATCCGCGCTAAACATAACCCCAAGGACGCCAGTGTGTTTTAGGGTGTCAAAGCCCGGAGAAGAGGCCGATCTAGACACTTTTGAGTCAATGCTCCGAGACAAAAGCCGGGGAACAATGCGGGGGGTCAGGTGCTGAGACCCTGTTACTTGCTTTATATACTGAAAAATTGGAGAAGATCAAGTAAATGCTCCTAGGAAGTCCAAAAGATACAGATCAACGCTGTCTTGATTCTGTCATGAGTTCATGAGTCGCCACACTGAGGCATTCAGCAAAATAAGAGAACAAATATGACAAACAAAATTGTCCAGGGGGTCATACCCAAGAAATATGACCAAGAAGAGAATTGGTAAGAGAAGGTGCCATGAAAATAGAGAGACAAAAATGGCAAATGATGGGAGGAAACGAAAAAGGGTATACACGGAGAAGTGAAGTATTAAGCCTGCGAGACATGTGGACCAGACTCGGTCCATGCTCGATAACAGCTGCCCAGGCGGCTAAGAAAGGATGAAAATGCAAATGTGAAAAGAAAAGGAAAAGTTTGAACATGAGAAAGTGAAGGAATGTAAGTCGAAGAATCGACTATAAAAAGCAAAAAAATCAAAGATCAGCTCAGAACGCTCCAAACATAATGCAAAATGCAAAATGGATGGTACTTCGATAACTCCAGAACGCGTCGAGATAAAAGGAATGTGAATAGAACAAAAGACAGTCTATGCCTCTGATATGTTGGACTTCTTGCGTTGGAAGATACTGCGAGTGCGGGACTTGCTGCGTGGCTTATTGTCCTTCTCTCCGCTGGCATTTCGGCCACGGGAGCGTCCACTGGGGGCGCGTCCATTGGACTCCTCGTTGTATTTGTCCTTGTAGATCCTTTATACTTGTTAATGACGTCGATCGGGATGTAAATATCAGGAAGAACGTACCAGCTGTTTCCAACCATGCTCATACCCTTGGACTCAGCCTGGCGGTAAAAGCGTGCCGCCTTCTTCATATCCTTTTTACAGCCAACACCCTCCGCGTAGCAGAATCCAGCTTCGGCCATAGCATCAACGTCACCCCATTGACCAGCGATCTCGAAGCAGCGCAGAGCATAAGCCTTGTCCTGCTTGATACCCCAACCATTCAAGTAGCTGACGCCTAGTTCATATATGCTCAGAGCAAATTGAACCCGGTTAGCCTTTTGCAATTCCTTCGCCTTGGATGCACCGGGAGCGTCCGGATCGGCCAACATATCCAATCCGACAGAATCCACAGCTTTGCGTAACCATCGTACCCCCTCCTTCTCATTGGATCGCATGCCCCAGCCGTGTCGACAGGCTAGCGCATAAAGCAGCATTCCCGTCGGATGGTCCTGCTTCGCGGCAATCCGCAGATGATACGTCGACTCACTCAGAGATCCTCGCTCGTGGCATTCAATACCCTTGGCCACGTGCTCGTCGGCTGTAAGGCCGGAAGCCGAGACCTGGGCGGTGGGGGCTTGGGGTCGCACTGTGCTAGCCGAATCCGCAGAAGAGACAGTTTCATCCCTGTCATTGTTCGTTGGTCGGGTGCTCTCAGCAGAGGGCCGTAATACCGGCTCCACTGGTGAGTCGGGAACAGGCCGAGACTTGAGAGTCTGAGGTTGAAGTTGAGGTTGGGGCTGGCGCTGAGGGTGAGGCGGGGATTGAGGTGGAGATTGAGGCTTGGAAGCTGGGACTTCGTGCATCGAGTGAGGCTTGGGCGAGTGCTCTAATTGGCGAGGGGGCGTAGGGGATGGCGTCCGTGCCAAACGTATTGGCTCCTCCGAATGCCGGGGAGGCGTTTTCTCAAATATGGGCTCTTCCCACTCGAAATGAGGTGTTTGCAAGCCTGCAAAGACCACGGAATCCCGTGAAAGGAAGCGTCCGCGCGGAAGCGCATACTTGGTGTACATATAAGACGACATGGCGGACGACGGCTCGCCGTCCATGGCTTCCACTGCAGCAGCATCTTCGGTCGAGAGCTGCAAGAGAAGCGGAGTCGGCTTGCCGCGACGGGTCATATGGTTCGATTCCGAGGCAAGGATCGGTTCAGTAGGCGTCGAAGATCCAGGAGCAGACAAGGTCGTACTTGATCGACTCAGCGGTCGAGAGAAATTAAAAGAAGGGCGGGGTAGGTGGTTCGTTCCCGTTCCTGATGTTTCCGAGCTCAAGGACGGCGATCGAGGGTGTGGTCGTGCAGGGAATGTCGACATGGGAGAATACGGCAATGACACAGCACTTCCATCGGACAGCTTGCGAGGTTTGGAGAACGTCGACCCACCATTGGAGCTGCTATATTCATCATCAGAACTCTCATGGTGTGTAACCTTGGCACTGCTGGATGGACGCGTCCGCGGTGACACTGGTGGTGCCAAGGTACGTGGGATGTGCAGTCGCGAAGTTGATGAGTCGATCGATGAACCTTGCGGATCCGCAACCGCCACAACAACGGGCGCACCCTCCGCTCCACTCGGACGTGACGTGAAATCCTCTGGTGACTCGGTGCGCGGTATTTCATGCGCTTCCCCACTAATATTAGGCGTCGCTGTCCGCGGCGTCACATTATCATTATCCTCGTAAAAGCTAGCCTCGGTGGTAGCATTGGAGATGGAGCTGAATCGAGGATGTTCGGATATAGGGCGGTGCTTGGGCTCTTCATACTCTGGGAGTCCCTTCTGCGTAGGTTTCCGGGTCAGTTCGGTGCGGGTGCGGGGATCAACCGACGACTTGGAGCGGTAGAAGCCCGGCCGGCCTTGCGAAAGCGATCGAGCTACACTCGCCGGTGGCAGCCGACTCATACGGCGGTCTCCCCGTCGAGACTCATCGAGTTGTCGGGCGAGAAATCGACTCTGAGCGGCGAATGCGTCGAGGGGGGAAAGTGCGGGAGGAACTTCGCCGTCAAAATGCGCCACCCGTGGGGAGCCACTCCGCAGGGTATTATCGTGGGAGTTGGAGCGATATTCGCCCAGTTTTCCTCGCATATCCATGATGGGTATATGAATATCTAATAGTCGGCTAGTGAATCATGTATCCCGATTCGGTTGGATTCGAGATTTGCGCCGGAAGCATCGAAGTAGTCTAGAAGAGTGTCTGAAGAAAGGTCGGGGTTGCGGATAACACACAAAGGGGGTTCGGGCGGGGGAGGCGATAGAATAGAGCCAAAGGAATGACAGCCCTACAGACAGAATCGAAGCCAAATGAAAGATCAGGGCATTGGGGGAGAGGTATAGAGAGGGGAGAAAGGAGAAAGGAGAAAAATGAAGGGCGGACGATCACAATTGCCAAACCTTGGGAGGGTAGGATGACAAGTAGTAAATAGACGCGCCCCGTGCACTAAAATAAAACAGTCGCACTCCACTGTGTCTCGACGTTTGACAAGGGATCGTCTCAGGGGGGACACTTATTCAGGGGGGAGGGTCGCCAAGAATAACATTCAGACGCATATTATGTATTGTTATTGGCTATGGATTCTTCTATTAGAGCATATACTCTTGGAAGCCTACTATTGATTTCCCTAATTATTCTCCTACTCCCTAGGACTGAGTGCTTTGTTGACCCGCTATCTTCTAGAATCCTAGTTGCTCTGCCGTCTCTCCCCACACGGGTGGTTTCATCATATGCTGATCTGAAGAAACCACCTCACATGAGTGATGCCTGCTCTCGATTATGACATGGAAGAAACTGGTGCCTAGTCATATATAAAAATCAAGACGGGCGAGCTTTACCAATGGTTGAGAGAAGTGAGACCATCCCCTACTTAGATTGCAAGCCACGAGAGCGGGTACCACACTACTAAAAGGGTTTCAAATGGTTCCGAATGGGATGGGGATATATAACCTCAAGGGATTCCTCCTCCGGCCGTTGTATAATGGCTTCTTTTCTATTTTGATAGTGCAATTGCTATATTACAACCTCAGATGTCGCCATAGAAATTATATACGCGGCCTCTGCGAGTTAACTCAACCATGGTCCGTGGTTTGCACTATCCCCAATTAGGCATAATGTTGCAGGTTACTCAGCAACACCCCCGGGTCCACGGGTGGCCTAAACCTTGTATACGAAGTGCCAACCTTGATGGATCATGGCCGAGGCATGGGAGAAGTGACAAATAGGCCCTCCTTGCTTCTCTTCTTCTAGTTCTTAAATAATTTTGCTATAGATTTACTTGGCTTATTTGTTTTTCTACTTTGTCTCCGAATAGTCGATAAAGCGTATAGGATCTCTATCAGACTTTGGCTCATTAACCACTGCGCCAGTTAATTATGGATATTACAGGTAAGTAAATAATATGAGACATCATTTTGAAAAATACATAACTGTATAATTATTGCCTAGTGATACCGTCTATTGCACAGAATAGAGCTGATAACAACCTTAAGCAAGACTGCATAAGATCAGCTCTATAGAAGCCTGGAAGCACCTACCGTATTGAAACCCGTGATGATTAGATACACATACCACCCAATACAGAGCTAGTAAGATATTGTAAGCAAACGACAAACTGAACAACTATAGATGTATTTATTTGGACTCTCTCTCCCTGGATGTTTCCAATCGCTTACATCGTCGCACACACCATCACACAAAAGATTTGATGAATTCAAGTAACGAACAAATGGATTAACTTCTACCGGAGGTCCCCAACTTCAGAGTATGTACATCATACACTATCTCCTTACAAGATACTAAACATTTAGCTTCAGGCTGGGTTGGATTCACGCGCGGGCCTCCCATATCTTGGTTGGCTCAATCTCAAATATTATGAGATAGCCGCTAACTATGTCTCAGAGTATGTCATATCACACACTAGTTATCTCCTTATAAGATACTAACCCTTTAGCTTCAGGCTGGTGGCTGATTCACGCGCGATCCTCCTATCTTTCGGTCACATCAATCTCAAATATCATGAGATAGCCGCCAACTATACCTCAGACTATGTCACGTCACACATCATTTTCTTATAAGATACTAAACCTTTAGCTTCAGGCTAGGTTAGGTTCACGCGCGGGCCTCACATCTTTCGGTCAACTCAATCTCAAATATCATGAGATAGCCGCCCTAAGAGCGGATGTTCTATTTCAGATCTGAGACAATCGAAGCTCTCATTCAGGACGACTTTCCTGGAATCCACAAATTATCGATGCCAAGCGGGTAATTCAACTTCTAGAGAGTTTGTGTTTATCTTGCAGGAGACGGATGTTCAAGGGAGACAACTAGAGGGTCTTCATTATGACCCAGATCGCGGCTGGTGAACAAGTTCCAAGAAGTCGTCGAGACATGTTCTTCGAGGTTTTTTCTGATGTCTGGCCATCTGATTCAGAGCAGATTGGCTGGATAGACACGCAGCCGCTTCCCTCTGCATTCAAATGTCGCTGAAGCCATTTGATGGCGTTATTACCTCAGGAACTGTTCAGAATGCTCCGCTAGAGCTAGACTTCAGATCCATTGTGCGGCACCCGCTTGATCCTAGTGTGAGTGAAAGAAATATTATTTTCACGACTTAGGATCTTACTGCGTGAATATACCAATTTGTTTCGCATATATTTGGCCTGTAGACCTGACTAGACGTAGACTTTGTTTTACTATACTTCAGTCTGTACCTAGCATGAGACTATAAGCAGTAGTATAGCATAAAGTACTGCTGTATCTAACCTAATGCTATATTTCCGAGAGACAAAGTCTCGGATGTCTTCATCCATTATAAGACTCACCCCTGATTCTGATTCAATGTTGGATTCAATCACAAGCCTTCAAGGTCATTTCGCTATGTATGGCCAGCGCTTGTGGGGACAGAGGTGAGACCGGGAGCATAGTACCTGCACGACTGGCTCTAGTCCTCGTGAACGGACGCCTTAAAGCGCAAAACGGCTTGCGAGGTCGCCCTGTATCGCGGGAAAAAGCAAGCATTAATTACCCCAGTTCCAATCTCAACAGTGCCTACCTACATGTACAGCTGAATCTTGCTTTTCCTTGTTTACTTCTTTAGCCTCAATCCTCCCAGGGCACAACGAAATCGCAAGACGCGCAACAACATGCCTCGACGCTCATTGGCAACTCTCTTCGGAGTTGACCGGACTACCGATGTCAAACACCACTTCGAGACATCTTGGATCTTACCCCCCGCCGTCCTCGCTGGTCTTCGCGGTCTGATCTCGCTGTACATTTTCGCCTCCATCTTCATCTTCTGGGGCTGGTATGGCACCCACGATGACCCCGCCTCGATTGGTCACTCCTTCAGCTACTTCACTTGGCTGACTTACTGGGGCACTGGCTTCTACATGCTATTCGCCGCCATCCATACAGCCTACTATGTACGAACGGGTCATTCGGTTCTCCTCGACCGCTGGCCGCGGGTCTTCCGCGTGCTACACAGTCTATTGTATGTGACAGTCACAACCTTCCCGATTCTCGTTACGGTTGTCTTTTGGGCTATCCTCTTCAGCCCGCCGTGGTACAAGGAGCCATTCACCCGCTGGCAAAATGTACGTATATCTTTCGATTTTGCCTCTATACTTCCATTCCAACATATCCCCCGCCACATGAACAGAGCTCATATCACAATCCAACCCCACCCCAACCCCGCAACACTCTTCTACTCCGCAGATGTGGAGACAAAGCAAAAAAAGAATCGAATACAAGGCACATTAGCTAACCCACATCTCCAGATCTCCCAACACGTCCTCAACTCCGTCTACGCCCTACTGGAAATCATCCTCCCAGCCACAGCGCCGCATCCCTTCATCGCGATCCCGTTCCTACTCCTCATACTCCTGCTCTACCTCTGCGTCGCATACATCACGCACGAAACCGAAGGCTGGTACCCATACTCCTTCCTCGACGTCGGTGACCACGGGCAGAAGAGCAATCTTGTGACGGGATACTGTTTCGGCGTCTTGGCTGCGGTCCTGGTTTTCTTCGTCATTTCCTGGGCGCTGATTCATTTGCGTCGTCGTTTGACGCGCGGTGGGATTAAGCGGGCGACACGGGACCCGCTGTGCGCACACGAGGCTTTTAGCGATGCGTGTTTTGGTGAGTTGTCCAATGAGAGGAAGGTTGTGCCGGTTTAGAGGGATTTGACAGGTCGATTTTCTTCTTCTGATAGGAGTGAGGATGGCGCTGCATCATATGAATGATATCCAACTAGGTAGCAACTAATCTAATAAATTTCTATGGCGTTTAATGCTATATGTCGATATGTGGTAGGGATAATAGAATCATTAAGAGCGAAGAGTATTTCCGATGATATTATGTATAGAAAAGCATTATTCAAAGCAAGTGCTTTTGATATATTAAAGATGGGAGTGCCAATGAAGCGAGATGTGTACACGGGTCTAGACTCTCTCCCAGCTGGTTTCACTGCCGCTGCCACTCGGGCTCTCGGGGTTAATCCCATTCCCACTGCGGTACCCCATCATCAGCGCCACGAGTCCACTGGGAACCCAGGCCCCAATCAGGCCGTATGACCGAGCTCCCCGGCCCACATACATGACAGATTTCTTGGTCACTTTACGGCCGAAGATATCCCGCGAGGTGGGCTCCAAAGCATCCAAAATAGCGTGATGGAGTTTCCGCGCCGGTGATCCGCGTATGGTGCTGGGACCAGCAGAGGCAACTGGGCGTTGCTCAACGCTGGACAGATACTGTGAGGCATAGAGGGCTCGCTGCTGGGTATTCCACGCAAGGACTTCTGTGCCTGCTATCTGACTCTGGCCATGTCGGTATGTAGGTCCTAGGTCAATATTGCCCAGCTGCAGCTCGACGACATCCACATTGCCTTGTTCGAGGAGACGGAGTTCCTGACGAAGCGAGGCCGCGAAGCCTGAGATTGCTCGGGTTGTGGCGACTTCAGGTCCGGCAAACGGCGCGGAAAGCGAGGATGATATGGAGGGGTAGGCAAAGACAATAGTGCTGCTATTGCTGCGGAGGGTCAGCAAGGGGAGGAATGCCTGCACTGTGAGAATAGGCGAGAGCAGACGGGTGTTGACCGTGTCAGCCCACGATGACGGCGGGATGGTTGCGACAGGGCCTGCACTATAGTTGGTCGATGGGACCACGATAAGGCCACTCAGTTGGCAGGTGTGCGGGGGCACTCCGGCGATGGGTGACTGTGGCTGACTGATCAAGGAGCGAATCTCTTGCAACGAAGGATGGATTTCGGCCGGCGAGGATGATGTCTAGTTACAATGTTAGTTTATTTATCGCGAATGAAGGATACACAAACAGCACTTACAGTTGTAAGGTCCAACCAGAGAGCCTTGATGTCCACACGGTTCTCAGACTTGACGATATGCTCTTCATCCGCGGAAGACACAGTCACATATACAATATATCCTCGACGTTCCAAATCCATGGCAATAGCCCTTGTCATCGGTTCGTGCGGCGATCCGGCAACCACTATAATCGCAGAATTAGCACTCGGATCCTAATGCAGATCGAATGTAGGCAACACATACCAACAATCTCTTTCCTCGCGCCGCTGGCCGCCCTCCTAGCCTTTCTCCGTTTTCCGTGCAACTTTTTGTTTCCATAGTATAAGACAACGCCGGTCCCGATAAATGCGAGGATAGCCGCCGTCCATGCGCGATTCCGAGTCATCCAGCTTTCCACTCGGTCCGTCATGCCTTGCGATCGCACTCTTGGGGGAGCACGACCCGGACGAATAGTGGCTGGTATCCATGACTGCTGGGCCACCGTATCTTTGATCGCGTGCGCGGCATAGTCGACTTGGCGGTCGATCGAGTCTGCGACGTCGAGAGAATACCGCCTTACGTCATTGGAGATAGACGAGAGCTGGGTAAGGAAGTATCAGCGCCGGAAGCATTCTTTGTCTTCTTCTATGATACTCACGTAGTCAAAAAAGAACTTGTTGTCGCTCGTCATCTTGTTTATCTGAGAACAAGTTGGAATGAAAAAGAAGAGCGAAAGTTCGATAAGATGGATGCTGATAACACTCGCGGTGTTATCGGAAAGGTCACATGAGCAGCGGGTTGTATAAAACAGTCGACGGCGGGAAGCCGCCGGAAGTATACAGGACTACTCAAGGTCTTATGACTTTTTCTCCCTGATTTTTATTTTTTTCTTGCTTGGAAATAGTGAAATGTATCGGAATGTTGGGTTTTTAGAACTTAGCTATCGTATCAATTTGACATACTGTGAATATATATCTGTATACGAGATGGCCCCAACTGCAAACAAGAGACTACAAAAATGATAGGAATGACATTCCAAGTATCCTCCAGCTCAAATTTTACCTAGATATAGTGCACTTCCTAAATTCAGGATTGTGTCTACTACTAGTATATGACTGAGAAAACACCATCTGATGTATATCCATGTCACGTGATCAAATTCACCGCCTGATATCTCAGGCGGTGAATCCAGACGTTATGCAGGGCATCCATGGATGTTCCAAACTTGGTTTCATTCTGGAATTTCCATCACTGGCTATGTTCTTCTGACTGTTCCTAGCTGCCTACACCGCCATATAGGTCATGCTCTGATGAAATCTTCTTGCCCAGATCCTGGCCTCGGAGGAGGCCATCCCAACGAAGACAGTAACCTACCAGCAGTGTACTGTTTACCATATTGTGCAAGGTCTTGATCAAAAATCTCGAAAATGCGGGAGCTAGACCCTCTAATATCAGAATACCGCCATGAAAAGAACCTCCCCCGAGAAGCCGAAGCTCTCTTGATCCTGCGCAAAGTCGCATCGTTGGTCAAACCGATCATGCGACAGCGCGCCTGGAGAGTGGCCACGCTCTGTGAATTTTATCCGCGGCAGCGAAACCTGCTGGGTCTGAACGTCAACGCGGGCCAGAAGATTTGTCTAAGATTGCGGTATCCCTCGGACCAACGGCAATTTCTCCCCTTTGAACAGATTTTGGATACCATGCTTCATGAGTGAGTGATTTGAAATCTAAATCTCCTAAAAATACAAAATCTAATCAATCTTAGACTCTGCCACAACGTGGTCGGTCCTCACAACCAGCAGTTTCATGCGCTGTGGAATCAACTTCGCGATGAGCATGAGGAACTAGCCCGAAAAGGCTACACTGGAGAGGGCTTTTTATCTCAAGGAAAGCGTCTGGGTGGTCAAAGAATTCCGCTGGATGAAGCTCGACGTCAAGCTCGTGCCGCTGCTGAACAGCGAAGGATTCTTGCCAAAAATTCTGGCAAGAAGCTAGGCGGCACGCGCGTGCTCCGAGGAACAGATATGCGAAAACTCCGGGCTGACGCTGCCCAGCGGCGTATTGAAGTGACCCAGGGCTGTGCTTCTGGTACAGACCGAAGCACTGAACTTGCGGAAGAGGCCTCGCATGGGTTCAGAACCCAGGCTGAGGAAGATGACGCAAACGAGCGGGCCATCATGGAGGCCTTCATTGAACTGATACAGGAAGAAGAAAGGGAGAAATATGAGTCGTCATATGTTACGCCAAGTCAAGAACACCCGGCAGGACCTCGGACAAAATCATCACCGCCACCTGCTTCTTCCGACATTCCACCTGCTGTCTCCGAAGATTTGCCTGTAATTCCAAAAGAAGCCCCATCATCAGATCGCAATGAAGCTGTTGATCTCACAGCCGATAACAGCTCATACGAGACACCCTGGATCTGCCCAACATGCACGCTGGAGAACCCGTCCACCTTCTTATGTTGTGACGCCTGTGCAGCAGAACGACCACCTCCGACCAACACGCCATCCACGTCCGCCTCTGGTCGCCATTCTACCCAGCCAGTGCGTTCAGAGTCACGAAACTTGAAGAAAAGGCGTTTATCTCTTGGTCGAAAGGAAGAGGCGAAAGCGAATCCCGGGGATACATTTGTTTTCAAGAACCGAACCCGTGCACTGGATACCCTCAAATCTTTGGACCGGGGTGCAGATAAGAAGCCTCTTGGATGGGTTTGCATCTCGTGCAGTAGCTTTATGGAGACCCAATGGTGGACATGTTCTTGCTGTGGGACTATGAAGCCGTCCTCTTGATCATACCTCGAGATTTTTCACCACCACATGTGTTGTACATGGAATCATGACCGTTATGAAATAAATGCCGGTATATAAATGAATAATGATTTAATATTGAACATTATCCAAATCTTTATACAGATTCCGTATCCACTAGTACATAGAGGTAGAGTAGAGCCCCATACAAAAGCAACACGTGACCAGAATGACTAAGAAAGCTCCACCGGGCCAAATTTTCTCACAAAACTCCCGACGAAACTCTTTCCCCTTCTCTAGCTCCAACCAACACCAAAGTCCAGCGTGGGCCAAGATCAATAAATGAGATTGACCTTCGGTCTAAGCTGGAAGAACCCACTAATAGGTATGTGGTACTAAACTCCCCTGACAGGACTACAAGGGAAACATCGCACCAAACAGACTCTATCATGATGAGATTCGCATTAGAACCGGAATTTTAATAGGAAGAGCCGGAAGAGGTATGACAGGGGCTGAAATCCCTGTCGTCGATGCTTACATTGGTTCTCCTGAGTAGAGTCTTTGATGCTTGTTGTTTCTTTGTGGTCTTGGACAGATCATTGCTTGGAGTAAATCGCTAACGATGTTTCTCGCAATTCAGATTTTATATTCGTTTCCGGTATTATGGATTGCTTGGATTGTTGCACGTAGGGGAATATAATAGCTAGACCAATTGAATGAATCATTCTATTACTTTGATACACTTGGGTCTATGAAATTTCAGTGGACAATTATCCCAGAGAAAAGGTTATATTTCACTTCGAAATTGAATTATCATACATTCCTTATATTCTCTTCAACTCCCAAGGATATAAAACTTTTATATGGAAACCAACATAGAGAAAACCTCCAAGATAATGAGGTCGAAAATGATCACAACGCCAGTAGACATGCTTGTACACAAACCTAATCCTAAACTCAGGCAACGCTGACAAATTGGCGCTTCTTGCCCGTGCCCTTGGAAGCTTGCTGCTCCTCCCAGGTATCCTCATCAATATAGTCCGTGACACTCTGCTCTCGGATCTGGTTGCCGATGAACTGCAATGCGGAAAGGTTGAAGCCCATCTCGTCCTTCTGCCGGGCAAGGACCCGACGCAGCGACACCCGAATGCTGTCGAGCATAGGGCGCATCATCTTGCTGGCAACAATCTGACGGTGGTGGGTCTTCAGGATGAAGAACAACACGCGGCAGGTGAGAGGCACGTTCCATTCGCGATCAGCCCAGATGTTGAGGAAGGTGAAGAGAGCGGGGAGTTTGGAGAATGGTAGAACCAAGAGAGCGTCCTGGAGCGCAGCTGCGGGGATCTTCTGGACGGTGTTCAGAACGTGCTGCTCGGCGGAGACGTTGTTGAGAGCCAGGTAAACTGGGTTACGATCGGGCGCGGCGGCGTTGGGGTTGGCAGCCTTGACTTTGCGCCAGTCGCGTACGACTTCAAGATCCTCGAGGCCTAGTTCTAGAGCTTCCATGATTTTTTCTCCGGCCATGAGAGTGCCGGTCGTCTGTTTGCCAGCATCGACGGCCTCCGCCTTCTCGCCGTCCTCGCCGTCCTCCTGCTCGAGGGATGCGGTGAGTGTGCTGTCGTAAGCCTCTTCCATTTCCTTCTCACGCTCTTCCTCCAGGAACAGCGGCTCATCTGTTTGCTGCCAGATGCGGATGCTCTTGTCGTGACTGGCACTGACAATGAAATCACCAGTGCGACTCATGGCAAGTGCCCAGATCTCACCGTGGTGACCAACGAGGCGCTGGATTTGCTCGAACTTGTCGCCGTCCCAGTATTTGATGATGCGGTCCTTGCTTGCACTGAAGAAGTTGTGACCGTTTCCATCCTTGTTGTGAGGAACGAATGCCACTGCCATGATACTGTCTTCGTGGGCCAAGAAGGCCTTGTGACAGTCACCAAAGTCCAAACCCCAGAGTCGAACGGTTTTATCAGCCGAGCAAGTGACAATTAGTTTGCTGTCATGAGAAATATCCATGCTCAAAACAGGAAGCTTGTGTCCGTAAAGGTTGAGGAAAAGCTTCAGGGAGTCGACGAAGAAGACCTTCACGGTGTTGTCTAAGAGAGAAACTGCTAGAAGTCGTGCATCCGGAGAGAAACGAATGTTGAGGATATCGTCGTTGACCTTCAGCGTCCTTGTGTGTGCCAGCTTGAGGCGGGGAGTGGTACGTTTGGTTCCCGGGATCTCCTCCTGGACGACCTGGAAGTTCCAAAACTTGGCTGTCTTGTCTGCGCTTCCACTGACCATAGACTTGCCATCTGGATGCACGTGAAGTGACCACACGGGTCCGTCGTGGGCTTTGATAGTATCCAGCAATGTTGAGGATGCGATATCAAATACCTCGAGTTCTCCGTTCTTGTTACCAACAACGACAATCTTATCACCAGGAAGGAATGCAGAACACAGGGAATATCCACACTCAAGTGTTCGTAGACAGCTTTCGGTGCGAACATTCCAAATCTTGAGAGTGCCGTTTGAAGCAGAGGCAAGCATTCGGTCATCGGAGCTCAATGCAATTGACCGGATATCTGTTCGGTGACCAGGAATGTCCACTGCCAAGCTCCGAGTGTAGTCCGGATCCTCGCTGTCGGTGTTCTTCTTGTTCGCTGGAACAATGTTGTAGGCTTCAAGCTGGTTGTTGGTTGTTGCGGCAAGAAGGTTCAAGCCACTTGACTTGTTGGTCATCCAGTCAAAGGAACGAACCTTTCCACCAGTTCGCACGATAACATGTTGGACAAAGACTTCTGATACAGGAGCGGCGGAAACATCCTCGGGCTTATCGTTATCCTCTTCCGGTGCGTTCTCCTCGGTGCGAGCCTCCTTCTCCTTTCTTCTCTTCTTCTTCCGGGCCATACTCTTCTGTACCTCCGACTGAGAGCGAATGCGCCAAACCTCAACTGACTTGTCGGAACCATGGAATGCAACGTAGTCTGAGCGGGGGTGGAATCGGATGCCAATTGTGCGGTCTTTGCCATGTCGGTAGAAAGTTCCTCGTTCTGTGAGAATTCGGCGACCATCCGCGCCCAGCTTCTCCTTGGAGATCTCCATCATAGCCGCCTCGTCAATCGACCAGACCCTAAGTTCACCATCATTACCAGCTGTGATACATCCGCCTTGGTCAGGAGAAAGACCCAAGCTCCAGCATTCGCCATTCGATTGTGCCACATGTGTTTCAATGCAGTGCTGAGAGGCAAGATCCCATACTTTGATCAATGCGTCCTTTCCGGTGGTCAATAGGAATCCAGAGTGTTCATTCAATCCGGAAGCAGTGAGCAATTCTGGGGAGGGGAACAAGAAGTGTAGTGATGTGATCTGATCGGTGTGACCGCGAAGTCTGAAAAGACCAGTCTCAGTGATCAAGTCCCAGAGGATGATATCGGTATCTTTCGAACCACTGGCGAGGCGCACACCGGCGTTGTCGAAGGCCAACTTGGTGACGGCGGATTTGTGACCGTTGAAAGAAATAATGACCGTAGCGGTGCGCGAATCCCAAAGACGAATACTTCCATCCTCGTAGCTGAGAAGGGACATAATAGTTAGAGAGAATCATCCGACTAGGTCACACCAGAGGACACTCACCCAACCGCGAAGATATCTTCATCTGTCATGCTCTGAGTGATCACACTAACCTGCGCTCTGCAGGCAGAATCGCGCCATCTTCCAAGGAGTTCTCCCTTCTTCACATCCCAACATAGAACTTCCTCACCTGCGCCGACAATTGCTCGTCCGGCGCCCGTCTGGCGTGCAATGCCAATCTGGTCATCTTTGGCCCAAACCGCATTCGAAGACGCCGAGGCGATGAGCCCGAATGTGTTCGAATGCTCGAACTTACTGTGTAAGGGTTAGCGCTTAGATCAGAGGATTCCAAATCACTTAAAATCGTACGTACAAGTATGATTTCACCATCGTTGAGGGTGGATGGGAAAATTTTTGGAATCTCCGATTGCTATCGATAGGACAAAATTAATACGGGCGGCGACAGCGACCTCTCCGGCTCCCCCACCGCCCATGACGATCACGGTCGACCTCACAACAGCCACCTATCTGCACTGAATACCATCCATTGTCCTGCCCGTCATGCTTCTCTTAGATTACCAGAATGCTTTGATCCAGTCACTCCTTACGGAGCGCTTTTCTGGGTATGTTTTATTCCTCCCCCTCGGCATGCGATCCTGCGCATTGTATACACAACCCCGAAGCAGGCACCCAGCTAACATGCCGAACTCAGAGCACCCCCAACCTCCATTGACCAAGTGGTTTCCGACTTCGACGGTGTGACATTTCACCTTTCTACCCCCGAGTCTAAGACCAAGATTCTCATCTCGATCAATGTGAAATGCTACAAGGAACTGGTCCAGTATGGAGCTCAGGAGGTGTTGGAGAGAGAATACGGTCCTTATATTGTATCTCCGGAGCCTGGCTATGATTTCTCGGTACAAATCGATCTTGAAAACCTGCCCGCAGAGGAGGAGGCCCGAAATGACCTGATTATGAACCTTGCCCTCCTGAAACGGAATGCAATGGCTGCTCCCTTTGAGAAAGCATTCGACGAATTCAACAAGCTCGCCGAGGAGGCTTCCAGGTACACCTCAGAGTCAGCACCACAGGGTATCCAGGAGGGCGGTGAAGTTATGGCTATTCACTACCGTGAAGAGGAGGCCATCTATATCAAGGCCAACTGGGACCGAGTCACAGTGATCTTCAGCACCGTATTCCGCGAGGAGACAGACCGGATCTTTGGCAAGGTCTTCCTGCAGGTTCGTACTTTGCCACAAGTGGTCCATTTATGAGAACCCCTGACTGACAGCCCATAGGAATTCGTCGACGCCCGGCGACGTGTCTTGACACTCCAGAACGCCCCCCAGGTCCTGTTCCGTAACGACCCTCCTCTTGAGCTTGCAAACGTTCCTGGTCTGAATGCTACTGGAGGCGAAGTTAGCTATGTCACCTTCGGTATGGATGCATATTGCGCTATCAATCTCCATTTTATTACTGACTCGGCTTGCAGTTCTTTTCCCTCGACACCTGACCCCGCAGCGTCGTTATGAAAACATCTCTCACATCCAGACCTTCCGTGATTATTTCCACTACCACATCAAAGCCTCAAAGGTATGCAGTTTCTCTCGGTCTTGTTGAGGGATTGATCACTAAACATTTTGCAGGCCTACATCCACACTCGAATGAGGAAGCGGACAGCGGATTTCCTCCAGGGTATGTATCGTCTGAGCAAAGAAAGCATGTTCACTGCTAACTCGCAACAGTGCTCAACCGAGCCCGGCCAGAGAATGAAGAACGTGAACGCAAGACTGCTAGTGGTCGTACGTTCCGAGTGCAGGGTTAGAGCCTTGAGTTTCTTTGTTTGTATGAGCCAATTCAAGTTTATTGTTATTGTTTATATACTTTTTCCTTGTTCCCATGCTACCTAGCAGCACATTTGCTCCTAGGCGATCTGGAACGTACACAGGTGGATGTTCATGTTGCCCTCTTAGAAGACAGTCTCCGGTTCTGATAAGCTGGTAGGGTGGTTGTATATAGCATGTTGTATTGAACTGCGTCGATCTCCAGATTTTCAGCCTCTGAAGCACCCGGCTGGGGAAACATCAGCCTTACAGGTACGTGGAACCGAGACAAGCCCCGAAAAAGAGGCCAAAGCTAAGCTCGGGATGAAGATGAGGCCCCACAAGCACCAGGTGATGATGTCCGGTATCCTTGCTTCACTTCGTTGATGATAGTCTCATACGGACCTGACTTGGAAAGGTGTTGGCTTTGGCTTGCCGATATATTGGGCAAACATCACACATCCATGGATCTACCTAGGTGCTTTCAGTTATAAGGTTGGCTTATAAGGTTGGCCAACACTCGAATAGGTTCTCCAGACGCTTCCAGTGTTCGAAGAACGCGTTTACGAAATCATGTCCTATTTACATCTATGAATACTTGCATTATATGCACAATGTTTCGTCAGGCTTCGAAGCGCGCAGTTGGTCCTGCCCATTTAAGGTTAAATGTGTTGCGGCGTTTGCCGTTGTGAGTCGCGCCTGCCTGATATGGACCGTTCGCCATATGTGATCGAGCGAGTGGACAATTGTACTGATGATCTGGGCAAGTATAAATACCCACGTACCTGCCCTTTCCTTTCTTCCTTCTCCCACAATCCCACACTGCAAAGATTCTGTGATTGAAAAACAAAAACACCAGAAATTCAACATGGTTAACAACCACAAACCTGGTATATGGGGAGCTGCTCTCGGCAAACTACGAAAGACCTCACAGTCTTCGCAGTCTTCGCAGTCTGCAACTCAAGCTACACGTGAGCAAGAGACTCCCCGTGCGCTTGCCCAGGACAAACAGCTTGTTTATCCTCGTTTCCAGCGCCCTGTGTCGGACGATGCCCCTGTTTATTCTGAATTCATGTTCCCACCCACTCCTCTCCCAACTGTCCCCATGGCGGACAATGCCAATCTTGATCCTCTAGCAATGGCTTCTACCATTTCCATGGCTCGCCTGAATGCTCTGAAGTCAGGAAAGGACTTGGATTTGTTTATCCAACGGGGTAAGAACTGTATTGATGCGTATGCCCAGGCCACCAAGGCCATTATGGAAGAGGCTTGTGCCCGCGTCAAAGATGGAGAGGCCCCTCCACATGAGGAGATTGAACGGATGAAGGAACGTTTCTACAAGTACTGCCAGTCAATTGTGGAGGAAGCATTGTCCATAGTCTCAGACGGTACCGATCACCCCCGGAAGGCCGAAGCTCCCAGCAGCTTGACCATGCCTTCAATGATCTCCTCAACTTCAGCCACTATATCTGAGGGAAGAACACCCTTCGAATTTGGCTCGCTTGTTGACAGATCAGGATTCTCTGAGACATTGGTAACTGACTTGACGTCATGCATTGGTTTCACTTTTGAGAGATTTGACCCTGACTTATGATAGCTCGCATCTAGCGGCCAGCGCCGCCTTCGCCTCTACACCGTCAGCAGTGACGATTGGGTCATGGTCCCATCAGTGCCCTCGCCCACAACCCCAACCAAGCTCGTGGTCCCCGAAAACATGGATCCTGTTGAGGAATCGATTCATCTCGGTGTCATCGTGCGCATTTTCGGCAAGTTGTATACAATGTCGAAGATGATGGAGATTATCCTCTTGTATTACGGCGCCGAGGTATATTTTGAGCTTACAACTTTACTCTTGTCCCATACTTTTACGCCTTTTTTCTTGGAAATATAACAGCTAACGCCGAGTTTCCACTCTTAGCCGGACAACTACCAGACCGGTCTGCCATACTGGATCAGACGCAGCGAGCAAAACATTCGCTCCCAGAAGATTGCTGTGCTAGTTGACACTGTCGAAAACCTTTACTATGCCCTATATGCGCGCATAACAATTGAGCTGGCCTGCATTGAGCTCTGCGGTTCCTACCCAGTCGACACTAGTGCATTGCGGGTTGAGATGCCATTCCTTATGCCAGAGGCTGATCATCTCTACCGCATCGTCCTAGCGTTCAAGGAAGTACTAGACTCTCCAGAGATCTGCGCAATCCTTCGGACAGACATCATCGCCTACTTCCAACAAGGATACATCAACCAGATTATGAAAAAGAAGAGCCAGAATGAGGTCCCTTTCTTTGACCCCCTCGGATACCGCCCATTTGCAATGAGGACTGTCTCCTACAGACAGGGAGCCTACTGTCAGAAATGGAAAGGACTTATCCCATTCTTTGACCTTATCCCAGCAGAGACCATGGCAGTAATGTCGGAGAAGTATCTCACTATGACTCCAGTGAGTATTCCGCCTGACGACGTTCCATTCGAGGAGCTGCCATGGATCCCCTTGGAGGATGTGCCAACGACTGTCTGGGACACGGATGTTGTGAAAGATAACCGCTTGTCGGATACTGCTAAAGGTCTGGGAACAACCATCGGAGAATTGCGCAGGACGGAGTCTATCCCTAGACTTTACAACCTTGCCAGGCGACGAAAGTGCATTTGCAACTCTATCTGTGGATGTTCCTGGGAGTGTACCGACAAGAATCGCCGCGACTGTCCTTGTGCAGAACGACATGTACGCATCATGGCGACCAAGCGTGGTCTTGCATACAGACGGAATCTACCAGCTCCTGCTTTCCCTGCTACTGCTTCTACCACTGCTCGCATGTTCTTCGAAGGTTTGGCTGAGCTCAAACGTGATGTCAAGGCTGCTGATATCGCCAATGTATTGAACCATGCTTTTGAACTGTTTTCTCTGTTGATTGCAAGGGAACGCGAGATGACTTCCAGGGGAGGCTCCCAGGAAAGCTTCTAAGATTGCAGTCCTGTCACTTTAACCACGACTTATGATTACGACAGCTACGACTACGATTTACGATTCACATTTCAGCTCAGCTGATGGACTACAAGCGAGGATTCCCAGAGAAATGGGTTCTCTTCATCCGCGTTTCAAAGTCATAACGGAAAGGAGGAAAGAAGGAACGGTTAGTCAATCCCACCGGGGGATTGTTAAGAAACAATCGGAGGGAAGCAAGGGGAAGCCAAGGGGAAATAATATCATTTGACAGATATGAAACTGATCATGAACCATGTCATTTATTTGATGAAGTGACCACGAGAAGTCTACATATCCAGTTTCAAAATGAATCTTGATTAACCCCCAGATGCTATTCCATGTTATGTACAGACTCACCTATCCCATATCCGACGGTTTAACTTCATCAACAATAGAGCACGAGGCTAGGGACCCATAATAAGTGATAGATTTTGGATTACCCCGCTTCACTAATCCCCTGCCTTAATAATAATAGCTTAGTATTGACGAGGAAATAATCTTCGCCGGTAACTTGTGGTATTTTGAAGCTCTCTCCAGCTTCCAGTCAGCTCGACGATTGGTGCCAGGCCGGTTAAGATGCAGCCGAAGTTAGACAAACCGTACTTCTGTGGAGATGAGGTCAAAATAAGGTCGGCCAACCCTGGAGATAATTGCATTTTGATTGGTCGGGATCTAGAGCCTCCTCTATTTATCAGGCTTACCTACGGTTCAATTGTTTACGACTCGACAGTATGATTAACAGATTCCATATATGGCTTTTCTGATGTCTTTTTTAGGGTCTCTGACTTTTAGTTTTTTTTTTTTTTGTACTACCTGTTGGTCTTTAGATAGAAAATGTACCAGTTGAAGCATACACTAGTGGAGTTTTGTTAATTAATTTATAGATTTTGAATATGATAGGCAAGTTGAAGCAATTGTATCTAGAACATGCAACCTTAGAAGTGTACCGGTGGCACACATAGTCGCCCGTAGGCGAGGGTGAGATCAAACCAAGCGATACTCACTTTGATCTGAAGGACCGGGTGTGCTTGCCCCCAGATGTACCTGCCTCTGAGCACACCTGCTTATGGGCATATAGGAATACCCCCCGTGAACTATAGGCCTGTAAGTCACATCATCTATCATATCAAAATGGAGTCGAATGCCAACCAATGCCGATGCCCGGAGAGATACCCACAACCGTGGAAAGCTCCCCTCATTAGCCTCATTGGCCTCGCTTTTGTGGTTTTGGGTTTGATATTGGTGGTGCGGTATGTGATGTCTCATTCGTTCTCTCTTGCTATGCCTGTCGTGCTGAAGGTTATGTCTGTAGGTTCCATGGCCAGAGGGCCCTCGAGAACTACCAACGGAATTACTTCGAACAGAAGGATGAGGAGCTGGGGCTAAAGTCGTTGGTGGGGTAATTTGAAAGTACCCGTGGGAGGTGTAGGCCTTGGAAGAGAGACATATACTCACTAAAAGTGCCTGTCTCTAGCCCGAACGGCCCTCTCTCTTCAGCCAGGCACGGCCCAGTCCCCCGCGACAGGCGAGGTGGACGCGGGCGAGCAGGAAGCGGAAGAGAAGAAGCCTACCCCTCCCCGTCTTATCGTCCCGTACGACAACTGCGCCAGTGACGATCTTCCCCTAGTGCAAAACGCAGACTCTGAGTCAGTGGAGTTTGCCGTGCCACCGCAGAAATGCCGCCCGGCTCCTCAGCCCGGAGATGTCGGAACCATTCCCGACATCTTCCACGCCCTCAAAGACAAGGGCAGTGATTAGGCGTTGAGAGAAGGATGTGGTGTCGTGGTCGGGGTGGTTCTGTATGCTGCCTACGTCTTCCAATACCTCGGCCACGGCACTAGCAAGAGGATATTTCAGAAAAGATTATGTTCTGTTTTGTTTTCTTCCAACCGCCTACCCCGGAACCGGCCGAAATGGTGGATCTGCTCATCCTTCTCCTCCCGCAGGCCGTCACCCCCTGCTTATAATGTACCTGCATACTATTGGTTTGGCCTGGTTTGGCCTTGGTGTTTCTTGTCTCTTAATTATATAACCATGGTTTCCCAAGGACTCGTTAGTTTTTGTATTTTCGTTTGGTATCATTAATGGAATTTTGATTCCTGATTTCCTTGGTTTCTGCTCTAATGTCTACAGAGAGGTACCAGGTGGACATAGCCGGGGCGAGAATACTATGGCTGCCATCGATAGCGTTCAACCCGCACTGGTAGAGCGCCTCTACGAATAAAGGCGCCTTGGCGGACACTCCCGCTATTTGACAACTGCGATGCCATCCTGTGTAGATGGGTCGACAGACTGGACCATATCTGCGTTAAGAGCAGGTTTGCCGTCTCTGGAAATACCAATCAGGCCGTCAATGGTTATCGCGGTGTGATAGATGGATGGGCCTTGCTGACATTCTTGAGGTTCTGCAGATGAAGAACCAGAGATCATACCGGCGATGGTTTCTTTCAAGTGTAAGTACGAACACATCTATGCAGCCGAGTGTATCATAGTGAGTAGGTATAGATTACAATAAAAAGAGTCTATTATTTTAGCAAATGATTCTAAAGCAAGGTATAGGTATCATCATAACTATTTCTCACTGCACCTGTGACGTGCCAGGTCTTGCAAAGATAGAAGAGCGCTTTCAATATAGAATCACTAAGATGGAGAGAAAGAAGAAGCAAGCTGTAAAGTTGGAAGCAGCCAGTTGATTACTTTGCAAATGTTGCAATCCTCAAAGCTTCTCGCGTAGCTATCTAACAAACAATCTATTCAAGTAAACAAGATAACAGCAAGTAAGCCAATAAGCGAGGAAGTAAACATGAAGCATATGATGAGGATCTGTTCGGTAGACCAGGGTTTCCTTAATGGGCAAAAATAGCAATTTGCCAAATGTAAAGCATAGGCCGAATACAATCCTTCAAGACTAGTTTTCAAGTCCTTGCTCCTTTCTTCTTTGTCTTTCTTTGAAAGCTCGAATCCTCGTAAGCCGATACAGCACCCGCACTCTACAGTGCAATGGCCTCTACCTTTCTTCCTTTCAGAAAGATAATCTCTGTTCACAGCATCCACATTCCCGGCTACAACAGCCGCCTCGATCCGAACAATCCTGAACCATTTCTTCGCGCATAAACCATTTAGCATCACGCCTTAAGCTATCATAAGCATCTTTAGCGTGCATATCAAGGGCATACTCTGCTTGATAGAGGGCGTATTCTTTTTCTAGGTATTGCGCTTGAGCCTCTTCGAGCTGTTTATTTGCTTCTTCAAGCTGGGCCCTATTAGACTCGATAGCTGTAGCCTTCTGTAAGGCTATAACCCTATGGTGTAACGTTTCCTCACACTGCGTTACTTCAAGTAGGGCATGCTCTGCAAGAAATAAGTCCATGGCTCGGAACCGGAAGAGATATTCTGTGTTTAACCCGTATTGTAGACAGACATCCGTTTCGCCCGCGAAGTGCCAAGTCATACTCCTATTCGAGAGTCCCATGATTCTTTCGCAGAAGGCTTCTAAGGTTAGTATAAGAATAAGGAGAGAAAGACTTCTTGGTGAGTACCTGTATGATAGAATAAGTAAAGAGACCAATGAAGCAGAGAGAATGTGACATGACAGGGTCCCTCGGAAGCTCAGGCTTCGCCGCCGCCTATCATATAGTAGTAGTGGTTAAGTATGACGCAATTGGATGAAGACCAAAAGACATTTATAGATTTGCTGCTTGAAGCCACCCGCGAAAGTGGCCGATGATCATTAGTCTGTTCCTATCCAGAATTATTGGGCTCTCTGGGTTAGCATCGGATTCCTCGCTATGTGTGCTTTTGTGGTTCACTTTGAGGTCATGATGTAGTTGCTCTGATTTGGCTGATAGCATGTGAACTATGAGATTGCTCTCGATTCTCTTCTGCAACATATGTGTCAATAGGGCGAATCAGGGATATATATAGACAGGTTCTGACAAGTTCTGAGCGGATCATTGGATCGGCAGGGATATAGATAAGTGGATGTAGCCCTAAGAGTGGCGGGGTTCAACTGCTCTGAAAAAAAGATAGATTCTGGACAAATGTAACGGAAATAAGAGAAAGAATGAGAAAAAGAATGAAAGAATGAAGTAAGAAGAAGAATAAAACCCTAAAAACTCGCGATTTCTAAGATTTTCATATTCTCAGAGATACTACGTAGTGTAAGGCACAGTCGGCGGCGCAGACCAGTGATATCTTCGAGACACCCTCGGCCTTTACCGGTGAGTCGCACTTTTCTTTTCTCTCCCTCAAGCCCAGGTCCGAGTCAAAACTTCTTTTCTACTGTTCTCTTGTACTCCGTCTCTTCATTTTGCACCTTTCATGCCTTAATGCCCCAGAACCCCTTCGCCGAGCCCATCTTGGTGCACAAAGAGCCAAGTTAGGGATGGTGACCAAGGCAGCAGCCGTGTCACACTCACTATCATCATCATGGACGTCCATTAGCAAGTGGATCGTGAACATAAGCATAAATCAAGCCACAGTCCAGAGTGCCCGCCTCCGACAACCGAGCACAGCACGGCCATATCACGCGGCGGCAGTGTGGCCCTCCTACGGCGTCACCACTCCCACTCCCGACCAGCCAGTCGGTTCTCCCAAATCGCCTTTTCGATTCGAGACTGGCTACGCTCTATGTGCCAAACGACCTTCACGACCCTTCCCTCCACCTTTCCTCTCCCCACCCTCTTCATCCTTCTCGGATCCTTTGACGACACACGGGCTAAGCCAGGATAAGAGATTATCCGTCCAGGGCGAGCTAATCCGTGGCCTGAACAACGGAGACGATGCCATCATCGTCGCAGAGAATTTCATAGGTGTCAACGATGGCGTAGGCGCCTGGGCTACGAAACCTCGTGGTCATGCTGCGTGAGTGGTCTCAATTTCAATTTTTATCATATGCCACGATCGCTGACTTTTCTCTTCCCCGATACAGACTCTGGTCTAGACTCCTATTACACTTCTGGGCCCTCGAGGTCGAAAGGAATGTCGACCACAGCACGCCTGCCATCGACCCGGTCGGATACCTGCAGTATGCATTCGAGGAGACCTTGCGGGCAACCACATCTCCTACCGAGTGGCTCGGCACGACAACCTCGGTGACTGCCATAATACACTGGACCGAGGGCGAAGACGGCACACAGAAGCCATTGCTGTACGTTACAAACCTGGGCGATTGCAAAATCCTCGTGATCCGACCGAGCGAGAAAAAGGTCATTTTCCGCACAGCCGAGCAGTGGCATTGGTTCGATTGCCCCATGCAGCTTGGAACAAACAGTATCGACACACCCCGGAAAGATGCAGTCTTGTCCAAAATTGAGGTACAGGAAGACGACATCGTCCTGGCCTTCTCGGATGGCGTCATGGATAACCTATGGGAGCATGAGGTCCTGAAGATCGTTATGGACAGTATTGACAAATGGGAGGAAGAGCGCGCGGCGCCAACGAATGTTGCGCAGCACCCTCATCTGTCTGATAGCCGCAATGTCTATGTTGCTAGGGAACTGCTCAATGCTGCTCTCACGATTGCCCAGGATCCCTTTGCGGAGAGTCCCTACATGGAGAAGGCAGTGGATGAGGGTCTGGCTATTCAAGGAGGGAAAATGGACGATATCTCTGTTGTGGTTGCATCTTGCAAGAAACGGGATGGATGAGATGCACCCATTGGTTTTACGATCAGACTTTCACAAATATCCATCTTGAATTTCGCGTCTTGATCTCCTTGCCTCGGACGTGCGCCAATTGCCATTGACGAACCTCGACACACGAGGCAAGCTCTTGTTCCCCGTCTATCATCTAGATTCACATATCTACCGCCAAAAGCTTGTCCCAACTACATCGCTCTTGCGCAGCTATGATGCCTTGCAAGCGTCGAATCAGGACCCGGACATGCATTGCAGTGAAATACTCACCCCATCAAACCACGGGAAATGGCTTCCATGCCAGCTGGGTTACTCGAGTTCTCCAGCGCGAAGCTTGATTGCTTAGCTTTGCCTGGTCATCATGTCCCCACCTGTTGGTATCTTCCATCGGCTCGGGCAACTTTCTAACAAGCGCACATTGTGCATTGGCGGTTTGCACCAAAGCCATGATGCCAACCGGTCAAGCTGGTGATTCCTATAACAACCCCTCTACCACTTTTGAGACCCATTTCCTTCGATTTACACCCATGAGGGACTCCATTACTTAGCGCGATGTGGCTAGTCTGTCCATCGTTGATAACTACTTAAGTCTAAACAAGACAAATAATAATATTTCCTTGACTCAATACATTCTTTCATAACTATTCAAGTCTGTAGCGATCAGTAAATGCTAAGTACAGGGTACTCAATCTCAAGGCTAGACGCCCCACTTCACAAAGTATTGGGTACCTCACCACCAGCACAGACCACATCACCGCCGCTCCCGCCCGGCAGAATGAAAAAAGTTTCGGTCGACGCAGAAGCTCATGTCTTTTGCTGCATTCAATCTTCAAATACTTGATACCCATCATTCACAATGAGGGCCAAACGTTCAAAGAAGTATCGCAAGCTTATGCACCAGTATGAGCTCACTTTCGGTTTCCGAGAGGCCTATCAGGTCCTGGGTATGTCCCATTCAATATATTGTTCTGGTGTACAGTACTGACTTGCGCTCAAACAGTTGACTCGAATTTCCTTCGCGCCACCGACTCCTTCAGGATGGAACTAATCCCTGCACTTGAAAGAACGATCCAAGGCAAGGTCAAGCCTCGTGAGTCTCACCAGACAAAGTTCCCATCCACCAAGACACATCCCAGCTAACCATCTCGACAGTATTAACAAAGTGCTCACTCGCCGCTATCATGGCCGCACAACCCATCAACCCCAAAACCGAAAAGCCATACCGACCTCTCTTCCTTCCTCCGCCCACAGAACTCCCGCTCCGCCACTGCTCGCACAACGCGGACTCCACGCCCATCGACGAAGTCGAGTGTCTCCTCTCGCTGCTTTCACCCAACGCAGACTCAAAGAAGAACAAGGAGCACTACATTCTCGCATGTGCGGATCCAATCTTGAGAAAGACGACCAATAGCGAGAACCAGCCCCGCAGACGGAAGACGGAAGAGGATCGTAAAGAAGAGGAGGCTATGCGCCGCTCCCGCGCATTACGCGCCGGCGCTCGCTCTATTCCAGGTGTGCCTATCATATACGTTAAGCGCTCGGTTATGGTCCTCGAGCCGATGAGCAGCGCTTCTGAGATGGTGCGGGATGGTGTTGAGCGTGGGAAGTTCCGCGCTGGATTGGATGCGGATCCCATGCTGGGCAAGCGCAAGAGGGATGGCGAGGCTGATGGCGAGAGTGCTGATGAGGAGGAACCTAAGAAGAAGCGCGGTCCTAGGGTCAAGGCGCCTAATCCTCTCAGTGTGAAGAAGGCTAAGAAGAAGACTGATGCGCCTGCACCGAAGAAGGATAAGCCTGCTCGGAAGGAGGTTGATATCGCAGATGCAACGGAGCAACATGATGGCGATGATACTGCAGCGGCTAAGCCCAAGAGGAAACGTCGTCATGCTAAGAGTGGTCCCCGTGAAGACTTCGAGGAGGCCACCGAGCCTAATGAGGCTACGGAGGTTGACGCTTGATTGAATCTTTACGGCATAGGCGATTCATGATGCTGGTTATCATTGCATGCATTCTCAACCTTATTTCACTTCTGGGGTGCGGCGTTCAGATCGGATGGGTTATATCTAAAAGTTCAGCTGATGTGCATAATAGTAATGTACATCTGATATCATTCAAGAGATCCTATAACCCCAACAAACTGTAGATTAAGTGTTGGACATTGGTGCCAGATGAAATATGGCAAAGAAGACAGAGCGAAGGTCACTCGGCTATATGTACATTTCAACGTTCAGATATCGTACAAAGTATTCTTCCCCAGATGAAATAAAAGGAGATAATTTGGCCTCGGTCTGCTTATCCCGTGCATTCAATGTTCTCACGTGAACATATTGAAATCGGGGCCATGCCGAAGGCTACTAATAACAAGCAGCAGTGCTGTCTTTCAAGTCTGAGCCAAATCGAAGAACAGCCATTGAAAGCAGACCCCAAACTCCAGTCCCAAACATGACGGCATATATGATAGCATATGCTCATCCACGACACAGCCTATTGCTTCGCAGCACTAGCACTAGCATTAGCCGCCGCCGCCGCCGCAGTAGCCGCCCTAGCAGCCGCAAGCGCAGGCCCTCCTTGCTCTTGATCAAGCTCGCGCTCTTTGGCCCAGATCTCCTCCATACGCCGGCGGTTGTTGCGCGCCTCCTCTCGGTTGCGCTTTGCACGCTCGTATCGCTCAGCGGAGAGACATTTGTTCACGTCGACCTTAATATCGTTGCAGCTCCCGATGACTTTGTGTAGGAATCCCTTGGCGTGACACTCATCTAGAGCAGTCATGATCTCTTCGCAATCTGTGTGATATCAGTCAATATGGAAAGCGGGATGGGATGGCGAGATGGATCTTCCGGGCATGGTGGACTCGACGTACTGGCATTGTAAGAGGTATGGAGATGAGAATGCATGATTTCAATGGCACTGGTCTCTGAAAACTGAAAGATAGTTCAAGTTCAATCGTATGATCAACGCAAAGCAAGAACATCGCAAAACGTCCGGGCGGTAAGGAGATCGGCCGGATTCTGCCGGGCGGACAGCCCCTCAGGCACGATAAAAAAAAATATCGCCGATAGAAAAAAAGTGGACGGGTGTGATCAGTTTCGTCACAACATTTTCATAATGTCTTCCATGATTACAACTACGACATGGGTGCGGCGTGGTGTCGCCGCCCAGTTCCCTACCAAATATGAGATTGACGAGGCCGAGATGAGCCGTATATCTAAGCTTGCGCGCATGCAGCTCGAGGATGCGAAGGATGATATGAATGCTGCCCAGGATGGTTCTGAAGATGAAGGCGATGATGCTATGGAGGAGGATGCTGAGGAGAAGACCTCGGCCAAGGACACCGATTCAAAGACGTGAGTGATGTTGAGCGCAGCGCAGATTCAACTCATGCTAATCGGATTTAACAGTGATGATGATGTGTTGAAGGAATTCGACATGGATAACTACGACAAGGAGGAGATTGATGAAGATGGCGAGAAGATCACCATGTTCGGCAATGTCCAATCCCTGGCCTACCACCAGCCCAACGAGGAAGACCCGTACCTCGTGATCCCCGAAGACGAGGATGATGAAGAACGCGAGGAGCTCCAGATTATGCCCTACGACAACCTTCTGTTGGCCGGAAAGGTGGAGGACGAAGTTGCGCACTTGGAAGTCTACGTCTACGAAGACAAAGCGGACAACCTCTATGTGCACCACGACATCATGCTTCCCGGTATCCCACTTTGCACAGAGTGGCTTGATATTCCTGTTGGCAAGAACCCAGAAGGTCGGACGCAAGGAAACTTCGTGGCTATTGGAACCATGGAGCCCGATATCGAGATCTGGGATCTGGATGTAGTGGACTGCATGTACCCCAACGCGATTCTTGGGCAGGGTGGCCAGGACGCCGAGAAGCCGAAGAAGAAGCAAAAGAAGAAGGCCAAGGCCAACGACGAGTACCACATCGATGCCGTCCTGGCGCTGGCTGCCAACCGTCAGCACCGCAACCTGCTTGCCTCGGCATCAGCCGATAAGACCGTCAAGCTCTGGGATCTCAACACCGCCACCTGCGCCAAGTCCTACTCCAACCACAAGGACAAGGTATGCTCACTAGACTGGCACCCAGCCGAGTCCACCATTCTGCTAAGCGGCAGTTACGACCGCACCGTAGTGGCAGCAGACATGCGTGCGCCGGACGCCCAGGCGCGCTGGGGCGTCGACGCAGACGTCGAGTGTGTGCGCTGGGACCCGCATGACACCAACTTCTTCTACGTGACCACCGACGGCGGCATGGTCTACCGCTACGACATGCGCAATGTCCCCGCCACCCCTGCCGAGTCCAAGCCTGTCTGGTCTCTGCAAGCACACGACTCCTCCGTTTCATCCTTCGACATCAACAGCTCTATCCCCGGCTTTTTGGTGACCGGCTCAACAGACAAGACCGTCAAGCTGTGGAGCGTCGAGAATGACAAGCCCACTTTGGTTGTCACGCGCAAGCTTGAGGTCGGCAAGGTGTTCTCTACTACCTTCGCGCCCGACCAGGAGGTCAGCTTCCGGTTGGCGGTTGCTGGTAGCAAGGGTAATGTGCAGATCTGGGATGCTTCGACTAACGGCGCTGTTCGGCGTGCTTTTGTGTCTCGCATGCCTGACCTTGCTGGTGATGTCCCGGAGCGCACGGTTGGTATCAATGCTGATGATGACGAGTCTGATGATTCGGAGGGGGAGGGTGATGAGGGTGAGCCCCGTGGTGGTGATGGCTGGGAGTCGATGGATGAAGACTAGGTGGACACAAATACCCGTGGAATCTTCCGTTTCGTGTGCGCCAAAAAAAATAGAGTTGCTGTTGGGTTTTGCATGTTAATGACTAGTCCGTTATGAAGTTTTGGAAATATGAGAACGAAACAATTTCGATGACATTCAACGGATGCAGGAAGTATATTCTAGACTGAATAAATGAATAAGTTCATATACCGTCTCAAAAGAATATCTTAACACGGTTCATATAAATCTCTTTCGAAGGTTATCCCGTGGCCCTGGGACCCTGGTTCGATCCTTTTAGCGGACCCACATAAAACAACCTTATTCTAAAACAGACCCCAGTACGGAGTATACCCAGTGATACATGTTCTCCATAGCTTGCTTTCTATACTCCAAATCATTCTCTATACTTTGAACTCTTGTACTAATATAAACCTGGCTCCTTATATTCTTCTGATGATCGTCGGATCAACGACACTATTGGTGTATCGCAGAGACAAATTCAATTTACACATTTTACACCTTTTTCACAGCCTATTCTGGCGGAAGAGCGCACCACTTTGGCCCCTACCTGGATTTCAGATTATATGACAAACAATGGAATGAGAATGAATGTATAAACAAAACTTGGATAGGGCAGGAACACCTATTAGCGTACTCATATTTGGGGGTAGGAGTTAACAGGTGAACCTGGTAGAGCTTAAATAAAACCACCATTTCCGACAACGTGCAGAGTCGAACGGCGATTAACACGTGACTTATATGCGTAGTATGCGTAGTATCTGCAAATATATACGGAGTAGTAGAATAATGTATACAAAGAGCCTGCACTCTATCTCATCAATTGAGCTCGTGTAAAAGAGAAAAAAAATGGGTTACTTCTCTTTGATTGAGCGTGTCATCCTTAGTGCAGGGGCCATGCTAATCTTCTCTGTATATTTTCTTTTCACCGTATGCCCCGAAGGGCGAAAGGACATCCTTACAGTTCAATATAACCCCACTTTTCTGCATAATGGTACCGCCTTCCTGATCGGTGAACAGCTTGGTCGACCGGCAGAATCAGACCGCCTAACATATTTGATCTGTAGTGCCTGGGCGCTATTTCACAGTTCTCACACATATACGGAGTACTCCGTACACTTGTATATCTTGGTTGTGTTTTTGCTTGTGCTCTTAGATGTTCTCAGATCAGACATTCTGTTGAGATGTCTTTCCCCACCTTATTGGTGTTATAGGTAGAATATAGGCGGTGGGAACGGCCTGAAATGTGATGTATATTGTACGGAGTACTACAATAACCTTTTGACTTAGTCTCAAAAGAGAGCCCGAGCATCCAAAAATAGACGCCGAACTGATACCTGTGTTGTAGGTATTCTACATAGTTATTTAAGCCCTCCTGCTAACTTGATAGACCCTGTGTATCAATATCATCTTCACCAAAAAATATGGAAGCTAGTATCCAATCCGCCATCGACGCCGGCAAGATCAACGGCGCTGTTATCTGTGCCACTGATGCCGAAGGCCACTTTGTCTACAACAAGGCGATCGGAGAGCGCACTCTACTCTCAGGCCAGAAGCAGCCACAGCAGCTCGACGATGTGCTGTACCTAGCCTCAGCCACGAAATTGATCACAACCATCGCTGCCCTACAGTGCGTCGAAGACGGCCTACTAAGTCTAGACGGCGACCTGTCATCCATCGCCCCGGAGCTCGCTGCAAAGCAAGTTCTCACTGGCTTTGCCGACGATGGAAGCCCTCAGCTCGACCCACCAGCCCGCCCTATCACCCTCAAGATGCTGCTTACGCACAGCTCCGGCACCTCCTACCACTTCCTGAACCCACCCATCGCCAAGTGGCGCGCGCAGTTTGGGAATCCCGAGAATGACGACCCTCTCCTCGTCGAGGAGATGTTCACTTACCCGCTCAGCTTCCAGCCCGGTGCCGGCTGGATGTACGGCCCCGGTCTTGACTGGGCTGGCCGCGTGGTGGAGCGTGTCACGGGCGGCTCGCTGATAGACTTCATGCAGAAGCGTATCTTCGACCCGCTCGGTATCAAATATGCTCAGTTCTATCCCGCTACCCGTGAGGACCTGCGAGCCCGTCTCGTCGATCTCAATCCCAGTGACCCTGGGGCTGTTGGTAGTGCCGTGCTCGGCGGTGGCGGCGAGATGAACCTGCGGGGCCGTGGTGCCTTTGGCGGTCATGGACTGTTCTTACCTGGCTCGGATTTTGTTAAGGTTCTGCACTCGCTGCTGGCTAATGATGGCAAGTTGCTCACGCCTGCTGTCGTCGACAATATGTTTCAGCAACACCTTGGCCCCGAGGCGGCGGCAAGCCATCAAGCTGCGCTTGCTAGTCCTCTTGGGCCCTTTTTCCGCGTTGGAACAGATTCGGAGCTGAAGGTTGGCTATGGCCTTGGCGGTTTGCTGACGCTTGAGGATGTTGACGGCTGGTATGGCGAGCGAACGTTGACTTGGGGTGGTGGTTTGACTCTCACTTGGTTCATTGATCGGAAGAATAATCTCTGTGGTGTCGGTGCCATCCAGGCAGCACTGCCGGTCGATGGAGAGTTGGTGGCCGAGCTAAAGCAAACCTTCCGCCATGATATTTACCGCAAATATACCGCGTGGAAGAGCCAGCAGTAGACATAATTGACGATACGATGGAATGGAAGAGTGTCTATTTTTGGTAGATAGTTGATTGGAATGCGGGACATGTAGGTATCACCGAACACAATGAAGCTCGCTTTGGATACACCAAGATAATATCACAACAAAACTCAATGGCTTTCAGAAGAGTAAACTAGCAAATTTAGATTTCTATTGTACAAGCGACCAGACCAAGGCAGGCCAAAACCAATATCAAAAGAAAAAGATACAGAGATATCACCACATGAAGCGCTGGATCTTGCCAGGCTCCTGCGGCCACTCAAAGCCCTTGTACAGGAAGAGATACCCAGTGATCAAATTAATGATCAAGAACCAAACCGTCTCCACGAACTTCGGTCCGTTGACAATGAGGTCAGAGCGACGTTTAGCTTCCTCTGTGCGGGGGCGAATATCTCGATCCCTGAACAGACATGGCGTAGGAGGAAGGTGCACACGCCACATAACCCACGGGATGATCAAGTAGCGGGGTTCGACAAGGGGTGCCGTGATGAGAGACAAGGAGGTAGCGGCCAGCCAAACAAGGACAAAGCTAACGCGTGGTGCCTCCAGTAATTCTCTCTGGCGCGTGAAGATGTGTTGCTGGACTCTAGCCAGAACCGCGGGATCATTTGGATCCGTAATCTCCGCTGGTAGCTCAGTCAAGTCAGTCTTCTTGGTTTCTGGGTCATCCTTCTTGATTTTCTTGTAATTAGACCTGTTAGGCTTCTTCGTTCCCTTTGGTGGCTGTTGGTGCGCCAGTAAAGGCTTGCGCGCAGAAGACTGAGTAGATTTGGGCTCTTGTGCCACTGGGGCCGGGGCTGGATCCGGGGCCGGAGTCGGAGCTGGGGGCGCATCTGGAGCAGCTTTATGAACTCGCAAGGTTTTGGGCGGACGTTGGATGGTGGTAAATCCAAAGGCTGAGATCACGACCCATCCGCAGAGGAAATACACTGGCACTGCAGCATACTTGATTGCTGGGTGAAGCATAAGAATGCGGAATACGTAGAACACATAGTGTCGGTTATCAGCAAGGGTGAAGGGGTGCACAATGGTGTTGAAGTGGACCACGGCAAGCATAAACGGGATCACAATCAGGGCAGCCTTGAGCTTGGGATATTTCCTCTGTTTCGGCGGGAGACCGAGGTTCAAGTATTTGGGGAGTGGTTTGAGGGCGAGAATATTGATCAGAGGAATGACGAAAAGAGGCCATGAGAAGAAGATGAAGTACGGCCAGATGTAGAGCATCTGAGCCAGGTGGATACCCGCGGCATGGAATTCCTTGTGGCCTAGTGAATAGTAACTGTCAGTAAAATCGCACTTGATGTGACAAAACAAGTCACCCTTACCTAGGACGACTCCGTTATTCCAAACTACAAATGCACCAAAGGCCGCGAGGACGATGATGTGAGGAATGACCGAAACCAGGAGAGAAAAAGGCTGCTTCAGACTGACAGTCGCAAGTGAAACGGCGGTCTTCAGGTAATCTATAGATTTAGTTAGAATGGTCTCCTGCTTGCGTCATATTGTATATCCAATAGATCAACTCACCTTCGAAGGAAGCCTCCGAAACGAGAGGATCATACACCTCATTCTGCAGGCCTTGTTTCACGATAGTTGACACATCGGATGACATGCATGGCGTAGTAGACTTTCTAATCTTGCGGACTACCTGAAGTCCACCTAGGAATACCGAGACCCAGAAGATATTGGTCTGTCGGAAGACCAATGCAGCCAGCGCGAAAGCCAGGAATCCCAGTGTCTCCTGAATACCACTGCGAGTCGCTTTTGTCGCGTCGTTTCCAGATTCGCTTTCCTGGTTTCTCTCAAAGTCTCTCTTCAAGTCCCAATTGTATGCCTCCACGACAACCACCAAAGCAAGAACATCTGTGTAGTACAGACCAGAGAAGAAGAACAGCGGGGGAAACAAGCAGATATTCAGCACGGTATGAGACACGTTCGCTCCCAATGGCCGAGTATTTGTCGTTCTCTGTAGCGTATCAAGCAACTTCTGGAGTCTCCAGGGGAAAATAACGGTTGTCGCACCAACGTTCGTCGAGCGCAAGACCTGTGGAGTGAGCTCTGTCGGCTCTCCGCGCAGCAGCAACACAATAGCGAAGAGGGCATATGAGAACAGATATAGACCCGGTGGTGTTGTCAGCTTTGGATCCCATTGCATCCACTTATGCGACCAGTATGCTTGTGCTTGCGGGACGTGGAAGACTTCGTCGAGGTAGGCTTCGGGGACAGTCTTATTGACAAGAATCACCCACAAAAGAATCAAGACCAAGCCAAACGGAACGAACCATCGAGCACTCCGGCTGAGGTCTGATTCTAGAGGATTGGCCATGCTGTGCAAATAATCACTTGCAGCAAGCAGGTAAAGTTGCCAGACGATCTGCAGTTCTTCGGCCACCGGGTCCCAGTCGGAGCTTGTGGAGCTCATCCGATGCAAACGTTTCAAACGTTTTGAACGTTTCGAAGTCGCCATCTCGACGCGACTTGAAAGAAGCATTCAATAAAAGTCAATTGAGCATTTTAAAAGCAGAGAAACGGTCTAATAAGAGGAAGAAAAAAAGCGAAAGGAAAGAAACGCAGAGCAAACGGTCAAGGTCGAGCGCACGATCAAGACGACCTAGATCATCCTAAGAGAGATGAGATCGCGACTCTCGTGATTAATTGAAATTGCCTTCGCTTTCCTATTCACACGCCCAATGGCTTTTCCTCTTCCCCGGGGCGTCACGGCGTCAGAAATCGCCTTCCTGGCGGAGATGGAAACAGTAACAATTGTGCCTCGCCAGCGCCTAGAAGGCCTCGAACTACTAGGAGTATGCGCCTCCGAACTGCTCTATCTTGAAATACTCAAATCTAACCATCCCCAGGGCCCCATTGAACCTCTCGTACCGCCCCGACGCGCATCCCTCCCCCTCTGGCTCGCCATCCTCCTCAAGCGTCAACGTCGCGCAAACATTATCCCACCAACATGGCTACACCCAGAGCCATTAGCTCTCATCCTCGAAGTAGAGTCCCAACACCAAGACTACAAAAACGCTTTCTCCCCGCCTCCTCCCCTGCCTGGTCAACCAAGTGTTCTGGACCGCGATGCACTGCCATCTGCTCGGCCGCAATATACACCAGATGGTAATCGGTACTATGCAGCGCCGCCTTTCTTACCCCAAAACACAGCCCAGACCGTGGCATCTTCACGGGATCCCCCTTCGCTACCATATCACTGGGTTGAGGTTGGGAATATGCTGCTTGACGCCGCGAGCGATGATCTCGTGGACCCGGATCAGATACGGAGACTGCTGAAGGACCTGCGTGAGGTGCGCATGGCGAAAATGAGGTCGGGTGTTGATGTGCTGGATGCTGCGGCGACAGGTGGTGGTGGTGTTGCTCTGACGGGTGTCGGTTCTATGGAGTTGGGAGAGGAGCGGGGGTTTGTTACTGGTGTGGTGGACGGTCTTCGGTATGTGATCCCATTTTCGGATACTTGCATAGCCGAACATTTGGGGGACTTCGTTGCTAATTGGCTCATAGGAGAATTGGGTCCTCCAAGGAACAGGCTCGGCGTGAACAGATGGCCGAGCAGAGAGCAAATGGTGCCTACGATGACACCCGGGACGAAGATGAAGAAGATTACATGGAGTTCTAATCATCCCAGGCTGTTGCTTTTTTCCCTTTTTTGGCGGTATCTTTCATTCGGAGTTATTCGGTGCATACCTGACGCAGACCAATGCCCAAAACGACTTTCATGTATATAATCCAGTATACCCTCCGTATACAATGACCAACGGTTATAATCGAAACTATTCCAATTTGACTAACACCATGGAGCATGCGAACGCTTTAATACAAAGAGGACTGATGTCGCGAAACAAAACCGAAAGGATGGAGAGGGTATATTGGCCCCCGGGAAACACTGGTGCCGGGTTCGGCCAGGTTTATCGTCGTCAAAAGCAGTGTACAGAAAGTCACGTTGTCGGCAGGCAAGCATGACAGTTCTCATATCATACATTGCCCTGGCTCTTTTGCATCATCTTTCTTCGCGCCGCCAAGATCATATCATCCCGCCGCTTTTGCAGTATCCGCTGGCGCTCTTCCTTATTTTGGGACCAAGAGGACTTGGAAGGCTTTTCGGGTTCTGACTCTGTAGCAGGGCTCTCGGCCTTTGCACTCAAATTATACCGAGATATCAAGTCCTGTGCGTCCGCTTTCTGTACGGGCGTGGCGGTCTGCGCCAGCGGGATATTGGTGGGGGGAATTGCGACCGGAGGTTGGAACGAAGGAGGAGGCTAAGAAAGTGAATTAGTCAATGCTTCGATAACTGACTATTTGCAGTTGATATTTGAAGCCTGTGGCCGAGTCGAGTTGTCTGAGACGCAGATAAGGTGGGGAAATCGATGACAGCATCAGCGCAACACGTACCGTTTCCAGCCCCCGTCCAGTCAGGACTCTCTCTGTCGTTGCGGCGACACTGCCGCCATTACGCTGCAGATCCCACATTATATCACGAGTGTTCAGTTGAGGGAACATCTGCGCGATCTGTTCCACCTGCGCCGGATCGACGACATTGCCACGCCCCCTACCTCGGCTTCCCCCCGCGGAGCTTTCATCGCGGTTAAAAAACCATCGGAGAACAAAATATGATACAACCGCTAGAGTGAGAAGCGACGGTATGTTCAGCGAAGGCTCCTCGTCCGTCATTTTGTTTTGGCAGAGCGCAAGTTGAGTGAGGTGTCCAAGGTCCCCAGTGTTGATATCTGGCCGTAACGGGTTTGAAAAAGGCAAGACGCTGAGTTGGATATGGTCTAATATAGGTGATGTTCAGGTGAGACACATAGGTATTGGCGCAATGGGGGTGATTTCAATGAAATCGCCATGCGCGTTGGAAGGTGGCACGGGTCAGGTCGAGAATCGAGCACGTGCCGGGTATCGGAGTTTCCGAGTTTGGAAGTTTCCAGTCTTCGACGCTGACACTGATATTGTGCATATTGTGCAGGATTTTATATTTATGAACAAATTGATATAGTCTTTACACATAATTCATAAGAGAGAGTCCATTCCCATCCAAAGACAACCAAACACCAAGGCCGGGACATAATCATCCCACTCCACCGGGGACACCAAGAAAGAAACTATAGACAACCAAGATCATATGCACGCTTATTTCAAATCCGCAGGGGTCAACGCCTGAACAATACTGGTACCTTCGCTGAAGCGCGTCCGGAAAATCCGGTTGGCGTTTTGGAACATGCCATCCTTCAAGGAGACAACGATGAATTGAGATCCCTTGAAACGGGTCTTGATCAGTCGACCGATGTTTTGCGTATGTGACAGATCTAGCGCGGCGTCGACCTCATCTAGAATGTACATTGGCGCGGGCTTGAATTGCAAAAGCGCCATGATCAACGAAAGAGCAATGAGTGAACGTTGGCCACCACTCAGTTCTGTCAGACTCTGTTTCCAGACTTTGCCCAGGGACACCTTCACCTCGAGACCGTCTGTGATGTCTTTGCCTTCGGGAGGGTCGAGTTTGGCAAAACTACCCGGTAAGAGCTCGTTGAAGATCTGTCCAAAGTCGCCATTCACCTTGACCCACGTCTTGTAGAGAGCTTCCTTTTTGTATTCGTTCAGGTTCATGATGGTCTCCTCGATCTTTCGCTTGTCACGGATGACTGTCTTCATCATGTTCTTCAGAGCACCCTCCTTCTTTTCGACGCTGTCAATCATGTTCATGACCTTCGGGTTGATTTTCTTTTTCATGCCTTGAGATCGCTCTGTCAAGTTGCGTAGGGTAGCCTTGCACTCGGCAATGTTCTGGTTCTGGAAATCGTAGGGAGTGTTGGCGCGTCCGAAATGTTCTTTCTCGTCCGCAATCCACTCATGTTCCTGTTCCATATGAGCCACGGCTTGGCTAGCAGTGTGCTGATCCTTTTGCAGCTTCTCGAGCTGATGGCCGAGCTTCTGCGCCTCTAGTCCGTCCTCGGTGATTTGGGAGGATTTGCTTTTCATGGCTGATTCTAATTCTCGCAATTCCTCGTCAAAGCCGGTCAGCTTGGCCCTCTCGTCATCAAGCTGAGCCTGCGCGATGTCATGGGCATCCTAGAATTGTCAGTTATATGATTATTAAGCAGTATTGGGAGGGCATGACATACCTTCAGCCGTGCTTGCTCTCGTTTTTGTGTTTCAATCTCTTCTAGTTGGGCACTGAGGGTGTTGTCTGACTCAACCAATTGCTCCTCAGCTGCGGATAAGTCGCTTCCAACTTGTTCGGAGTCTAATCTGGAAGTCTGCAATTCCTTCTGCAGCTCCTTGACCGAGCCAGAATTTTTGATAAAGCTCTTCTTGAGTTTATCGAGTGTCGTCTGCAGTTCCTCTAACTTGCTATCTTTGTTGTTGCTGAATTCACTCATGTCTTTCTCAATTTGCTTGATATCCTTGGATGCGACGGCCTGGCGAGACTTAGCGTCGGCGATGTCTTTCTTGAGTTGTTCAATGTTTGCTCTCATCTCTTCAACGGCTTGGATGATCTACTTCAGGTTAATTGTAAATTGCGGGAATAGATTAGGAGAAACACATACTGAAGACGAAGAGTTGCTGTTAATTTGCTCCTCGGTAAGCTTAATCTCGTGGTTCTTGAGATCCAGATTTTGTTTGATAGAGCGAACGGAATCAAGCTTCTTCTTTTCCCTCTTCATGTGATCTTCCAAAGTCGCAAGCTGTCGTTCTTTGCTCCGTAGCTCCTTGGTGATCTCATTAAGCTTTTGCAAAGTCACGAGAACACCGCTAGAATTGGGGGAGCTTCCACCGGAAAGTGTTCCGGACGGATCATACACATCGCCTTCCAGCGTGACACTCTTCATCCGAACGGACGGATCAAATGTTACTTTCTTAGCTGTCTCAGCATCCTGGCAGATAAGGGTGTTGCCAAAGACATAGTTCATCGCCGCCAGGACTTCCTCATCGTATCCAACCAAGGACAGAGCGAGGTCAACCTTTCCAGGGGCAAGGTCTTGAGCAGCTCCAATCTTTTCCGCGGATGCCTTGAAGGCAGAAATCTTGTTAAGGGGAATAATAGTCACGCGCTTTCGCAGCTTGCCTTTCTGAAGCAGCTGAGTGCCGGTCTCCGCGCTGTCCACGACCACATTGTAAAGCCGACCACCGGCACAGATCTCCAGAGCAGTCGCAGCCGGAACTTGATCTTTATTGAGGGTGAAAAGTTGAGCGACCAAGCCCTTGACCTTGGACCGGTCAAAGTTGGGGTGAGGGTCTGCGTAGTTGAAATCGATATTCGCTGCCTGTCGCTTGAGCCCATCAGCCCGCTGGCGGAGGTCACGAATATCCCGCTGAAGCTCGGTTTGCTCCTGGTATATTTGCTCCTCCTTCCCAGGCTCAAACCCAAGCCGAGTCAGCTCGGACTCTAGCTTGTTAGCCTGCGATTTCAAGCCTTCGAGATCACGCAAAAGCCCCAGGTTCTGCTCCTTTGCCTTCTTTGCGCGAGGCCCCTCTTCTTTGATTCGCTTCTCAAGATGGTTGATTTTGAGCTTTCCTTGCTCTTGTTCTGTGGCGGCATTGCTTGCGCGATTACGGGCATCTTGCAGTTGACCTTGGTAACCACTCTCTTGGCCCTCCTTTGAAGCGACGCCAGTCTGCAATGTTTGAAGCAGTTCCTCCTTTTGCTCCACTTCGACGTTTTGTGCGTCTAACTCGGCTTTGGCGGTATCGTACTGGGCCTGTAGCTTCTCGTAGATCTTGCGCTTCTCCTTCAAGACCTTTTCAAGATCAGTGACAGTATTTTGAATAGTCTGTCGTTTCTCTTTCTCTTCATCCATGCTTGCATTCTTCAGATCAAAGACCGTGGTCAGTCGGACCAATTCGTGTGAGTAGTTCTTGACCTCATCTTCAAGCCCTTGGAACTTGCCACCCTTTCGAAGTTCCTTGTCGCGAGCTGTGCGCACCCGTTTCACATCCTCCTCTAAATGAGCAATTTCACTTTTGAGTTTGATCGCGTTATCCTCGAGGGCTTGCGCTTTGTTAAGTTTATTTTCGCACTCTTGGCCTGCAACTCTCAACCGCTCGCCACCACGAACATAGTCATGGGCAACAACAAGTCGGGTCAAGCGCTCGAGGTCATTCTGTGTCTGTTGAAAGTCGAGGAAGGCTCGCTTCTCCGACCGAAGTTTCTCGAGCTTAGGTTCAATCTCTTCCTTCAGCAGTTCTTCGATCTCGCGCAGCTTCAGTTCTTTCTTTCCCATTGTCCTGTTTGCCTTTTCTCTTCGATCCTCAAACATTCGTGTGCCGGCTGCCTCCTCGATCATCGACAAGATCTCGACCGATTTCATGTTCAGGACTTTCGTAATGCGACCTTGCATGATAAGGAAGTTGGGGTTGTTGATGTTCAGCTGGACACTCTGGAACAGGTTCTGAACAGTCTGTTGCTGTGCCCGGTGGCCGTTGATCAAATACTTGCTTGTGCCGCCTAGCACAATCTGTCTGGTGACGGAGATATTCGCATACTCCTCGAATCCGATCGGCGACTTCGCGGTATCCCGGTTGTCGAAGACGATTGTAACACTGGCTTTCGTGACGCCAGCTTGGCCGCGCTTGTAGATGAGATCTTGGAGGTTTTGCGCGCGCACTGTAGTCATGTTGGTGATACCAAGCACGAAGCAAATGGCATCGAGGATGTTGGATTTACCACTACCGTTAAGGCCGGTGATCGAATTGAAGGCTTCGTCCCTGTATTGCGCGATTAGCAAATCCGATCGGCCCAAGATTAAGCCAAAACTATAATTTCATTCATGCTTAGACGCGGTAGATTGCATACCATCCCGAGATCACCGTACGCACAGCGTACGATTTGAAGCCCTGACGACCTAGTTAGCGCAGTGAATAACGATGGAGCAATGTTGAACCTCACATCTATGACAATTTCAGTAATCCTCATGATTGCGACTCCGAAACGGTGTTCTGCTCGCTAGCAGAGTGCATAGGTCGACCAGATGGGGAGTGGAGGGGATTGATTGTTTTCCCGCACCCGCTGTTGATGGTTTGCCCATTTGGGTCTGGCGTCGTTTTGCTGATGTCAGCGCGGGGGCTTTGTTCTCACGTGATATCGAAGTATGAAAAAATGGCACTCGGCGACTGGAGATTAAACCTCTCTGCATTAACTGACATTGGGACGATTAAAATTGTGGATTTGATAACTGGTATCCGTGAAGGACTTTGCCGCTTTTACTTCGACTCCGCATGGCTCCTTCTTTTGCCAATACACTCATAATGATCACGATCTACCAAGAGGGAACCCTGGGGGTGACTGCGTAAGAGTCGCCCCCAACCAATAATTTCCATTGGTAGCATTGAAATAAGGCGCAGTAAGGGGTTCTAGTTACTAAATACCCCTTGAAGGTGCGTTTTTACAAATGCCTCGACTGAAATCCACTCGCGGAGACATTCTCGGACACTTTCTATATCGTACAACAATTTCTGGTACAGAAACCATGTGAGCTTTAGGCGACCGCAGACTATTTAAAGAACAGCCTGGACCCATAAGGACCTCTATCTTTTCATGATCTCGGTCTTGCATCACATCACATCACATTGAGGGTTCCTTCTAAACAGGCACTTATCAACTTCAATAACTACGATACGCAATTACCTTGCAGTTTACCAACTATGGCTGAAAAAGTCGACATGAATACTTTCTTCAAGAGCGAAGAATATGCCAGCTCGTTTAGACGCGCGGAGATGGTCACCCGGCCATTTGCGGAAACGCTGGTTGAGCAGAGCAAGGTGGCCGCCGAGTCCAGGGCCAACCCTGATCAGCCTCTAGTGGTCCTTGACAATGCCTGTGGCACTGGTGTTATCTCCAGTACCCTCAATGGCAAGCTTGATGACACTGTCAAGAAGATGTGGAAGTTGACTTGTGGAGACATCTCGTCGGCAATGATCGAGTACACTATGCACCGTATGCAAGAAGAGGGCTGGCAGAACACGGAGACAAAGATTGTGGATGCGCAGAATCCTGAGCTACCTAGCGGTCAATTCTCTCACATCTTCACTGCTTTTGGTGAGTGGGTTCATGGATGCACTCCGGTCTATTCTGACAGTGGCTAACTGCTATGTCCCTTTTGCAGCCTATATGACACTCCCTGAGTCTCTCAAGGCTCTCAATGGTAAGTATATCATTGCCCATTTCCTTATTATATTCAAGGCTAATAGAAACCACTAGAGACGGTCAGAATGCTAAAACCCGGCGGGACTATTGCTTTCTCAACTTGGATCCAACGTAAGTATTGGAACGATTCTCTTGGGTAATAACTTCACTGACATGAAACAGCCGGCTGGATCCCCATCGCCCGACAAGTGATTGAAAGCATGCCAGGCAACCTGCCTTTTCCCGAGGCCCCAAAGCTCTTGGGGGTCATCACTGATGGGCAATGGCACTCAAAGCCTTGGATCGAGTCCCAGCTCGAGGGGCGTGGGCTTCAGGACATCGATGTCCGCGAAATAACAACAAAACTGACCCTGACATCCCCTATCTTGGTGGAGATGATCATGATGATGCTTCCCGTGTTGATGAAATCCTTCTGGACTGAGAAGCAACGGGAGGAAAACACGGATAACGTCCGCCCGGCGGTAGAGAAGTACTTGGAAGACACTTACGGACATGGGAACATCGATACGGATTGGATGGCTATTCTGTCTACAGCGCGCAAGTCTTGCTAGACGGATAAACCATTCAGGTAGTGAATAGAGTGGTCTACAGCGATGTATAGCATTTTACAGCATTGTGACAAAATCACATAGGCTGTTGATTTTCAAATATCGTGTCCTGGTTTCCCACATAGCCCTTTAATACCAAAGAAATCAACGCGCCTTGTTCCCGAAGGTTAATGTACTATTGGCCATCCCTGAGCAATATAACACAGACCAGTAAACCGAACGCCATGGTTGATTGCTTGTATTCTGCATGCGCCTTGGTATCAAGTTCAAATCATGAGGCATGATGCACCACGCCAGGTGGGCGGGCGGCGCCTCGATTAGGATCCAACCGGTTGTCCAAGTCTTCATATCGAAGGATGAATTCACGCTGTGATGAAAATTAGTTCAACCAGTTCTTCAAGTTCCAACAAGGGATGAATATTACTTACTCGGACCTTCTTCCAGGCGGAGGAATCCCATAGAAGATACACGCCGCGTTCCGTCACACCACGTTCCACATCAACAGGTCCAGGATATGTCTCATCACGAGTCAGCCAGCACCGCTCAAGCTTATGGTACCGCCATTTGCGGCCCATCAATTCCTCGGCCACTAGTTCCTGCATGATATCCCGAGGCATGCTGTAGAAGATGAAAAATAGTGTCTCGTCGCTAAACCCAGGAATGCGAGACTGGAGGGGTTGGATATTGGCCACATTATAACAACCCGGCAAAGAGAAGTCTTGTTCCAGAGGGACTGCTGACATTGACGACACAAATGGTGAAGCAAACGATGTGTGCAAAGGCCTATGCAAAGAATTAGTATTATAAATGGTATGGGAACAAAGGAGCTCATACTCTGCCTGGTTTAAGTCCAATCCTAGTGTCATCAAATCTTGGCCAACAGCCAGACTTGCAACATCAGGGCTCTCGCTGTGAATCATGCGCAGCAGACCCGCCAGCCCAAACCTGTCAAGTTCACTCATCTGTGCGAGGGGTGGTTGCTCAGTATTCTGAGCCGCATTAGAAACATCTTGTCCGTCAATATTTTCTGGCTGCCTTTGCTGCAGTTGTTGTGGATCGCTAAAGTTACGCTGGCTTGGAAGCACACCGTTGTTCAAGTCCTGTTGTAAAGTTAGTGCTGCCTAGAAAGTGAGTCAATTGTAGACACATACTGCTTTCTCTTGTCCTAGAATGCCATTAGGCACTTGACTGACTGGTGACCGGGGTGCCCCTAGACCAGTTCCATAACCCCCAAAGCCTGCACCTTGCATCAACGAACCAGTCCGACCGAGAGGAAGCTCCGCAGCAGCATTGCGGCCTAAAGGGGGAAACTCTTCGATATTGCCTGTTTGGGGTTGGCCACCTGCACCGAGTTGACTACTAATACCCTGGCCACCATTTCTAAAGTCATCGAGTCGATTGGCAAACTGCGAGCCAGAGGGAAACATGTCATCATGCTGCGGTTGGGATTGTTGGGGTGTAGGAAGGCCTTGGGGTTGGGAGGAACGGGAGGGGGTTTGCGATGTCGGGGGGAGCTGTTGCCTTTGAACAGGTGTTTGCTGAGCAGCGCGTTGACTTGCGTTGGCCCACATTAGCTGACCGGGAGTTTGTGACTGTGATTGCTGTGATGCTCCTGATAGCGAAGGGAACTCCCTAGAATCACCGACCTAGTCAGTTCGGAGACAAATCGGAAGGCCTAGAGATACAGGAGACCACTGCAAACCATGATAAAAGAGCACTTACGAGAGATCAAGTGGTGCTGCGGATTGAGATCCTCCTAGGCTTTGCGCAAAGCTTCCCATGGTCCCCATTGTGCGTTGCTGACTGCCCGGTAGGCCAGATGATCCACTAACAGGTAGATTGAAGCTCCAATTGGCACCGCCGCCTATTCGAGTCACATGTTAGCATCCCTTCATACAAATCATCTTGAGTGTCCAGAAAGTATGACTCGAGGCAATCGCACCCAGTTTCCCGTTTGACAATCGCGTGGATGCTAATGATGCAGTTCGAGCTTGTGCTTGCTGTTGCGTGGGGAATCCGGACATGCCTCTTAGCGGCTGCGGGCCAGGTCCTGACACACGCGTGACAAGTCAGCACGATCGTCGCATCAAGAGCTGCTCAGATCAACACCATAGGAATGCATGGGCATGTCCTTGCGAATGTCTCGGTCGCAAATGTAGAACAATATGCACCAAGGCTTGCCATTGGACTCCCCAGCGCTTCCACAATGCTGGGTAACTCCCACTATCAAGGAGAGTATATCGCAGCACAGAAGCAAGTACGACTTATATCAAGTATTCCGCGGAGGTAGGTGCAAGATAAGAAAGGCATGAGGGATCGCGAAGGCATTGAAAGAAAATGACGAACCTGGCCTATTCATAGTCGATGTTGCTTAAGAAGAGGGTAATTTCCGATACCCCAGGAGACGTCAAAAATCAGAAAAGCAGACTGGCCGAGTAATAGACCGGAGTTGAATCTGTGGAGGGGAGAGCAATCCACAAAGGCCTCTTGCTCACGCTTGATGCGGCACTGCTCCGCCGAGTAGTCGATTGGGTGATTAGACGCGCGGATGCACAGGCCAAGTCTGCAATTAACCGCAGCTCAAGGCCTAAAATGTAAAGATTAAAGATATCTTTAGGATAGATTTTTGAAGCTGTCGTTTGCTGGAATAAAGATGGAATCAAAACAAGCAAGAGTGACTCGGGAAAAAAAAAGACGTGAACCCGATGAACCCAAGGCTAATAGCATCCAAGCTGGTCTTGGTTTGGTTTTGTCACGTGACTAGCCTTGCCGCCTTCGCGAAAAGAAAGGCCATCAATCTCCGACTCGGACCGTCCTGGGGAAAGCCATCACAATCATGCAGCAGGTTCCACGCATTGCTAGCCGCCTGAGAGGGCTGGTTATTGCCGAATTGCCTCCCACTTATCTCGCGCCGTCACTTCACCCTTCCGTGACCCTGTCAGCCATCCAATCTTCGAGCTTTTCTTCCACTGCCTCCGTCGGCGCCAACCCTCGACGCGACAAAAGCAAAAACCGTGGTGTATCGGCCATCCATCGAACCGGTCCCAGAACACCGTTCACTGTGTCAAAATGGCCATTGCCCAAACCTGTGTCGCCGAAAGACATGCAGCCGCGGGAAACAAACCCCAACCATGGACTCTGGGCCTTCTTTCCCCCCAACCGGCAGGCATTACCTACCCCGGCTTATGACAACGCTCATGGTTAGTTTTCTGGATGTCGAATCTATAATGCTCTATGGACAGTGCTGATGTTGGGAATCTAGGTCGTCCGTGGGGTATCCAAGAACTCCGCGAACGGAGTTGGGAGGACTTGCACGGTCTGTGGCATGTATGCGTCCGTGAACGAAACCGCATTGCTACGTCAGATTTCGAAAGAGAAAGAATCCAGGCTGGCTACGGTGGATTTGAATCTCAGGAACGGGACAAGGTGGTGAGTTTTTCCCCGGCTGTATAGGTCATCTCGTTCATCTACATATATTGGAAAGCTGCATGAAGACTTTTCCTCATTACTTCAGAGCCGACCATCAATTGGTGGTTCAGATTATTTGAACTCGACTGACCCATCCAATTCATCATAGATTCGAAGCACCATGAAGAACATCAAGCACGTTCTGCGTGAACGCTGGTATGCTTGGGAGGACGCCTCGCGGATGTACAAGCGCGGATACCGCCCTGAGAACTTCTACGGGCTCGATGATGCTGAGATCGAGCAGGAGCCCAACGAAGCAGCCCAAGGCAAGGAACAATAAGCATGACCAGAGGGTTAAGACACAGCCCCGGTCGAGGGAGACTTAAGCCGAATCTCCAGGGGTAATAAGTATGTAACATTAGCTTTCCAAGGTGATTTTAGTAGTGCGCATGTCAAATTATACATAGAATATATAAGAGATGGTCCATCATCTGACACTACAAATCCCTTTTAACTTATCCCGGTACCTAAGAATATCGGGAATCAAATCAGACTTACCCCTGAGCTGAAACAATCCAATATATTCAGGGGTTCATTGAAGCCAAAATATCCCATGTCATTAATATCATGAGGTAATTCACTAGTGGCGGATCCGACAAATAGTTCCCCTTTCTCACCGATCCGCGGGGAGATAGTCAACTTTCTCTTCTCCTCATTCTCTTGAATCTTCTCTCTATTTTTCTCTACCTCTAGTAACTTCCATATTCATTATGGATGAGATCGCCCCAGAATACGATGTTGTGGTGCTCGGCACTGGTATGTTGCTACCCCGCCATCCCCTCAAAACGTCAACAACTGACCAATTTCGTTTAGGCCTGACCGAGTGTGTTTTGTCTGGGTAGGTATTTGAGCTTGGGCTTTGATGATTCCACCATTTGCTCATCCTTTTCGACTACAGTGTCCTCAGTGTGAAGGGTAACAAGGTCCTTCACATCGATCGCAATGATCACTATGGAGGGTAAGTCGGCGAAGCTCACGATGATGGCATCAAAATAGCTCACAATGTTCACAGAGAAGCAGCTTCCGTCAACATCGAAGCAGTATGTGCACCAATTTATTCCCAACTTACCTTATTGACACCCTTTGCAGCTGTTCAAGAAATACGGCAACGTTGCCCCCGGCGAGGAGCCATGGAAGAAATACGGGAGGGTCAATGACTGGAACATCGACTTGGTCCCCAAGCTACTCATGTCCAATGGAGAGTTGACCAACATTTTGGTGTCCACGGACGTTACCCGATACCTCGAGTTCAAGCAGATTGCTGGCAGCTACGTTCAGCAAGGAAAGGGTCCCAAGGCGACCGTGGCCAAGGTGCCTTCCGATGCTGGTGAAGCTCTCCGCTCGTCGCTCATGGGCTTGTTCGAAAAGCGACGCGCCAAGAAGTTCCTCGAGTGGGTTGGTGATTTCAAGGAAGACGACCCAGCCAGTCACCAGGGTATGTATTTGCAACCTAGGTCAGTTCGGGGCTCGTCGAAGCGGATAGCTAATGGAGATCAGGATTGGACATTCATGCGTGCACGATGAAGGATGTTTACGACAAGTTTGGCCTGGAGGATAACACTCGTGATTTCGTCGGTCACTCCATGGCTTTGTACCCCTCGGACGAATATATCAACCAGACTGGCGCTGCCGTTGAAACCATTAACCGTATCCGTCTGTATGTCAACTCTATGGCACGCTACGGAAAGTCGCCTTATATCTACCCTCTCTACGGCCTCGGCGAGCTGCCCCAGGGCTTCGCTCGTCTGTCTGCCATCCACGGCGGTACCTACATGCTGAATACCGACGTCGACGAAGTGCTTTACGAGAACGGCAAGGTTTCCGGAATCAAGGCAACCATGAAGGACCGTGACGACCAATCCGAAGCTATGAAGTTTGAGACTAAGACTAAGAAGATCATCGCTGATCCTTCTTACTTCCCCGACAAGACTAAGGTCACCGGATACTTGCTCAAGGCTATTTGCATCCTGAACCACCCCATCGATAAGACCGACAGCAGTGACTCTGTGCAGCTGATCATTCCCCAGTCCCAGGTTGGACGCAAGCATGGTGAGTTATATATATACAGTCATTATCAATAGGGCACTAACCTCTTCAGATATTTACATTGCCATGGTTTCGTCCGCTCATAACGTCTGCCCCAAGGGCTACTACGTCGCTATTGTGTCCACCATCGCCGAGAACGATGCTAACCACCACCTTGAGCTTGAGCCTGGCTTCGAGCGTCTGGGCAAGATCGAAGAAAAGTTCATGGGACCCCCCATTCCTCTCTACGAGCCCACCGACAATGGCGAGGAGTCCAACATCTTCATTTCTAAGAGCTATGACGCGACATCACACTTCGAGACTACGACCGGTAAGCTATCTGTGATTGAAAATATATTAATAGCTGGCTAATAATTCCCCCAGATGATGTCCGCGATGTGTATCGCCGTGCCACTGGCGAGGAGTTGAAGGTTGAGGGTCTGCGCGAAGACCAGCAACTGGCCACCGAGTAAAGAGGGATACTCGACTTACAATCGGATAATCTAGTACTGCTTAGATTGGTTGATTATATTTCTCTTGAACATGTGCGATAGCCTCTCTGTTCTTTGTCCGTCCTTCCCTATCATAGCAAACGAAGCACAATATTCTGGTCACTACTATGATCTTCGCTCGTACAATGGCTTGAATTTGGCACCTTTATTGGTGCAAATGAGATCTATAAATTTATATCCCAGTGGCTACCTCTTAACATTCGAAGATCCATGTTGTCTTCTAGACGTACCAAAAAAAGAAACAAAATCATCACATCAAATCAAATCCTCTGCGTCACCTCCGGGTCGGTATTGGCCTTCTCATGTTCACCAATCACACAAACATCACCACTCTCCGCCCTCTGAATCTCAGCCCGAAGCAATGCCAACCGCTTGCCAACATGAATAACCTCACAAACGAGCCGCACCTCAGTTCCCGCAGGCACAGGGCGCAGATATGTGATCTTGAGGTTGCGGCTGACACCTCCGAAGGAGAACCTGCCCGGCTCGGAAACGCCTAACAAGATAGTGGTGGATAGAACATCGATCAAAGTAGCAGCGCAGCCCCCATGGAGGTTACCAAAGTAATTGGTCAGCGCAGGAGTGATCGTCAAGAGGAACGAAACTGTAGCCGGAGGACCACGGGTTGCGGACTCGAAGCGGAGGTTACAGCCGCGGGCATCGATGTCCCAGTGCTTCAATAAGGGTAAGCGATGGGATTCAACTATGCGCTCTGGCGCTGTATAGGCGGGGGATGCAATTCATTATTTTAATATTGCTGCGTATGGTACTTACTTCCTCGTTCCCCAGGCCCATGCGCGCCGTATACTCATAGACGAGCTGTTCGAACTCGTCCAGTTGCCTGGGCGGAGCGCTTATTGCGTTATGTGACATGGTATCTGAAAGGAATGACAAATGCAAAGAGCACTAGAAAGGTTTAGGGGGAAGAAATGTTGGAGTAGAAGTAGCTTAAGGCTAAACCCCACAGCCGTAGCTCGGATCATCATATTGGACCTCGGCTGTGGTGAAGCCGACCTCGAACGGATCAGATATGCTTAAATTGGGGAAGAGTTCATCTCTCCGAATTCAATATATACTATAGCAACTACTCCACAAAGACCAGCTGTGCTATAACAAATCCGGATATCCCAAATAATCGAGATACTTCTTTTTCCTCGCGAATCTGATTTCCACGAACGGCAAAGCTATACTTGGCATCCACTTGTAGAGTCCCAGGCTCAACCCCGGCCCAGTCTATAGAGAACCTAATCTTCCCGCAACACATAGAATCCATGGTTACTAATGGGTGGCCTTGTTAGTAGCTTTGGGCTGTCATCGTTTTCTCGCAGCGCCTCATCAACACGGCCGAATTCCATCTCATGAATGTAGGAAACATAAGTGTAACATTCAGGCTAGCCATGATCTTACATACAGACCTAAGACGACAAGGACAATTGGGAAGGAGTTTATCTATACTGCTCCTTTTGTCTTCCATGTCGTCGCAACTTCGTCACAATCCTTCATGATCTCATTCCACTGCATTCGACTCCACCGTTCCGGCCTTTCGACTGCGTCCACAAAATGTTTCATTGCAAGCACCATCTGTGCCGACCAACGCTCCTTACTAACCTTCCCAATACCAGCAGCCTGGGGCGTCATCAAGAGACAATTAATTTTCGCTTCAGAGGCCCGATTACGCCCCTCGACCTCACATAACAAACTCCAGACACTCTCATAGACAACCTCCCGGTCCCAGACGACATTCATCGGCTCTCGCATAGTTGGACATATAGCCACCCAGGAACAGCGCCGGAAATTCTGCAAAAGCGGCCCAGGGAATTGCACGAGCCTGCATGTGCCTGGCGGCGCGAATCCTCGCCATTTCTCGTATAGCTCCAGCTGCACTGCGCGCGTTAGAGCTTCGTAGTCATCACGCGGGCTGAAGGCTAATGAGATGGCGTCGTCAAAGCCTCCATCTAGACGGCCATATGAGTTCGCGGGTGAGACGATTAGGTCGAAGGTTACTGAGGGGTCAAGGCGGTTCAGGCGCGAGTTGATAAGGGTGATCGTGAGCTTTGATGGTAATTCGGGCCAGTGCTCTTGCTGCGCTGTTTGAAAGGCGGTGATAAAGTCTGCGTCCTGGCAGAGCAGGATGATCTCCGGGATATTGGCAGTCATGTTTTTGTAGCGTTGACAAATGATGTCGCGTTCTTCAGGAGAATTGCTATACCCGCCCCCTAGTAGTCGGTACAGTTCGACTTCAGTTCTTCATGTTTGTCTGTGAATCCCGGTTATTGAGACTTCTGATCCCTACAGTAAGACAATATTAACGAAAGAGCAATTCCAAGTTGCGACTTGTCAAAGTGACCTCGGGAAGCACCTGACTTCGCGTCACGCGTCTCGGCCTGAGGCGAAAATCGGCCAATTGTTGTCCGGCCGACCCTTTGAGCAATTGACCAGCAATTGAATCCCGGTCTTCTGTTGGAATCTGATTCACACGGGTTGCGCTTGTTGGTCTTGATTAACGATAAATGCGCTATTGATTTTCTCTTTGTAAGTCATTACATTCGGTGGGACAGCTCCTGGACTACTCAGGCTGGTCGGAAATAAACAGCATTGATTGAATCTGATTCTAATTGACATAGGCGCAAACACTTATCTGACAGGAAACCGCCAGATTTTCCCGGCTTGAGTCCTTTACCCTCACGAAATCCCCTCTCCATCGAATTGGAAAGTACCCGATACCAGCTATTCCATTTCCTCAAACCACAACCATGCCCCGAGCATCTAAGAGGAGAAGGGTCTCCGAGGACGTTGATGGAGACATCGATATGGGAAATGATGATCAAGACGTATTCTCCGTCCCGACATCCCCCGACAATCACGGAATTTCTCCCACACCGGTGAAAAGTGCATCGCGGCGTCAAACTACCCGCGGAGACAACCCAGACCCCGTAACGACGGGCCAAGGCGGCGAGGTTGAGGAAGATGAAGCACAAACTCCCGCACGAATTGGGACACGGTCAAGTGGGCGGCAACGCAAAACACCAAAAAGGTACGACCAAGAAGCCGTAACACCCTCATCGAGGAGAAAACAAGCAGCCACTCCTTCGAGAAGTGCGCGTCCCACACGAAGCGCGCAAAAGCTGCGGCAATCCCCGGTAGAAGACGAAGAAGAAGACGAACCTGAATTTAAAGAGGAAGATGATGACGATGATGACATGGACCTCGACGAGCCGTCCCCGGAACCCGCCCCTCGTACAATTACAAGGACCAGATCGAAGAGAAGCACCGCGAAGCCTAGATCCAAGAAAGCCTTGGTCGCAGAGCCGAAAGAGAAGTCACCTTCGCCTGGGTATCAGGACGGCTTGGATGACATCGATACAATACAACTCCAGCAAGACCTTTATCATGACCAGCCGGAGGCGCATGAGACTATCGATGTCTCCGAGCCGTTGCCGGAATATGCTGGAAAATTCCAGGCGCTCTGTCAGACGGGCCTTGGGGACGAAATGCGCATTCTCTCGACTATTCTTCTCGAAAAGCTGACAGGGAAACGACAGATTCCAGTGCGGGGACTCGAAGCTGAATACCAGAAGGTTCATCAGCTCATTGAACAGACCGTCTCTATCGGAGAGGGCAACTCCATGCTTCTTCTTGGATCCAGGGGATGCGGCAAGACGGCGATTGTGGAATCTATCATTTCGTCTCTTAGAAAGGAGCATTGCAATGAGTTTCACGTCGTTCGTCTCAATGGGTTCTTGCACACAGACGACCGTCTAGCTTTGCGAGAAATGTGGCGCCAACTTGGCCGTGAGACGCATACCGAGGAAGATGCGGCTAAGGTCAGTTCTTATGCGGATACGATGGCCACGCTCTTGGCTTTATTGTCACATCCAGAGGAACTCTTCGGGACTTCTGGGGACCCAGGATCGAAGACTGCTGCGAAATCCATTGTGATCTTGTTGGATGAGTTCGACCTATTCGTCACTCACCCACGACAGACTTTGTTGTATAATCTGTTCGATATTGCCCAAGCCCGCAAAGCCCCCATCACGGTGATTGGGCTCACGACAAAGGTCGACGTAACCGAAATGCTCGAGAAGCGTGTCAAGAGTCGATTTAGTCATCGTTATACTTACGTTCCTCTACCTCGATCCTTCGAGGCCTTTTCAGATATCTGCCTAGGGAGCCTGGATCTCAGTGACGCCGAAATGGTTGATATTGCAGATGAACTTGGGTCTGAACGCATTCTAGTAGAGTCGAACAAGTGGAATACACTGCTTGGGGGATGGAAGGAATATTTGAAGGTAAGATCTGTATTTTCCTTTATCCAATTAATTGCATCTTTGCTAAATCGCTGTCTTGAAAATAGCATTTGTGGAATGACAACGAATTTCAATTCCACCTCAAGCGTATCTACAACCAAACCAAATCAGCAAAGGAGTTTTTCAACAGCGCGCTTCTCCCCATCGGCGACTTGCTACAAAGTGTGTCGACCGCCGACGCACCTATACCCGAAGTCCCAACCCCGAAAAGCTTCTCTTCCCAATCCCTTGAGTGCCCAGACCCAGCACCTCTCCCATTCTCCACATCCATCACATCATCCAGTCCCTCGTCATTGCCACTGGCTTTGTTGGTAGCCGCAACACGCTTGGCAGCCCTGTTCGACCCCGGAAACGACGGGTCCCAGTCACAGAGCATGGGACCACTTGCGCTTTCATTCCCCGCCGCATACGCAGAATACGTTCGGCTCCTGACATCCGCAAAGGTATCTGCCTCGGTGTCGGGAGCTTCTGCCACACCAGGCCGTGTCTGGGGCCGAGATGTGGCCCGAGAGTCTTGGGAAAGACTGCTCAGCTGGGGACTCGTGACACCCGTGGGTAGTGGGAACGGCACTGCTGACGGGCAGATGTTCCGTGTGGAAATTAGTTTCGAGGAGGTCATTGAAATGGCTGGCTCTGGGGGTGCATTGGGCCAGTGGTGGCGCGGATAGACCTCTCAGCAACTGGATCTTGCAAGCATTTACTGTGTTGGGTTATTTGTGCCGGTGACAAGCATGGCATTTGGCCTTGACTATCCGTCTATCATGATATGAGTTGCTAGTCGGAAAACATCTTAATTAATTTCCCAATTCTCCATTCTGGAATTGATATCGCAACACAACACAACCAAAGATAAACAAAACACATCGCACACACACAAGCAGCCTACGGAATTCTATACAAGGAAATATACACATCCTAACCAAGCCTAGGGGATCTATACCAGCCCCAACATATGCCCCGAACTCAAGCCGACGGCCGGTATCGGATATATCAAAACACCATGTACTCCGTACATAACCACATGTACAACAAACACCAAGCAAGCACCCCCCAGCTCCATGATTCAAGTTATTGGAAAACTTCACTAGCCCCAAACCTACCTGACCACCATTTAAATCTGGCGATCATCATTTTCCATCGTCTATCCTAGTTGCTGAGAATGGTCAGTCACGTCATCCTTGTCTTTGATGGGAAATGCACACTCCCGCGTTGTTGGGATACGGATTACATGTACCCGTGAGCTCTGAGGGGGTCTGTACGTAATATTGCTATAACTCAAAAGCTAGTTGTAGATGATAGACGGTGCAGTGGATGTCATTTGATTAGCCTTTGATGATCTGATGATCTGCGTAGGCCTATGACATATATAAAAGAGTGGTAGCGATATCGGGATTTAGATATGGATGCCATGTACAACATAGATAATCTCAAAACTGGCTGATTGATTCTCCATAGAGACAAATCTTGCACCTTCTTTGTTTCCAGTAGTATGTACTTCTAATAGGCAACTGTGCCAATGGGAATGCTGGCAGCTTTTCGAATCTTACTGCCTTGTGGTGATCTCCT